ACCGTGAAGTAAGCGCTTTGCTTTAGCTTGGGCTGATGTTAATTCATGCTTGCTTTCCCTCTATACCTGCTTGATTTGGTGTTCTCTCCGCTGCCCGCTTCTTCTTTTCATCGCCGTCCGCCCTAATCAATGGCCTTCCAGAGCGCCGGTCGGTCCGAGTAATAAACGTCGAGAAGACACCTAGAATGTGTTATTGCCTGACGGCTGTTACTCTCAGACGCCAATTTCACGCGGCAGGGCGTCCTAGAGTCGGCGGTGCACGTCGAAAAGCGTGGTTGAAGGTAGGAAGCTCTTGCACCGCGCGACGGAGAACAGAATGTGTTGTCTAACCCACCCGGTGGAAGGATCAAGCGGCGTAGCCAGGTGCTCTGAGGCGTCGGATGGGGCCACGGGGGAGTTTAGATGTATACTAAAGCCGGGTTGGGTGACTATCGATCAGTTTTCAAGACCGAGGCGACCCTCCTCTAGTATATCCAACGGCTTGCCCGAAAACGCATCTTTTTCATCAACGGCTTTAGTGACCGATGGCATTCACTAAGCCAACCTCAGGTTCAGCCTAATCCTAAACGCGGTTTAGATACTAATGCTTGCTGGCATCCACTACATAAGCATTAAGCCTTGGCGCCTATATTACTACCATTGATTGCCGCTAACCGGCTGTCTCTTGTGAATGGGCAAGGCATGTTGGGATCCTACTACTAGACCTCTGTCATGGTCTGACTTGGGCTCGACAAGTCTCTTGCGGTAGCCACCTACCCACAGTAGTGAGGGTTGGTTGATTCTTATCTACCTATGTGCCTCTGAAGACTACCTGCTCTGACTTGACAACACTCGGAAAAGGCTATGGTGCATCCTCTCCCTTATGAAGCGGCGGCGGCATTAGTAACAGAAGTATTTGCTGTCCCGGCCATTTAGTCTACGCCCTCGGCTTTTACACCCTACCGTCCAGCAGCTGCTAGGCAAGCGTCACAAGTTTCAGTCCTAGAGTCCGCGGTTGGAAAACTGGCTCCATAATTCAGGCGGTGCCACGCGGCTACGGGCATTGCCCAAAGCCTCATCTTGGTACTTTCTGGGATCATTCCGCTTAGCTGACATCCCAGCCATCTTCGTACTCGGTGATGTTATTCGCCACGCTGCAAGCCATCCGCAGCCCGTTCTGTTGATTCTCGATCAGCACCATTCCAGTTCCTCCTAGAATCACTTTTTTCATCCGTATTTAGGTTACGTCTTATCCCCTCAAGTGTTAGCAAGCCTTGCAGGCCTTAGCGCAGCTCTAGTCTAGTAGGCTTTTGTTATCCTTAGTACTTCCTCTTAACTAGAGACCAAACGTTGCCTTAACTATCTTTACAACGTTCTGTCACTGAACTTCCCCGATCTATTTTTTGTTGCTGACCCTCTGCCTCTTGAGCGTCTCGTTCGTGGACCCCTAAATCGCAGCTTGGCATGCCTTACAGTTCATGCTGCCACCAGTCCGCAATATCAAGCGGAGTCGCCGACATGGCGTCCGCGCAAGAGCACTGCTGACCAAAATGGGAACGCAGGCATTGCCACTTTGAAAGTACATATGCGTCTTTCAGGATCCAGCAGCATTCAACTACAACCCTATATAGACTTGTTGGCGTAGCGTTAGTTCATTCTGTATTCGGTGTTACTAACTGCAGGCGGTCACAACGTAGCATTTAATCATGGTCGTAGGCTAAGATAAGATCACCAATTATTCAATTACTTAATCGGAACCAGCTCATCTGGGATGATTAAACCCTAGAATCTGTCAGCTGTATTAGAGGGAGGCAGTTAATTGTAAAGGGATATGTCTTAGACACTTTCTGGGACGGACGAAGAATGGTACCAGCAGCGTCTTGTGACGAGACAGACAAAGCATGGCGTGCGGCCTTAGGGCCAGCTCCCAGAAGCACGAGTCGGTCGCCCTCTAGAATACACCATGCAGATACTAAATGCAATTAAGGCGAACAGTGTTCTCTATGGCTAATAGAAGTGGTCTGGGATGACCATTACTACCAATGCGGTAAAAGGTGAGGTTTTTAGAAATCCAATCGAGTGTCAAAGCTACCGCCCGATCTTATAGGATCGTTCTTACTTGTGACGGTAGCAACACTTTGAGGAGACTAGGTTACTTCAAGTTTCAATACGAGGAGATTGATTGGAATTGGCTTCACTAGAAAAGATCGAGGACGATTTTTAGCATCTAAAGACACATCATTATGTGGATTTTAAATATCTCCCAACACAAGGCAGGGTTTGAAGAGCTTTAGACAAATAGTCCTAGAGAGTACACAAATAGAAAGTTATAAAGGGTCTAAGCCTGACATCTGCCACTTGGCCAAGTTATCATTAATGTTCGAGATTCCACGGCCAACAATTTCCACAGCCCCCGTTTGCCCAAAGTGAGACCCAAAGATCAATACTCCACCAGTGTGCAAGGGATGTTGCAGGCAACATAATTCCTAGTGGAGAGTCTGCAATAGCGGTAACATTGTCAACAAGAGAAGCGATGGCCCAATCGACACCACAGTCTATACTAATGGAACTGCATCGTATCCATCCAGCTTAAAATAGAAAGCCATCGTCAGAAGGTTTGCCAGTAGTTTCTTTTCTTTATCTTGCTGACGGGAATTCTGTGGGCCCTGGAGCCATATCAGTGTCAAGTTCCCGCTATGAAAGTTGGCAGATGGCGTTGGCCATGTTGATTCATGTCCTGAAGATGGCATCTAGCGTACGTAGTGGTGCTAGGCTGTCCCCTTGATATGTCTAGGTGGATATCGTGTAGACTATTCTGTGTGTATTGCTCATAAGCTGGGGAAAACGAGGCCTAGATATTTACGGACGACCGACTGCTGGCTATTTAGTTACAACTATATAACAGCAGGCTGTGAACTTAAAATCACATAGACCAGCACTATCCTGTCTTAGCTTGAAGTCAAACGGCGCTTTCCTCTCTAATGTAAATACTAGCATAACTACCGACTTATTTTAGATAGTATATATAACTACAATAAGATATATGACCGGGAATGTTCCCCAAGCTGACATTCCCTCTTCATCTTGAATTAGCGTGATTCTCTTCTCTCTCTGCCAGCTTTTAACAACTTCCGCCATACTCCCTAGTGAGACTGGTTTGGGAAACCAGGCCACGTTGGTTAAGATCAACAAGCTGAGGGGGCTGAACGTCGGCGCTATAATCTCGTTGCCCTAGGTATAAGATTTGTTCTCGAGAGTCTGATGGGGATCTCTTTCACTTGTGCTGCTGGTCTCTGTACTCGCTATGCGACCTAGACAACACATTGTCGTGAGCTTGAAAAGGGTATTGTTATCTTAACCAATCCTTGTCCGGACGAGGATGAGACACTCAAGGCCAAGCTTCTCCAGTTCAAGTGCCACTTATTGGGTGTTGATAGTAATAGTCTCTGAGAACCAGCGTCTTTAGAGAGGTTTATAACACCCTAATGATATTGAATTTTCTATACTGACATTGTTATAGGCCAAAATTGTTGTAGGCATCTGGATGGGTGTTGATAAGAAGGATGTTGGGCTTCCGGCCTTCAGTCAAGGTATCCTCAAGATTGAGACCAGTGGTCATGTTATTAGTTCTCTGTGGACCTTATGGCTCTCTACATGGCTTAATACCCCTTGAATAGCAACAACATCTCACTGTCATTGATGTTCCGGGTATTTTCTGTGTCTTTACACCAGGTAGGCTATAGCTAATTCACTGAGAGTGTGCACTTGCTGAGTGGCGAAATCCACAGGGCTTACTACGGAAAGCGACATTGTTCTTGCTGAGAATACGGTGAGGTTGTATAAAGAAAATTTACGAACTATGCAAGTAGTTAAAATTATTTTTGTGTAGTAGCATCCTTGCAGTTATTTCTTGGACTGTTTATATTACTACCTAGGAGACTCTTAAGTCTGCTGGTAGATTTAAAAGATCTATATATATATATAAAACTACTACTTTAAGCGTATCCACAAGGTCCTCCTTAACTGCCTGCCACTTCCTTTATAAAAGACGTGACTAAGCAACGTAATGCGGTGGCGGAAGCACACATGATGCTCTCTGATTGATTTACTACCCATTTGAACCTGGTATCGTTCTCAACGCGCCATGAACAAAAGCGAGGGTGGCTGGTAATTCGGATTTAGGCGGCGTGGGGCTCTTAGCTTGGTGTGTTCAGCGTGCGTTGTATCCCCGTAATGCGGATTGATTGGGTCTAAGGCGTTATGTTGTGGCAGATGCTACCGGCTTGGTTTGAACGTGGGCATTTGGGGTGTGGTCGGATATGAATTGGAGCACCCGGGCTGAAGGTGAAGGAACTTTTGGCACATTGGGGGCGGGCCCGGGCTAACGGGTGGTTCAAGGGTTGTCGGGACATGGAGCGGCAGGGATGACAGCCGCCCGGCTCTGGGATTCGCGGCAGATGGAGCCGGGAGTCTCTCGCTTAATAGCGACATGACGTTCCGCAAAATTCTGTGACGGGTATGTGAAGGAAGAAAAAGAGAGGGAGGGATGAGAGGAATGCGGAACTTGCTCTCTTCTTTTCTCCCCCCTTGGAAAAGAATATTTCTCTCCTAAGAATAGGGGCCAGCCAAATTGGGCGCTTCACGGAAGGGGAAGCAAACAAACAAGCACACCTAAAACAGAACAAGGTGCATATTAATATTAAGCACAAACACACTAGTATGAACACAGTCAGTTAATCAGCCAACTGTCCAACAACCAACATGGTTTAAGCGTACGTATGCATGCATGGCCAGGGGTCTGTTGTTAGATAAGGTTTACACAGGGAATGGATGCTAGCTGGGTTTGCTTACTTGGTACAGATATCCGTATATGGTCCGGATACTATACTAGGTACGGAAGTATGTAGTAGAGTGGAGGCCTTGACAAGGGTAGGTAATCGTGTGATGGAATTAGATAAGCCTAGCGCCGACGCATCGCGTACTTGACTGCTCATGACCATATCTGCCATACCGTGAAGATGTCAATCCTGCACGACGTTGGGTTTGTCTAGTCCACCTTTCTCCTCTTGGTCCCCACTGTTGGTATCAAGAGCGGATTCTCGACTGGCCAGCTGGTCCTCCTCTGCCGCTGCAGCCTGGACCGCAAATGCGGCATATCGGACAAGACCCTGCAAACGGTGCTCGAGAGGGTCGCGGGCGGAATGATTGGTGAAGGACGAAGGGCCGACGATTTGCAGGATATCGGCGCAAGCCTTCAAGAGGCGTGTCCGAGTGGTCGGGCTTATGCCCCTACGGTCGCGGTCGGCAGGCTTCTCGGGTGCCTTTGCCTTGGCAGGCGGCGACGGCGGCGGCGCTTGCTGACGGCACCAAGTCGTCGAGGTGCAAAGGTCATGCTAGAAACTCTGAACGGGGATCTCATCAAGAAAGGCGGCGACTGGTTTGGCCAGGTGAGCAAGCGGGGTGGAAGCGGCCTCGGCCAAATGATGGGCTAGAGCAGCTGGTGAATCATGGGAAACGGATGGCCCGGCGACGGTCGAGGGGGGCTGTATCTTGGTCCAACTATCGTCGCCTGAGTCGTGGTCTTGTTCTGGCAGGGCTGTTTGTTGGTTTGTTTATTAGCAAACGAATCTTTTGAGACCGGGTGAGCGGAGGATACTGGCGGCGGCCATCATGTCTGCGTCGAGGTATCTGTGCTAATTGGCTCTTGGAAGCGGCGGTGATGACTGACGGTGGTGATTGAGCGATTTGTCTTTGGGTGCTTGTCGCGAAGAGAGAACCTACGTTAAAGGTGGACGGGGCACCTGGTTTGGTGGGTTGGTTGGTTGGTTGAGTGAGTTTGGTTGTCAAGTGAGAAAAGAGAAAAGAAAGGCTGGCGTAGCAACAGAGGTTTAGGCGAGAGTCCACCACTAATGACGCCTATTATGTAGTTGTTGTTGTTGTAATGTTTAACGTCGGGAAATCCCTCAAGGGCAAAAGACGTGTCTGGGGTACGGCCGGCCACTCCCTGAGTGGCTGTTGCCGGCCAGCTGTTGCCAGCTGGCACTGCCCTAGAATTTCTTAGTCACATCTGTTCCTGCTAATAAGTGTGTGTGCCTGCTGGCTCTTTGGTGAGGGCTTGTTAGGTCTGGATATCCCTTTCTTCTAAAACCGGCCGCTAGCCTGCCTAGCCTTCCTTCCTGCCTATTTAGATACAGGTCTATATCCTCCACCCGGCCGGATTCCCATTACTCCTTCCTAAGTAGTACTGACGAGTATCCTACGTCTAAAAGGCACTAACTACTTTAGTTTCTACCTAGTCGGGTGTGTGCCCTAGGAAAAACCAGAGGGAGAAAAACCTAGGGCAGCCGGTCACAGCAGCATAGGGCTGTATAAAGGGTGTGTTCGTTACATTAGCCTAAACTCTTTAGAAGTAGCTTTTGTAAGTCTCTTAATATGGGTTGCATCTGATTGATGTTGTGTTATAACTGAGGGGGAGGGAGTCCTGAAGTGGTGGTATTGAGGATAGATACGTTAAGAGGTTTTCAGATTTGTACGCCCTTAGCGAACTAAAGAGTAAACACCTATTTTACAACCTCTAAGCAGGGTCTAAGCTTATAGCTCTTCTTGTTTTGCTCGTTGTAGAAGTTTCGCTTGATGGACAAGAGACGCTCGCTGGGATACTAGCGGATAAGGTGGTCTAAGAAGTTTAAGCATTTAAGAACAGTATTATCCTAGTCTATCTTGCCTGTGAGATAGGTATCTAAAGCCGCGAGATTTATCTTCTTTGTTTCTTTTATGACGAAGAAGAACAAATTGTCGCGAGGCTTAGAGTTAGGTCGAACCGGCTTACCCTTATTAAGATCGACCTTGAGACGCTCCTTACTACGCTAGATAGGAACCGAGGACCTGCGAACGTGTTAGAGCAGTGTTTTAGAAAAGACCTAACAAGAAGGAATAAAATATACTAAGCGAGCTTGCGGCCATCTTGTAGCTAAAGACACTTATATTTCTTTTCTTGAAGACGACGTTGTATTTTAGGGGGGGGGGGGGGGGGGGAGATGGTGACATCATATTGATAGATTGTCACCTGGTCATTCCACTGCTTAAAGCGGAACTGGTTGACGTCTAGATTCACCGGCTTGCCGACGGTGTTGAAGCCTGGTCTCCTAATGAAAGGAGACATGCCTGGGTTGAGAAAAGCAAAGGGCGATTTGCAACGTTGAAGAAAATAGACTGAGCTGACGAAAGCAATTTGATTCCCAGGTGAAAGTGCTGCCAAGTACCACTTATTACACCCCCTGACCGTCTGTCTTTATGACCTGCTGATGATATACTTTGACGGCAATCTTGTCAGCAACAATGAACGAGGGAGGCGATCCAGCGTGTGGATAGGCGAGAATGAGATGGGCTCAAACACCATGGCCAAGAAGAGCGGATATGTGAAAGTCCGGCCATGTTATATACATGACGAGGATTTCGCCGTCCACGACCACCAGGCGTTGTCTCGTCTCGCAGGAACGGGATTGCCGAAAGGTAGCGGGAGTACTTGTTCACCCTTGAGACCACACTGGAAACACATTAACATTGACGCCCGAAAAGATCAAGGCTTCTGCCAAGGCGGCGGCGAAAGAGCAGAGACGTCAGTTGCGAGAGCAGTAGAGATGACGCGAGAGAGACAAGGAACGCCATCGACTACCAAGTACCAACAATGGACTCCAGCAGCCACAGCTTGTGTCTGCACAGTCATAGATCGACGTGGACCAAAGACATCAGGAACATCGCAGCTAGAATCGACGGCCAATCCCCGGTCCAATATGGCAACTTCAACGCAGCGTCAAGCCCGCAGGACGAGAGGAAGAACGCCAACAGATGTCCACAGACGACCGGGCTACAAGCACCACCACCGCCTCCGCAGCCAGCGTTGATACCTCGCAGCGATGCGACAGCTACAGCGAAAGCCAACGCAGTAGCGACAGCCACAGCAGCAGATCCAATTGATTTGGCCACAACAGCACCAGCACCAGCCTCGACACTGGAAGACACCGCCACTGTAGGAATCCTAGGATGCAGTTTCTCCCGGCATGGGCGAGAAACGTGTTAGGACAGCAGCAAGTCAACGGTACAGGCACGCCGGCGGTAGCAGCACAGGCAGCAGTCACAACGGCAACCTGGGAGTTCCTAACCGTCATAGCACTGTTCCCCAAAGTACCACATGTTAGACGCGGCGTCAAGTACCTTTCAGGCGCCGCGGTAGGGGGAGTAGGGATCGACGGGTAGCGGGAGTCTATAGCAGCAGCAGAGCATTCGGAATGCTGGTCGGGGTGCTCGATTCGAGAGAGGGGGTATTCGGGTCGCCGGAGAGGTGGAACCTGCAGGAGAATGTCGTCAGAACGGTGCACAAGGGCCAAAGGCGAAGGGAACAGATGGCCAGCGCCGTCTCGCAGGAGATCAGGGCAGCGACGAGCCTTATGGGGAAATGGATGACGCTGACAGCGTCGCTTACGTTTCGACAGCGCAGTCCTGGCTCGGGACAAGGATCTTGTTGATGTCTTGCTTCGACTGAGAGTAATCACCCCACCCTCTCTTACAGACTTGAGACGCCTCGCAAAGCAGGAAACATGGCGTTTGCTGACCGATGGCGCTTTGATTAATAGCCTACCCCCGACCAGGCACCAACGGTACATGTAAGCATATACGAGTTGCTGTCCACAAACAAGTCGGCGTGACATTATCCAAAGTAGGTGAATATAGAGAGACAAGACAGCGCCATCTTGTTATACAATGCACTAGCTCTCTCTCCATGTGTGCGTGTACGTGTGTGTGTGTGTGTGTGTGTGTGTGTGTGTGTCTGTGTCTGTGCGGTAACGGCGGCGGCGGAGAAGACGCACAAGGCAGTTGTCATTCTCCTCGGCAATCGCTGGACGGCGGGGGTCAGAATTATGGACGTGGTCGGGCGGGGCGGCGGACAGTGACTGACGTGGCCCGGGGCCGGAGTCTGATAGGGGAGAAGGGAGGGGGCAGAAGCAGCTTGGTAGCAGCAGATCCTAGCCGGTAGCGGGAGCGGGAATGGGAGCGGTGGGTTGAGTCGTAGTCGTCAAGCCCAAATCCTATATCGACATGACAACTGCAAAGTTGCTTGCACTCCTCGTCCTGTTGGCCTCTAGCCGTTGTTACTCCCCCCCTGTTTGGTCCTCCTTATTCGTGTCTCTGTTACCCTGTGACTGCTCTTACTCCTCCTCCTCCGCTTCTCTTGGCGCCTCCTCCTGGTGCTGCCACTCGGCCTCATGGTGTCATCAGTCCGCTGGTCTCACTCCGTCTCCAAACTCTGCTCTACTGCCGCCGGTCCTCTTCCAAGAGGTGCAAAGCTTCCAGCTCCTCGCCATCCTATCTCTCTTGAAGGCCTTTTTTTTTTCTCGACAGTCGGCTCTTTCGTTTCTTCTCTTCCACCAACCAAGTTTTCTCTTTCTCTTCTTCATCCATCATCACATCACGTCAAACAAACAAACAAACCTCTTCTTCCATCTTGTCATCGGATTCATCTGCGCACCACCAAGTAACCACCAGCGGACTTCTCCACTTTGAGGTTGGCGATGGATGCGTCGCGGAGGCGGGAAATCTTGTTCTGGCCGCGGCATCCAAATCCAACATGGCTTCCTAGAGTACGTGCTCCGCGAGGCGGCTGGAGATGGTGCGGCGGATGGGGGCCGGGAGCAGGCTATTGGGCTTTGCCAGAGAGATGAGAGGGGAAAGACGAGAGAGTGGTTGATGAAGCAGTTGCGGGTGAGGGTGAGGAAGCGGGAGACGAGGCGACGGGAGACAAGGAAGCGCGGGGCATAGTTTCCCAAGGTCGGAGCGGGGTTGATGGTGTCGGCGCGGGGGCTCCGGCGGCGGTGGACTCGGTGGCCTGCACGTAGACGTTTTCGCCTAGGTTGGCTGCAGCAGGGGCGGCAGCAGAGCGAAACCGGCTCATCGGCGGCTACTGCAACGTTTTGTCAGTCTCTATCTGTGATTTGTTAGGAATGGCGGGAGTGTGTCATCAGGTGCTCGGAACTCGAAAGGACCCACGGAGATAGTTGACAAAGTCGAAGCAGAGCCGCTGAGTGTACAGTGAAATCATCGACGAATAAGTCCAGGACACGATCGTTAAAGACGGTGGTGTCGGGGAAATACCTTACCTTCATTGACCTATCGTCCGTCTCATGGGAGAGGGCGTTTGGGGCTCCCGCTGGGTTCCGATTGGGCGTGAGACGCATCTTCCATCTTCCATGTCGGTCGACACTCACTCGCCCGGTCCCGTTAGACCTACAATACCATACCATACCTATGCTTTCGAGGGCGGCGCCCCTACTCGAGACAGAAAAGCGGAGGTAATGCAGCGTCAGAAGAAACAAGTCGTTTCAATACATTAGTCTTGGCTAGAACATGAATCTTAGAAACAAGACTCGGCCAAGTGGCAATGAGGTAGAAAGAGACTGTTGCGAGGAGATTTGATTAGAGGTTTGAAGGTGGTGCCTGCCGAGTTTCTCCCTATCCCATCGCAACAGGTAGGTGCACGGGATCAAGCGCCTCCAGCTAGAATCATCTGATGATCCATCTGCCCTAGACGTCTCAGAAATCATGGATATAAGAGTACTAACAGCTAGGACCAAAGGTGGTGTTTGAACAGAAGACATATCAATAATATGTAACTCCTGCCGCATCAAAGGGGACCCCATGCAGTCCTGATGTGGAGGGGCTTCCGCGCTTATGGGAGGAGGGGGATGGTTTGGTTGGTTATCAGCGGGCAGGGCTATGTCTCCGTCGCCGCCCGCATCGTCTCCAGGATACATACAATGTAGGTTGCGGGATACCCTTGTAAGTATATTCCAAACTAAATTATAGGCCAGTGGAAGCAGAAACCTCAGCTAGCAGGGCTTTGGTTCATAAGAAAAGGAGAACATATAGGTTTATAGGGAAACAAGGGACAGGGAAACCCTTAATGACCGGCTGGTGATGTGATCCATGCTTGCGCTTAGGTAGGATAATGGTTTGGCCGGTTGAGGGGAATTGCCTGAATCCGGCGTCGTTAGGCCCCCAAGAGTCGCACGACGCTCCTCAATAACAAGGCGGGACCCAAGATTAATAGTATGCTTGCTTGTATTACAGCATAATCAACACATCAGTAGGCTTAAAGCCCTCTACTAGCACTCTTTTAATGAAGTAGGCCGCTGTTCCCAACGTTTAGGTAGCCTCCTACTAGTACCCAAGTAAAGCTAGCTACAAGATAACTATAGTTAGCATTAAACAGCAATTATGTAAGAGGTTACCCTAAAGGGATAGAGGATAACAATTGTTAATAACTAGGATAAAGTCAGGGGAGCTTTCAATCGACCTAAGCTGTTCCTACGTAACCATTTCCAGGCCGCATAGGGAGAGTCGTCCTTGAATTGATTATACGAGTCGACGTCCACCATTCCCTCAAGGCTCTAACTTATCTGGTACAGGAAGGGCGGGAAGAATGCAACAAAGAGCCGTAGATAGAAACTAAAGCGCTGCTTGCTTGATGTTAACTTGCGAACAGTTGAGGCACCTAGGACGATGTGTTGATTAGCCAACAAAGACAAGAGAAAACCTTCCTAATACCACTAGAGTATAAACGAATCAAAAAGTAACATTCTATAATATGGTACTATATAAAGTTAATGCAATATGACGAGGCAAGCCTGGTACAAGCGGGCAAGATAAGGACAAGAACAAAGAAGATAGTGGCGGGGTATAGTGATAATAGTTAGTCCTGAAGCAACATGTCCAGGTGTTCTGTATGGACGCGCCTGCTTAGCTAGGTCTTTTACCCTATGACGAGAATTAAGTCGTCTGCTAGTGAATATAACGTAAGGATATTGTTTCTATTAAACTTTTATTATCTTGTTAAATAAATGGTCTTAACAGGCTCGCCATGGAAAGGGATCGTAGGGAGCATTAGAAATCTCGATGGTGTGGATGAAATTGTTGGCTATGTTGCAGAGAATACTAGATCCGTGACCTTGGCTATGTTCCGATTTTGGCTCTGCATGGCCTGCTCGGGGGGGGGGGGGGGGGGGGGTGGCTAGAGAAACTAGCTACTTTAGATATCACAGTAAAAGTAAGCCCAAGGGAGAGTTACCTCAGTGCTAACAATAACAAACCCTTTCTTCTACTCCTAAAAGGGAGTAAAGTAACTAGCCCCCCAGAGCTCATCTCAAGTACTTAAAGAGCACTCATTATATCTCTGCGGTGAATACGTGGTTGTGACGTTAGAGTGTAGGGGTAACAGGCTCCTGTTCATGTGTTCTGAGCCGAGTCCGGCCACAGGCGAGCCGTGGGCCTCTTATGAGGGAAGCTCAAGTCTGTTTCCCCTTAGGCAATGATAGACAGGGTCGGGGGATGAGAGATGCGAACATTGGCTAGGTGCGAGATTCTATTTGGCAGCGTGGGCTCCCAGAGGCGGCGCGTAAGAGCGTGCACGTTCAGCGGCACGCTCCATGGCAAGGGCTGGCGTCGCGTCGTGGTCGTGGCCGTGGTCGTGGCCATCATCGTAGAATGGCTGGTCAGAGAGACGGCATCGGCCTCAGCAGGATTCGCTCTTTTTCCGGGTTCCAACTTTGGCTAGGCGTGGGGTTAGACGAGACATGCCAGAGGTCAGTCAGCATGCGAAAGATGGGAAAAGAATAGACGAGAGGGACTTCCGAGGTGATGAGGTTGGGCCTGAATGCGAATAAAACTGTGCTGCGAGGAGCTGACTAGCGCGTCTGGGCGGCAGAGAGCGGTTGAGAAGGCGACGGTCGGTCTTGGTTTTGATGATGGGTTGAAGCTTCGCGGCGAGTTGGTGATGGAAAGCGACGGAGAGAAGAGTCGGAGACTGATGACGTGGTCTTTGAACTCCCGGATGGTGGGGTTAGAGGAAGTTGAAGGCGTTAGGGCTATCGGGGGGACATCTCGTAGATGTCTGTTTTGATGTCGCCGTTAGGCATCGATCGCTTTGCCTGCCTTGAGGAGGCGGGAAAAGAGCGTGGCGTGCGTGGCATTAGGCCGACCTGTCGTCAGGTCTGGTCCTTACTGCGAGGGGAAGCAGCCAGGTACGAAACCCCCAAGTCGAGCAAAGTCTGAGTGATGATTACGTCGGGGCATATATGCCGAGAATCGAGGTGAAAGAGAGTGTGTGCTTGGATAGGTAGAAGAAATCAATCGAAAGGGGATTGTTGGCCGCGCGTGAGATACAAGATGCTCGTACCTCGCTCGCATGTTGTCAAGCTAAAATCCTTGGTGCCGGCCATATCGTCAAGCTTTTGCAAGGAAGGTCGATTTCAACTTTGATGGAGGTGATGGAGGTGATGGAGTGTAAAACAGGTTGATGATTATGTGGAATGATGTTGTTGATAGTCACGACATACGGCGGAACCGGCAATGAGGAAGGAACACTGCTTCAATGATTTAAGGGTCTCAACAGGCTTTGTATCTTTCTACTCTCCCCAGCGGTTTATTCTCTGCCTCGGTGTTATCGGCCCTCACAGAGGCTCAGGAATCGTGCATGTCTTTCTTCGGGTTACGTCCAGTGATTGGGTTATTGTGTCGGGAGGAGGATAGGTCTCATTCCTAGCCGAGAGAGAGGCATTGTTAGCATTGAATTGTGCCCCATGGCGAACAGGGAGACGGTGTTGTGGAGTAATTGTTACCTGAGGGAATGATGGATGGAAAAGAGAATAAAAGGCGACAGACATGTGTTTGGTTGGCCATCACCGGATAGTGGGTAGGCAGCTTGAAGCCAGCGGGAGTCACCTGCGGATCAAAGACGTATGTATGTACGCATGGAGGCTGGGGCTGGACTTTTCCTCGATTGCCATCCATCTCCCTTGTTAGATAAACTTGGTCGTCTTGCCCTTGGCGACGACGAAACCAGACAACGCCGCCAACTCCGGTGTTTTCTGCCTCGTTGCTTCTGACGTCCGCCTTTCCGGGGGCGGGGCGGGGCGGGGCGGAGGATTGGTTCGGCATAGAGGCGGTTGTTGAGCGATACGTGCCATCACCGGGATGGATGGCGTCCGTCTGGGGTGTCAGGATGATGGATGAGCTTCTTGGATAGGCCATTTGGCGTACTGGTGTCGAGGTCGGTTGATGTTGTTGCATGGCAATGGACAGTTCAGCAGGTACTACCAACTTACCTACTGTGCCAGCGAAGACCAGACTTAGGACCGTCACATCACCCACCAAAAGAAGAAGGAATAACTAGCCGGTGGGTGCATTGCATCCTTGCCAATACATAACGGGGGCCAGCCAACAAGAGCAACGGCCGAGGTAAGGAGATCCTTCGATTCACTCAAAGTTCGGATCGAATGACGGGAACCTGACTGACATGTATTTCTTCTTTTTCCTCGTTATCTCCAGGCCAAATGCGAAACGCCAAAGCTACCCTCTCTCCCGGGAATTATTACACACGCGATCCTGCTATGCCTCTGATGCTAAAAGTTATAACATAGCTCTCCTAGCCAATCCCCCGTGTCCCTTTTCTGGCTCCGCTCTTTGACCGGTACGAACCCGTCAATGTACATCCTACGCACCGTTGGGTCCATCAAGAACCGTCCCGTATCCACCGCGATTCTTCTCACTACCGCCGCCGCTTCATCGTCTCGGCGATTCCCATCAAGGTTCCGCTCCACTTGGTTCATGATGGCGTCCAGTATTACATCCTTGGCACGGGCGTTGTCCTCAACTGCGAGAAGACTCTCTTTGCTAGCTGCTTGTGCTCCATGATTAAACACAGGCGAGTGGGGGTCGAGGCCGAGGATCTCAAAGAGACTAAGGGCTGTGACTTGGGGACGTAGCCTGTGGATATTGTGGTGATGGTGACAGACTTTCGCAAGAATGGGTGATGGGATTGGCGACGGCTTTGGAGGCTCGTACGGAGGCAGAGGACGAGGACGAAGAGTTCCCAGATGGGGAATGGGGATGCCCGTACAGCAGAACATCAATATAACGAGGGCCACGACAACTCCCGCGCTTTTCCAAGACAGGATGACGACCTGTTCCTGTTCCTTGTTGATGTAGCTACTACTGCCAGCGCGCGGAGTGCTGCTTCGTCGAGTAGCGGATCTTGGAGCGTGGCTTTGATGCGGACGGAGATGCCAGCTCGATTCGCTCCCATATGCGTTGTATCTGTGGAAGCCGTTCATGTTGCTCGAGTCATCATCACTCGAGTATTCATCGTATCCGTGCCTTTTGTACATATTCAGGCTATGATGATGAAGGTGATGAAGGTGATGAAGGTGACGAAGGTGATGAAGGTGACGAAGGTGATGAAGGTGATGAGGATGAGGATGAGGATGAGGATGAGGATGAGGATGAGGATGAGGATGAGGATGAGGATGAGGATGAGGATGAGGATGAGGATGAGAATGAGAATGTTGGTATTGTTTGCTGCTGTGAGATGCAGGAGCTGTGATCTATCAAGCTTGCAGCATACATGCAACAATAAGAGCAGGACGAACACGGGTCTTATATGCTCCCTCCGTCCTTGGTCATCTCACATGTCACATCACAACTCCTGTCACCTCGACGGCGCCAGAACATTCATCACCTGCCAGAGAAACCAATCAAAACAGGCTGTTACTTCTCAGGATAGGGCAAAGCCGAGAAAAAGACTCCATCTACCTGTCAAATAAGCGCATCGTCCCCAGCCAAAACATGCGTCTTCCAAAGACATAAAGAAGCCAGTCCGGCCGCCAGATTAGTGGAACTCATCACATCTCAAGTCAATCAAACAATAAAGCAATAGCGGCACGCATTGATGGTCAGAGAAAAAGGCCCAGCATCCGGCCCTCAGCCATACCGTCGCCCCAAACTCCCAGACGAAGAATCCCCTCCTTGATATCCCCGTCCGCGACTTTGCCCAAGACCGCAGCTTGGGCCGTCAGGCGCAGTCTCCTGTAACTCTCCATCATGGTATGTTCGAGACCACGAAGCCCTGCCAACAGCTCCCCCACTTGGGCAAACGTCTGACGGATCTCACCCTCCAGTGGCTCACCGTGGACGGCGAACCGTCTGTACAGGTCGTGATACCGCGCCCTGGCCAAGATGAGACGGTGGAGATAGTCGTAGTACGTCGAAATGACGGATATGTAACGCTGCACGGCGGGGGGTGCAGATACAGGTGTGCGTCTGATCTGAACCGTAGGTTCAAGACTGCAACCTCGTCCTCCCCGTGGTAGGGAGACTCCTGAGGAAACCTGACCTGATGCGGATGGGGGAGGGGTAGTGGTCGTCAACCGGGACGATTCCGCGTGGAATTGGGGACGGTGATGCCAGCGGCCCCCCTCCTGTTGGCGTACTGGCGTCTGTGGCGGCGTAGCTGGGCCGTCACAAACACGCCCTTGCGGAATATCCCCGCGCTCCCGAGAGGAAACCGCTCTGTTATTATCCTTTTCGCTGTTGTTGTTGTTGTTGTTGTCGTCGTCGTCGTCGCTGTTGCAATCAGGTGGATCTGTGTCACCGTCCCAGTCCGAATCCAGCCATTTCTGCATGAACATAGGATACCTGTTTGCATCGCCGTTTGTTAGCCATCTGGACTAAGAAGAAGAAGAGGATTCTCAAAAATCCTGGACTTTGCCGACGTACCTCCAAACATCCTCGGCCACATCTTTTGCGAGGTTTTCTTTGCTTTCCCATATCGGTCTGTATTGCTTCGAGTTCCAGAACTTGCTGGCCCGTCTCTCGACGGCTTCTAGAATACGTTGTTGGGTGAAGCGTGCGTGAAGAGGCCCGACGCAGCCCATTCGAGCAAAGAGCTCCGCAGGGTTCCCACCAGCCTTTGCCGACCTTGGGGTTAGCCCGTGCCGGACAATGTACTGGGCAATCATCCGTTCTTGACCGGGCTTGTACGTCAGACGTGGCATCGGATCGCCAAGGATTATACCGTTAAATTGCTGAATCACTGTCAAGTCAGAGCCTCACAGGTCAGAGAAGAGGTAGAGGTGGGGGGAAGGGAGGAAGGAGGCTCACGGTCTCTGTTGTTCGGCCTCTGAGTTGGGGCATATTGTCGTTGGCTCTCTGGGCGAGCCCTGACACACCGAGTGAATGTGTGCTGAAAAAGAAGAGTCTCATGAAACAGAGAAACAGAACCAAGTTGAAGAGGCATTCGGTGGCGCCTTGGATTGATGCTTCATTTCGACTGAGAGCGGTGAGAACGACGATGAGAAGTGATAGATTCGTGTTGGCTAAGATATGGCGACGAAGCTAGTCTAATGTCTTGGGCTCGGGAGGTACAGGCAGAGGCAGACGAACGAACGATGGCGGATAATGGCCTGAAGCCGATATGTAGAATGGGTGAGTGCATTTCAGCGCGTGGAGCTGTGTCTTGAGCTCTGAGGCTGCGGCCGGAGAGCAAACAGAAGAATGTGCAGGAGAAGGGGAGTGCGCAGGTTAACAAGACGACATGAGGGAAAGGAAAGGGGGGTAAACAAGAGGGAGAGAGAGAGAGGGAGAGAGAGAGAGGGAGAGAGAGAGAGTCAAGCAAGCAAACACAGAGACGAGATGGCTCCTTGATGGACAGCAAGACATTCCCTGTTCACCTGGCCATGATCATCCTACAAGTTGGCGTACATCTTGACTTCTAGCTCCCTCATGAGGCCTTCGAGCTCGATATACCTCGAAACCGACGGTTGAAGCTTCTTGTATTCATCGGAGTATTCTTCGTACTTCTGGAGCAACTCGGTCGAGACTCGAGAGAAGCCGGCAATGGCAGCGGCATCAACAGCGGCGTTTTGCGGTGGATGAGAAGGAGTAGCACGACTAAAGATGGAACGAGAAAGAGCGGAAGGACGGACGGGCGGCCGGCCGGCTGTGACTGGCGCAGCAGCCTGCAATGTAGAGACAACTGAGGACGACCTGGTATAGCCACGTCTGTTCTTGGAACGAGGTGTCTCGGGTGCGGTATGCACGCTCGGCGGCGGTGGTGGCGGGTCGATGGCTGAAGTAGCAGCAGGAGGAGGTTCGGTGGCGGCGACGACAGACTTGTCTTCTTCCATGCACCACTGCCTCTGCAGGTCCGCGTGGGCGATGGCGTTTCGGGTGGGCGTGAGGGCACCCGGGTCCGTCGGCAAGGTGAAGTTGGTGATGCTTGTAATGTTTGCCGCTGGCAATGATGACGACGATGACGCCGACGATGACGACGGCGCGCCGATGTGTCTGGGGCTGTCTCGGATGTTGTCGAGCTGGCCGCGGGCGACGGCGAACCACCCCGACTCGTCCTCAGTCCAGCTCCGCTTCTGGCGGATGGCGAGGAGCTCTCTCGCGTAGGCGTCCTTGATGGGGATGGCGGTGAAGTCGAGCCTGACCATGGGGTTTGCGTTGGCCGCGTCGCTGGCGGTTTGGGAGTCAGCAGGGACCGTGAAGAACCGTTCGTTCTCGCGGCGCGTCTTGTCGAGCCAGGCCGTCTCCTCTGCGGTCAGTGGTGGCACCCGTTGACTCAGGAGCTTGCCGGCGTGTATAAGGTGCCTGATTTCTGCATCGCAGAGAGGCATTTCGGGAGGTGTGGAGGTGTGGAGGAGGGGGAAGCGGTGAGAAGGTGACTGCAGATGGATAAGCAGGAAGTGTACGTATGCCTGTCGGCGTTGATGCAGGTATGGATGGATCTTGAGGGGAACGAATGGATGAAAGGATAGAAGCAGCGTCGAGACGAACCGGTTGGTGAAGATGGAGCAGCAGTTCGTCGGCTAAGCGCGTTAGTATCAGGACAAGGTGACTGCAAGTGCATGGAGGCGAGGGAAGAGGAAAAGGGTGTGCATATGTACCTGTGTTTATCGGCGTTGGCGTTGGTGCCCGCGGGTATGGATGAGGGCCAAGAGCAGCGGCGAGGCGAAGAGTGCGAACCGGTTGACCAAGACAAGACAGCAGTTCATCGGCCGGGTGCGTAGGTGCCGGATCCAAGCAGAGCGAATCAGAATCAAAATGTTGCGGGAACCATGTGAGATGGTGGTCCAAGGCCATGGCAGAAGACAATCGCCACATGAGTCGCTACAACTTATATCATATCCCCGCCAGGAGCACACAAAATCTCATCCAAATGTTCTCCGGGCTTCCACAATTCTACCTCCAAAAACAAACCAAAAAAAGAAAAAGAAAAAAACAACAACAACAACAACCAATATTTGCCTGAGGACCAGATGAATGCTGCATCGTCATCATCCGTATCCATCTGCTTCATCAGAAGGACCGTGGACCTGATCAGTCATGGAACCAACGTAAGTCGCATCCCAGTCAGGGCGGGAATGTCAAGCTGACGAGACCAGATGATTGTCCTGTTGTGGCTTCTAATCAGTTGCCAACGACCGAGATTCAAACACCAAAAAACGTGACGTGCTCGCGCGAACCATGGACTTGACTTGATCCGCCATGTAACCAACGTAAGTTCCGTCCCAATCCCCCAGGTTTCAGACCGAGAACATGGAGCTGACGATACCAGATGGCCCTGGTGTGGCTGCTCCATCAGTTGATCACAACCGAGATGCCCTCAATCTGGTGCTCCAGCGAGACGCCGTTCTCCATACAAACAAACACACACGCGTCCGCCGCCGCCGCCGCCGCCGCCGGGTTCATCTTGGATTTCTCTCGTATCATGACACGATGACGGACCGTGCTCATATGAGAATGCATGGCCCAAATTCCATAAACCAAACAAACAAACAAACAAACATCCACGGTTCATTTGCCGCTGGCATTCTGCAGTCCTGGCGCGCCGTGCGGAATACCACCCAGACAATCTCTCTCTTCCCCCATGGCGAACGAACCATACACATGATGGCTTCGGGAAAGGGGCGATGAGGATATGACGGCAGGTGCCTTGGCAAACAATCAGCCGCTCCGTCTATCGTTTTGAGCTGGCGGCGTATGGATCAAATCACTTGAGGGTCGGATCAACTCGGCTATCATTCATTTATTCCTCCTTCGCCAGGAGGTTGTTGCCGGGATTGAGTTCATGTCCCTCGTGCGGCCGGCTTGGTCTCACCTCGTCTCCGTGCTTGTGTCTTTTCTCGTTTCCAATCCCCGGGGTGGGCACCCGTTGATTGGGACATGGGAAGAGCCGCGGTGCGCGTGACTTGTTGAGCCACCCAGCCGTGCGTTGGGACATGGACTTGGTTCGGTATCATACCCATCTCGTCATTTCCTTGGCCTTTGGAAGAAACCATGCTCAAGCTCTACGCAGATTGTGCACCGCGGCTGGCCCGGTCGTTGTTGTGCTGCTGCGTGAGTATATCTCCTCTCATCCCACCGCGTGGTCTACTCGTCTCTCGTGTCTTCCACTTTACAAATTCAGGCTTGGCGGATCGAGCCACTCTGCATGCGAGCATCGAGGATTGTGAACAGTGGGCGCCCACTTGTTTCTGCCTCCCTGCCGCATCAAAGCGATGCATCCAATCTGCCTTGCGCGTCCAGACACGAGCAGCGGCATGTGCCAGGGGATTTGTGCACAGTAGATTTCCGATTCTACTCTCTGCTTGTGCTGCCCCCTCCCTCCCCCCTCCAAAAAAAAACCCCCCCCCCAAAAAAACCCAAAAAAAAACCCCATTTTCTGGCGCGCCCTGCATCTTGGGAGGTGCGATATCTGCACGCACTGCCCATCCCCCAGCCACCCCGTTCCCACCACTGGCAAAACAACAAACAAAACAAACAACACGTCGCATCTGAGGAATACGAGAGACGAGTGGCCGGTGCCCTTCCCCCTGGGGTATTTGTGCAAAGGTGTACAAGGGCATAAGGGTGTTGCCGGGCCAGGTGCGGACCCGTGCATCCGTATCCGATGTTTAAGTGGGACGGGGTCCGTGCCGACCGGGGCCGGGAGTGGTGGGGTGGGGCCGTGTTACACAGTGCGCGTGACTCGGTCATGTCGAGAAGGCCGTTTGCGTGCAAGTTTTTGCCATGGATGATGAAAATCATGATGAAAGATGCACAATGTAACCTACAAGTACACAGCTTTAATGAAATGGTGATATGAATGGTATTGAATGCCCCCTGGTAATGTGTTTGTTGTGCCAATGCGTCTGTCTGCCTGCCTTGTTCTGATGATCCCGCCGTAGATTTAATGAACAACACTCGGGAATGTCATGTTATTCTCTTCATCGCCGTCATCCTCGTCGTTGTCATCGTTTTGTTCCTTTTCTTCTTCGAAGACAACTACCACCACCACCACCACCACTACTACTACTACCACTCTGTCCGCATTACATCCCCATTACTAACATAACTTGCTTGTCTCGAGTCTGCTCATCCTCTGGCCAACGCAGCAGGCCGGACACGCCAATGCCAGCCGTACCGTCTCGTTTGCCGACGTCCTGCGTTTCCAACACCCCTCGGGTCGGATCCCCATTATCTCCGTCCTCATCTCCTTCATCCGCATCACCAACTGAGCCGCATGACGACGATGCCGACTCGGACAAGGCCTATTCACCTGCCCTCTCGGGTCACTTTAACCGCCTCACCTTTTCTGTCGGCTTTCCACACTTGACGACGCCATCACCCCCCAACAACTCGGCATCTCTAGACGCCACTGCCATCCAAACCCAGACCATCTCTCTGTATTTTGACACCAGCTTCGTACCAGGGGAGCCGCTCTTTGCCGTCTTCGACCACGACGGCCTCGTCTCGTGTACGTCGTCACCGCCAAGCCAGTACGCACCCGTGCCTTTCAGCCCATACACAGCCATCACCAGCCACACCATCGTTCACTTCTCCTCCTCACCCCGCAGTCGTCGTCGCCGCCGCCGCCGCACACTTGTCCTCAGCAGCGTTTGCTTGGCCGCGACTCTCTTGCTCTGCTTTCTAGCTATCGGGTTGTTCGTTCTGTTGAACTTGGAGCCCTTTCCGACAACCACAAGTCGCCCCGATGCTGCCCTCCCCGTCGTATTGTCTCCTCTTCCGCTTCAGGATAACTTCACAAGGATTCTCTACCTCCATGATGAGGCTCTCGTTCCCCTGACGATTCCCACCGACCATTACATCGACAACAAGAGCAACAAAAGCAACAGCAACGCCACTTCTCTCGCCCTCCTTGCGTCTTTACACAACCAAGTCACCGACTTCTGCCTCGTACTCACTGCCCGAGCTCCGGCCGATACCGACATTGTCCAGTACTTCAACCGCGTGTGCGGCTGGGTCTCGGATGCCATGAGGGACCTACGTGTCGCGTGGATGCAGGCCTCAACCTTTTACAACAACTCCATGAGCTTTTCCACACCGCATTGGCTCCAGTCCCTTGCGCGGGCGCTGGACGACACACCTCGCGGCAGCAGCCACGATACCAGCACGCGTGCTGTCGCGTACACCGCCGACGCCTCTGACGACACGATCCGCACGAGTAAATACATCTTGACAACCATGCTAGGCTTCCTCGATCCGGAATCCAAGGAGGGACTCCTCCCTCGCAGCCTTCGGAAGGGCCACGCCGTCGTCAACCAGATCCTTCCCAGCGCCGACACCCTCAAGGGCGAAATCGACAGGTTGATGGCACTGGCCGACGAGCACGGAGTCGTGCCGGATGCCAACGCCCAGCCGTCGCAGACCAATAAGCCGTCGTCCATCTGGCAGAGCTGTCGGCTTCTTGTCCTCCGCGACAGCAGCCCTCTCAACAACCAAGGCCAGCTCGGCGCCAACTGGACGGACGCCGCCATCGAAGGCGACAAGGCTATGCTTGGCGTCCACGCTTCCCGGATGCTGGCGCAGTTGACGCAGACGGCCAACAATACCATCAAGGCTCTCGAGAGTCAGGTGGCGGACACGGGGGCGCGGTTCCACGACGCCGAAAAGGCACTGGACGACATGTCGGGAGCACTTCGGGCCCTGCTCGACACGCTCATGTCCTCGGAACATGGGACAACCTCGACCCCGGATTCTCCGTGGCTCGCCACATGCAAACGCGCCATCAACGAGGCTACCCGCTGGCTCTCGTCCATGATTACGACACCGCGTCGCAGCAGCCAGAAGCGGCAGGCCACACCGTGGATCACGCAAATCAACAGCCATGACGACATTTCGACAGTCGACCGCCGGCCTTGCGACTGTGCATCTGCGCATCTGATACTCTGGTATGTCCCGGATGTCGATGGGCTTATCAGCCATCTCCGTGAAAAGGCCCGTAGCTACGCCGTCTGATCAAGAGAGAGGGGGGCGTCACAGGATCGATGGTAATCATTACTTAATAATCTACATGATGCTCTCGCTACTCCCGCTGACCCTGCTGTCGCTGCTCACGCACCCATGCCACAAACACCGCCTTGGCTGCCTCTACACGACGCTCCGCCTCGGCAAATGCCGCAGTTGCTTCCTCCGCCTTGGCGCGTGCCTTTTGGAACTCCGATGAAGCATGCAGGTAGACCTTGGCACTGTTTGTGCTGATGGTGCTGCTACGGTTGCCGGCTCCGGAGGCCTTGGAAGCCCCGTTGTACGCGTCGGTTCCCTCTTTGAACGCGTCCCTTGCTCTCGTCTCATCCTTGTTGGCCTCGTCGAGCCGTCTTCGGGCCTGTCCTCGCTGGGATCTCGCGCGGGCAAAGGCGTAGTATTCGGCTGGCAGAGGCGCCAGTGCCGGCGGCGGCGTGACGATGGCGTGCAGTGGTGGTGACCGTCGCAGATTCAAGGGTGCAGGGGCGAGAGATGCGGCGTTTGCCTCGACATGACGGGAAACGTCATCCTGAGCTGCTTCTGGCGAAGAGATTGCCATCTCGCTCGTGAGAGCTGTAACAGCCTCCACCTCGGTGGGCACATCTGCCGGCGTGACCGGAATGACGATGTTCCCATGTCCATGATGATCAGGTGCTTGGTCATCTTCGCCTTGCTTTCCTTCATCATCGTTCCACTTGTCGAAATTTTTCGTGAGCCAGCCCTTCAAATGTCTCTGATCGTCGACACGCCAAGAATCGAGAAATGGCTCCTCGTCTTCACTCTCAGTCGTTGTTGAAGCAATGTTGCTCGCCTTGGCAAGGCGGGGCTCCAAGATGGCCAAAAGGCTCTCAATGGAGCTCTTGTTACCTTCGTTCGGCGCGAGGCATTTGACGTGTTCGTAGAAGCGGAGCAGCTGGCGGCATCGGATTGACGCCTTGTTGTTGAGCTTGGCCTTCTCGCCGGTGCATGGCTCCATGGACTATTCATGCGACGAAGCTGTTAGCAGGACTCGGATGCATGGAAGGCCTTGATTGTTGAGTCGAACGGCGAGACTTACTGCGTAGGTGAGGTTATCAAACACGTCGGTAGGCATGCTGGTTTGGAAGAAGCCCGAACTAGTGTCGTGTCGTGGCGTAGGGATGAGTTAAGTACCAAGTCTGCAGCACCTGTAGCAGAAGAAACAAAAGCGGCGTGTTAGGAACCTGTGGAAGATTCCGAGTCATTTATTCAAGCGATGGATCAGTTTGGAATGGTCTCGTGTTTTCTTTTTTGTTTGCATTGGCGATGGTGCCTGGTGTCGCGGATGTCGGCAGCACCCCGCCGCCATCCGCAAAAGAGTCTGCGGGAACTGACTAGAAACTTGGGCCATGGAAGAGGGAATCGTCTTCTCCGTTGTTTGTTTCTTCTTTCTTTGGTGGGGGGTTTGATGTCTTTGTTGCTGTGTTGGCTGGGACGTGATGGACGAGACATGGTCAAAGTGGTGTGTAAGTGCCTTGAGTTCTGCAGAGGATAATTTGCATCTGACATTCTGTTTGTTTGTCTCGGCAAGTCATCTGCGCAATTTTCACTCACACACCCACTTACTTTTACACTCTTCCATCTATTCATCTATAACCGACCTGCCGGACCCGTCTGTCTTCCTCGTCTCTCTCCTCCAACTTGATTCAACACGCCCGTCACAAAGCACCATGCCTCCAAGTCAACCCGACGGCTCAAGCAACAATGCTGGCAATCTTTCACAGGCCGAGGCGGACAGGATGCTCAGGAGGATGGATAGGAACCAAAGGGTAAAGACCTATCCGTACTTCCCTCTTCTTCCTGGATCAAATAACATGACTTGGCTTGCTGACTTGACTGGGCCAGAAACAAAGAGAGGCCCAAGGCAGTGTCCGGGAAAGGCCCGGAAAAGAGACCGACACCAGCACGGGGAAAGAAATCCACATGCCTCCCAATACAGATGCTGCTGCTGCTGCTGCTGCCGAACACCTCCTCCCCGCCTCTTCAGGCTCGAAGACACCCCAACAGACGAACAATAACACACAATACAACGCGCCCGTCCAAGTGAACCACCGGACCACAAACACAATAACAAATAACAATTATTACGAGACGACTGCACATGTGAAAGGGAACCGTTTAGGCACGCCGGGAAGACTGTTGGCCAACCTCGCTGGCTTTGCTCGGGAGGCTTGGGCTTCTCCTGCCCGCTACTACGACATCGTTCGTAATATTCCACGGCTGTTCTCCATCTCCCTCGCCATCTTCTGTGTTTTTTCCGGGTTCTGGGCCTATCAGACCATTGCCCAAGGGCTCGGAAGATGGATGTGGCCGTCTCCCATCTCGTACTCGTATACTTCGCCCTCCTCACCCTCGCCCTCCCCCACGATCATCACCGTGCCGTTTGCCGTGTCGGTCAGTGGCCCTCTTCCGACAGAAAAGGGCCTCATCTTCCCCTACGCACGTGGTGTGCGCCAGCTTCTCGCAGATGTGCAGCGCTCGTCTCTCGCAGACACTACCGACATTGTCGTCCTCTATGATCAGTACGCCATGCTCGGCGCCCAGATCGACACGGCCTGGGCCGAGGCTCTTTCGGCACTTCTCACACGGATGCGCTCCGAGCTACGCGACATGGAGCACTACTCGGCCGCGACAGTCAAAGACACCTGGTGCTCGCAGTTGGGGTTTCACACGCACCCCGTCGTACCTATTATGCAACGGCGCATACAACGCTTCGTAGGAATCCTCCTGACCGGGCAGAGGATCGTGCAAGACGCAAAGCGGGACCTCGTCTCTGGCAGGCCGGATCAACCGGACGGGCCAGCAGCCATCATGAACAAGATCACACAGAATCTCTGCGCGTGGGCTGACGTCCTCGACAGCGGTGCGTTACCGGACGATCAAGCGCTGGCTGACATTCAACGCGGGGCCGGGAACGACGCGTCGGCCGTCTGCGTGATCCTAGAGCGGAACCGGGATAGTAGGGTCAAGGAACGGCTCGAGGTGCTTGATGCCTTTCAGTCGCTGCTCGATGAGGGGCTAGTGAGCCGATGGACGCTGCAGGAGGACCTTGAAGCTGCCAACTGGTGGTTTGGTTTTGACCGGCATACGTTGGCTTCCTTGGAGCTGAAGATGAGCGAGGTGTATCGGAGTTGCTACGCATTTGCTGGCAAGGTATTCATGAGGGGGGGGAGTCGAACCGGCATGTAGCCCAGGCATGTCTGTTGGTCTCAAGCTTATATTACCTATCATTACATTAATAATCCAAAACAGTAGCCGCAGTATCCCATCTATTCGTTCTGTCATGTTTGCACATGGCTTTTGTAGACTTGACAAAGTAACCCTAGGCTGCTTGTGTTGTTCTGATGGAGGTGGGAGATTGACGATGGTGGGAAGAGACGGATGTTCAACAGAGCGAGCGGGAATTTTTCAAGCCTCTACCCGGGTTCAAGCACAGCTTGACAGTTGAGTTTGGCGACTGCTAGATCATTCCGTCATTGGATCTCGTGGAGTCAGTCCTCCTTGTGGAGGCTCGAGATGAGAGTGTGACAAGCAAGGACGACCGAGGCGAGGCGGATGTAGCGAAGATCCGTGTAATATTGAGAAAGTTCGAGGCTGCTCACATTCTCCATGATGGATACGCCAGCGCGCACCAGCTCGCGGCTAAGTCGTATGATGTCCTCGTCCTCCTTTGTAGTAAAGAGTGTCTGCTTCGACTTCATCTTGTGGTTACTCTCTGAAAATGGATTGATAGTCAGAGTGGCAGTATTGGAGTGTAGCGAGCGTGTCGACATGTTGGTCCGTACCGTTCTTGGGTCGGGGGGTCGAGGAAGGGTTCAGAAGATGACATGTTGTTTAGGTAGTCTACCTAGCTGCAGCAATGGAATTCATTCAGCTTCGGGAGAGTGTGGGAGTGCCAGCGGCACACGGTGTGCTCTACTGAGAGAGCCAAAGGTCAGCAAGAGCAGTGGAAGAAAACAAGAAGCAACCGTACCTAGGTAGTGAGTTACTGACCAGCGTATTGAAGACGCTAGCTGGCTGCTGTAGCCATCTATAGATTGGCGCGGTCTGGATTAGAATATGTGCGGCCTGAGATGTGGCTGCGCCATCTGGGAAGGGCGTTTGGTTGGCAAGGTGTGAACAAATCCGTTTCCTTGGTGCAATGCAATGTGTTATTGAAGTGGACTGAGACGTATGTATGCCCGACCATCCTTGGTCCAAAAAACGGGTTGGAAGTGAGAGAGTTGTCGAGTGCAAATGCACTCGTTTTACTCAAGCACATAGAAGTCTGTCTGCAATGCCTGTCTCTCTTACTAACGCTGTGTCCTCCCACTCTTTAGCTAAGCAAGTTCAAGTTCCCTTCAAACGGCGAGAGACCCTGTCGAAGATGGGTACCCATGAGTCACTTCGCGTCTTCCATGTCGTCATCATTATTATCATCATCAGCCCCAAGGCTCTGTATCCTCGACTCCAGCGTAGACTCGGCCCCTTCAAGTAGGCCGATCAGCTCGCCCCATAGAGAGCAGCAGCTCTCCTCCCGTTTCCTCAACCTCTCTCAAGCAACAGCCGGCTAAAAGATGACAGATATCTAGATACTTTATGTCTACCTACCGGGGTAGGTAACTGTGCGCAGAAATTTTGAAGTGCAAGGTACCTATCTATCTACCTTAGGTAAGCAGTATCTTATCTAACAGACAGGTACGTATCTTGCAGGGTGTCCATGCACATTCATGCCATTCATTCCCCATGATTTCTTTCAGCTGCTGCTCTCGTCTAGAGAAAAAACAACACCCGCCTCACCAGCAGCCGTCACAGACACGATGTGTGCAATGGCATCATCACCTCCACGAACACCGATAGATATTCGCGACAATGACTTTGAATCTCTTTCAATCGCCTCAATCATTCGATCACACCCCCATGAGCGTCTCTTCGTGAGGCCCCTGCACTGGACATTGCGTCACGTCAACGACCTGCTAGGCTGCAGCTTCATCCACCACAAATCATCACCTCCATTGTCGCGCCTTTCTCCTCCATCGTCGCCAAACCGCAAGCTTGATTCCAGCACCGTTTTGCGTGCTCAAACTACGACCGGTATTGATGTCTCATCTCCCAAAGTCGTACCTCGGCCTCACCCGTCCCCCAACGACCAGCACGTCAGGATTCTGGCTCAAGGCCGGTCATTGTTCGCCAAGGCAGCTGCCCTGTCGGCCCTCGTGTCAAACGGCCCTGCTGCCCTTGAGCGAACAAGGTATGTGCTCTCGTAATTCTGCAGACTGGCTAATCAGAATGCTAATGGTTGGCTTCTCTATAGTAAACAACTCATCTTTCACTTCGACGGGCATTCAATTCCCATGCCAGCCTCCATCTTCTCTCGCCCACAACCAACCCTTCCTCCCGGTGGCACACTGCCCATACTTGCTTTCTTGCATCGTCTTGATATCCAACGCAGCCGCGAGGCCTCCCTGGAGTACATCCTTTGCCCACCACCAAGCCGTCGGCCCAGTAGTCCCACCGCGCGACTCTACGACAAAAGGCTCGCACAAACCACCCCCTCCGACCCGCTGCAGGATCCCTATATCCTGGCCATGCTCATCGCCCTCGCCCAATCCCAGCAGCGCCAATATGCTCGAGCTCGTCTGCTCTCCACGACCCAAAGCTTCCAGGTATGTCTGTCGCCTCTGCTGTCGCGCTCATCCATCGCCCATGGACTTACCCCAACTCTGGCCACGCAGGTTCATGTCATCGTGAGCGATACCAAGGTCAAGTCGCACCTTGTCCTATACACTGCCGACGTGCCTTCCGTCTTCCTCGACAGACTTACAAGCCCACACAAGCGTCCCCACGCCGCCCACCATCTCGCTATCCGCTCGATCGATATCCCCTTCCAACCGTACTCGTCGTTTCTGGAACGACTAACGCAAACGGTGGTCCCCCCGAGTCCGAAGCGTTCCTGAGACTTGGACCCATCGGATGAGAACGCAAGGACTAACAAGCGCAGGAAGATGGCATGAGGAGAAGGAAGGAACAGCGACAAGGCACAATAATGAATACCTTCATCTCACGATTGGAACGGTGGATACGGCATGTGCGGATACTGCAAAATGACGGGTTTGGCTTCATTGTTCGGCGTAATCAAGATACCCATTCTGTTTTTTTTTTTCTTCGCTACATAGCGGCGGCCGCCCACTAGGCTGGACACTGCCAAAGTTCGCTCATCGCCCAAGACACGATTCTGTACGAGACTTGGGGGACGGGGGGGGCGAAGGCTAGAGTACGACGCGTCCAGTCACTCGTCGTGACTTGGTCGACATGACTCATATCGCTCAGCCTTTCCACCTCGCCTCTTGCTGTGCTAAGCAAATCGGCCAAAGGCGCGACTCTGTTGACGCCGCTTGGATCGACAGCCAAGTGGGAAGAAGGATATTGTTCCCCGAAAAAGAAATCGGGCACAATGGCGAAACTTCTCTCTTTTCTCTATCCTTTATTTTGAGAATCCCCGCGTCCTTTCCTGCCATACAGCCCCATCACTGCCTGGTTTGTTTTATGACATTGTTACTGTCGTCTTCTCCACCGTCATAGTCATTACCTTCGCTCTCGCTCACATCCAATCCAAAGCAGTGGACGTGTGTCCACGTCATACATGCCATGTCCATTCCTGATCCTGCCCAGCAAAGATGGACAGGAAGACTGCGCTACTAGAAATCCCTTGCCAAGGAAAAAAGTCGCTAGATTAGAACATGCTGAATTTTGGGCTAGTTGGCGGTTCTGGGGGGCGGAACGAGAGAGCGAGGGACGGCTAGCTCTTCGTGATCCAGGTAATTCAACCAGAAAAGCCGTTGCAGGCAACTCTTGCATTCCTGTGGTGGTTCGTCGGGCGTCTTGCCATCCAGCTCCGCCGCAGTCTTGATCATGATACTCTAAAGTCGTGAGTCAATGGCCGGAGTCATGATGTAGGCTGCCAATGCGATAACGTGGACGCCGCAGTCCGACCCGCTCGTCTGCTGTGGGTGGAGGTGTTTACGAAGGGAGGTAAGTGGCGGGGATGAACGAGGCACTGGTGGGCCAGATGTACTGCACGCCAACAGTCGTCTCAATAGTAGGCCACGCCTCAGCCAGGGATACCAGTGACAAGAGGAAGCACTTGGTCATGTGCGAACGGGAGTATAAGCACGTAGCGGCGTACAACGTCGTATAGTTGCTTAATAAGTGCAACGAGATGCAGACGAAGTGGGCTATCAAGACCAACGAAGTGCTGTCTAGGGCTTTGAAAAAAGAAGTGCAGATCAATCATCCCCAGCATGAAGGCATTAAACAAGTGCTCAGTAGTGTTCAAGGAAAACAGCCCCTTAAAATTGTGCAAAAGCATAGCTTCCATGGAGATCATTAACTACTTCTCGAACAATGCCTTCTAGAAGACGCTGTACATGCCGTTCGAGACTGCCATGCTCGTACACCGCGGCCATCTTGATCGAAACACTGGAAGCGCGACACGCCAACTTTTATGAGAAAAACACTAATCTTAACTTATAGTTATGTTTACTGGTAAGGGCTCAGAGTCTTTAAACTTGTGTTATACTCCTACTGTCACTGTTACCCTCCCCGTCCTCGGATTGAGCGCCTTATGGCTTCTCCTTCTAATCGTGTTTCCTTGTCTCTTTATGTGAGAAACAAACTTGATTATCCTAGGAGTTAGAAATTTCCTCTATTCTCATGTGATGCCATCTTGGCAAGGACACACTCCACTACGAATTAACACTATAGTCTTGTGTGTATAAATTAGCACAACTACTAAGCTAACTTGCCCCTAAAACAAGCACGCACTTTGGCTACCCTTTATATAATCAAGGGAGCCAAGGTAACCTGCTTGCCTAATTCTACCTCTCTCATAACCTCTATATCTACGATTTTCTGAAGAACCTTGCCCAGGGAAGATTCAACAGTATCATTATCGCCGGTACGTCAGTCACGGCCTCATCGGTGGTTTAGCTCGCCCGCGAACCCGCTTGGCCTTGGTCAACATCCATCATCGTCAGTACGTCAAGCTGCAGCCCAGCGTGGACTCTGTTGCCACTGACGCTCCGGCGCCCAACGGTTGTTCGCGCCATGGTTGAATTGAAGTCAGATTCAGCAGTTGCTCTGCGTTATCGGGTATTTCATACCGTTTTAAGATATTAAGAGCTAGCACAGGTCAGAGGTGCCCTGTATTGGGGTTTACGTACTGTAGTATTATATATGTATCTGATGAACCATCAATGCCATTCCTGAGCCTGCATTCGCTTTCACTATAAACTAGGTAATATTGTAGTGGCAGGAAGCTGTGAATTCCCTGCATAATGAAAATGGGGCATCTATTTAATAGTAGTTTGTGTTGGAAACCCCAACAAGATTCAGATGTTAACAGAGCTCTTGGTAGTACTTACGCTTAAGAGTAATGCTAGTTGTCTCATCTGTGGGGACAACAAGTCGTCACACGTCCTTCTAATCTTATTTACCTAAGGTATCCACATGCTCCCCAGTTCATCGCCAAAAAGTGTCTTTACCATTGTTGCATAGGTACTTAGATAAGTTACTCGAGGAGCGATGTCTGGACTGAGTAGTGATGGTTTTTCATGGTTGTACCAGATGGGACAGCAACGAGTAAATTAGTAGTACTGTTGAAACAGTAGGCGGAATTATCAACGTCCGCGCTTTCAAAGTGGTTGATAGTGTCAGCAACGTCGAGCGAATGGCTATTATAAGCATCGTCTGCGTGCTCGCTCCAATAGATAAATTTATTAGTGTTGTTGTTGTTTAGAAGTTGACGAGGTATAGTCACTGATTAGGTAGGCTGTATGTTGGGAGGGGTCTTACTTGGAACACCAGTAGAGAATGCATTTGAACTATTAGTATTAGGTGCTACAGTAGTCCCTCTTTGTGGCTAGATATCAGGACTATCTATTTCCCCCCTAAGGGAAGGATGTTAGTAGCAGCAAAAAGAGGGTAGGCTATAACATAGACTAGATAAGCAGAAGGCTAATAAACACAAATCTATTGCCATTTAGAACATCAGTCTTTCTATAGAGGAAAAGTGTTCAAGACTTATATTAATACTAGGGCGCTAGATAATAGTGTTAGCTGACATGTAGTGGCAATAGGCCGCAAGTTACTTGAGAGTGACTTTAGGGTAGGCTTGCGAAATTAGGCTAGAGCTTTAATGCAAGTGAGGTTTAGGGTCACGTAAGTACTTGATAAAGAACAGGGCACATAGGGTCCTGTCTCTAGGCTTTTAGTGACAAAGGAGTAGCTTTTCTGGACGCAGAAGGCCATGCCTTTGTAGTGGTGGCCAATGGTTAGAAAGAGGATCTGGCAAAAGCATTTGAAGATACAGTGCAGGACATAACGCAAGGTCTAGAGCTCCAGAGTCCCGTCGTCTAGGTTGCGGGGTTTGGGGCTCAAAGACGTCTTAGCGATGCTTCTAGTAGTCAAGGATAATGGTTTCTATGTCGTCAACTTCATAATAGAATCTCTTGACACGTCAAAGGCTTCCTTTAGAATAGTTAAAGGAGACAGGTGATATGGTTCTAGCAAAGATGAGAGATGTTGACATGGGCAGGAAGGCAGACATGGGCAGGAAGGCAGACATGGCAGAAAGGTAGCCTGTCAGATAGTGCTTCTTTCTGCCACGCTTGGTGATGGAAAAAGCATGCCAAAGGTAGGTGGAGACTTTTGACAAACGCTAAAGGATGCTCAGAGATGGAAAAAATAAAGAGTTAAGAGAGGAGAGAAGAGAACTGAGATGGGATGTAGTAAAGCGGGCCAGAGGGTCGATGCGGAATTATTTTCCACATTCAACGTCTTCTCTCTCTCTCTCTCTCTCTCTCTCTCTCTCTCTCTCTCTCTATTTTATTTTATTTTACCTCTACTAAATAACGATAAAAACAATCGACAATGGCAACGCCAGCAGCAACACAACCTCACAATGGGGGAGTTGGTATGAAAGATCCAGAGAGAGAGAGATGATGGCTGCGACATGCATCCAAGTTGCGAGATACGTAGATCTCCGTGTCTGGCCCGGCAGTCTCACACGAAGATAATTCAAGCCGTTTTCGTATGACTTTTCCAGCCAGAAAAGGTGTCTCGTAACAGCACTCAAGTGTCTTGAGGCATTTGAGAGCAGAACGGGAAGCCTGTTATTTTTCTCACTTGTCTAATGAAAATGGGAACAACAGTTATGTGGGATGGTAATGCAAACGGGGAGATTGGACGTGGTGACAAGCAAGGATTTAGGCAACCAAAGTGCGGCAAACAAGCGCTTGACAAACAGAGATGAAAAACTTTTCTTCATTATGGATGTGGTATGATGGCCAGACCTGGAAGGGAACATACTAGAGCATAAGATCCAATGAAGCCGAAAAATGGTGGTTAGAAACAAGCGCCGCAGTCCGCGAACCAGACTTCCACGATCCCCCTATACACCAGCCAGCCGAGTAACCGCTACGCTTGAGAACCTCCAGCGATCGGACGGGCCGTATCTCCACAAAAGACAGATCTCCTTCGCAACAGGGAGAACAAAAGGCGACTGGGACAGGCTGCTGCTTGACCCAAAACACCGCGACCACCTCAGCGCATTCCTGAAGGCGCCGAAGCTTGGCAAGAAGTGCTGGATTGGCTTCTTTAGCTGCCCGCAAAGTAACTGGGTTGGGACCGGAAACGGATACAAGGATGCCGACTGGCACTGCTTCGCAGCGATGATAATCCCGGACGCGCGCCGTGGAAAGCATCTTCTGCTGTACGACAACGATGCCAAGGCGGGTGTGACGATGCAGTCACGAATATCAGATGTGATTTGGGGTCTGCAAAAGAATCTCTGGAAGGCTGTGCAGAAGATGGGACGGTTCACGCTGTGGTACTCGACGGACCAGAGCAAAGCCGGGACCAACAAGTGTCTACAATATTCCCTCGAACAGGTCCATCGATGGTCCAAGCTGCAAGACGAAGCACTCGAGGGCGAGAGTGACCTCCGTCTGTCGGGATTCGTGAAACTCACGAAGCAATAACGGGTTTGGGTTGGGTTAGGCCATGTTTGGAATCCCGTGGGGGGCGACGAGGGGAATAATTATGTGCACGGCTTTTATTTGACCTGTTTCCGTGTTTTTTGTATCTCAACTGGATAGAGGTCACGTTTGTTATTCAAGATCTTCTGAGGGCTGATGTTCCTCCATCATGCAACCCGATATGGTGTCACGCGGCGTGCCTTGGCTTGGCGACATAGGTTTACCTGCCTTATCCGGGGCAAGGGGCCCATTCTTGTGCTGCACTCCTCAGGTCTGATATCGAAATCCCAGATTAAGGCTCCTTTCCAAAGGCGATGGACTACCATGGCCCTCCTTCCTCTATAAATGACATCCTCCTTGGTGTTTATTGTACGTACATGTTCAGCTGTCAATACCAAAGTGCCAATGGAGCATGGGCCCAAAGTTGTTATGATCTTAATGTTGACTACAACATGTGTCTTATCTCAACGAATGCAACCAGGTTAATACAGCAACTGAATCTAATGATTATCCTTCTATATACGCTCGAATCAACTTGCCTCATCATAGTATATAGTTTATTACGCGCTTCTTTCGGAGGAGAGTGACTTTGGCAAAGCCTTATAGAGTTTGCAACCCTAACTAACGTACACAACGCTTCCACCTTCAGCCCATTTAGCATGCAGAATGACTAGACCGTTCACAGTGCGGATTCATTAATCAATGCTCGGTTCGGGTCAAAAACCTTTCTTCCTAATCGATATTATAGAACCGATCAAATTCTACCAAATGGCGCTGGAAGTTTTATTGCCGAATGTTTTGTGGCTCAGCTACACGCCGGCGCGCGGATAGAATGTTTTTGGGATGCCTTGACCGGGCCTACCTTTGCGCCAAGCAGTTCTGTTACCGGCCTTTCCCAAATGCGTGCCGTGGCGTCAGGCGGGTTTATCAATTTTCTCTATCTGAGTAAGAGTCTCTTTTAATCGTTGTCTAGTTGCGGAAATGAGACGTCTAGAAGATGACACCGGGTACATATCTACTGACTACGTATTACCCGACACCCGCCAAGTCCAGCTACATTCAACAGCAATTAAGACGCAAGGCAGTAGTAGTCCCTGGCTCCGCAATTTGAAAAGTCTACGGCTCTATTTTCCATAACGGGTGTTAAAGGGTGGGATAACTCATCGCCGGTACGCCAGTCACGCCCTCATCGTTCAGTATGGCCCGCCCGTGAGCCCGCAACCTTATTGAACAGCACCGTTATCGCCGGTTGCCACCAACGTTTCGGCACCCAAAGGTCGTCCGCGTATGCATCCAGGCCATGGTTAAAGTGAAGTCAATTTCAGCAATTGCTCTATAATATAGGGTATACTGAACCGTATTAAGTTATCGAGATCTGGCACAGGTCAGAGGTGCCCTGTATTGGGTTCTACGTAGCTTGGTATTTTATGTGTGTAGGGTGAATTGCACTAGACCACTTACAGGGGTTAAGAGCGACGAAACCCTCCAATATTCCATGACGATAATATCTAGCTAGCATGTACAGGCAGGGGTAAAAGCTAGAATGAATTATAAATTCCCACTTTCACCCGTAGATGAGAGTCTGGTTAGGCAGAGAGGTAGAACAAGTGCGTTTCTTCATTTCTACTTCTGACTTCTATATCCTGTCATCCTCTTTATCTACCATTCTCGGTCAAATAGTAGCGGCTCAAGGACTTTACAAGTGATAACAGACAGACTGGCATGTACTGAAGAGGCCATTCTCAGCAAGCCTTATATGACTTCCCCTGAAAGGCACGGTATTCTAGGCAAGAGCTAGAGTGACAGTTACTTTGGATGCCGCCATGCGGAGGCTATTAGCTGCGGTTCCGACGTAGGTCTTGGTAACACTGCTATAATCACTACTAACCAAGTCCTCGGGGGCTGCGAACCAAGGCCATGCGCCAATCTTAAATGATCTGATATTTGTGATTGTCTTAACACTATAATATAGCGAAAGAGTTTATCTCTTGATGTTCTGGACGTTAACACAAAGCTTGAAGAAGTAGTTTGTTCCTTTGCGCCTTGTGAAAGTCGCTACCTGTGATTGGATTTGTGAGGAGAGATATTGTCCTTGATGGTAAGTGCATTACTATTAGCCTATGACTATTCCTTTCCTAGAATAAGAGGCTTTTTATTAGAAAGACTACGTGCCTTGTGACAGGTTTATAGACCTTGTGTTTGGCATGCCTATGCTGGCGCCTCGCTTAACATATAGACAGGCTAATGTAGACTAAGCACACGGTATGATACCCTGTCTTACATACGGTGTCCTAACAGGTTCTTAAGTCCTGTTTATAAACTACCCGATCGCTATAAATGCAAATAGAGAAGAAAGATTGGCAGTTACCAGTATATTATCAGCATGTTCGTCCTAGACCGATCTGATGGTGAGATGCTGTTTGAGTAATGTTGTGATAAACATTCTAGAGTACTGGGTTGCCACACACATACCTTCGTTAGTGTATCTTAATCACAGTAAGTGTGTTGTGGGAGCGACTAATTATTCTTTTCTTCACCCAAAGCTCAATAGAAACTACCCATGACGACCGCATGTATTAACACATCACATAGGGCACCGTAGTTGTTGGTTGCAAACCATGTATACATAGATGGTCTTGGCACCCGAGAAATGCGCGGATGGAAATATGGGGAATGAATGTATCACAGCATGTGTGGATACAGCCATGAATCAGGGTTAAGCGTTTCGGCTCTGCGCCGTTTTTGCTGGTCTGAGAGACGGACGCCCGAGTCAATCATCGGCGTGCGGCACCCAGATGCCCGTGCCGGACATCACTGTCCACATCCCGTCAAGGAGATCTTTATTGAATAGTCGGTCTGTTTGTTTAAAACAGGCACACGCTGTGCCCAGCCAGCACCGGCGTGAGCTGAGTGTTCTTGCTTCACCTCGACTGCAACACATGCAGAAGCCACAGGATCGTCATCTATCCATCTCCCTTCCACTTGGTGCAAGCCCACCATCAATCATCGCATTCGTCCCTCCGTCCTGTCAGGACCTGTTAATAATAGTCTCATTGCGGACTTTTGATTCAGCCGATGGTGGCATTCGGCGGGAATCCCCTCTTGAGATTGTAACCCATCACCTACACCAGCTAATCAGTGTGAGTACGGATGTAGGTGCTTCAAACACACTCCACTTCCTGAATAGCCATCAATAGGCGAATCTAAACCAGTATTTAGGCAAGATATAAAGACATTGTCCAGCCACCACAGCTCCTGTCAGATGAATTGGCACTAGCAGCCAGGCAGACAATTGAGGCTTGCCGGCACCAGCGTCAACTAGTCCGGGCGGAGTATTATGTCCCAGCGTTCTGTCCTCCGTTTTGTGCCCCTGCGCACATTTAAAACAGAGTGATATAACACTATGGGACCCCGCTCGCGTCCTGGCTCCTGGCACTCGAAACCCAAGCTTGTATACCTGCTTACCGTGTCTAGGGTCCAACAGGCTCCGGCGGTACCCCACCTCTGGACGATGATATACATCGTTGTATAGTGTTTATTTTCTTCCCAAAGTCCCAACGGCGTGAACGGATGTGCATATTACCTGGGCCCTGGAGCCAGGCACAAACGCTCTCAGCAAACTGCCATCAAAATGACATTGTGGTAAAGCAACTATGCGTGGACTAAAGTTCCGATTCGATCGATGAAGCTCAATATGGCGGCTGTTCGTCATAGTAATGCACAACGAGGCCGAAAACGAGACAAGTATTAACAGCTAGGAGATCCTTACATGGGATTAGGCTAATAAGTTCCTCAGCGCTAGAGGTAAAGAGGGCTACGCTGACGTCTAAGTTATCTAGTAGGCTCTTAATGGAAAGTGCTTTAGTCTCTAGATCTATATTCCTATATAGCTGTTTGGTATATTGACGTCGTCCTGCTACTAGTTTAAGCCTGTGTTAAACGATGGCTGAGAGGTTGAGCACAGATCAGATCTGTACAAGTTTACCAACATATTGTCTTCGATGTTACTGCAAGGCTGTGGCGGATCACGCAACTATGCACTTCATGGCCACACTCAATGATCTCACTAGTTAATGGCCGCGTGGTTGGGTTACCTGCTGTCGTTGATCTGTAGTAACTGTGGTAAAAGTGACGAGGGTGGACTAAGTAACGGCTTAGGCTACAAGGCGCCATCGTCGTTAGGCTTGGGTAGCCTGCCTCATGGAATTGGAAGGATTCCTATGCACAGTTAACTCCTCCTACTAACGTTTGTTGGGGAAACCTTGGCGAAGATTTAGCTTATGTATGTTGTATGGCACCTAGCGCTTCCTATTTCTAGTGTTCCATGCCAAGAGCGCGCTATTGGTATTAGATTCCTCTGTAGAGCCACACTGACGTTGCCGACCGCCTGGTTTGTGCTGCAGGGGACACGGCCGGTTTCGCCTCTAACCGCATCCAAAAGCTCAACATGGTATTTCTTAACAGTCGTGGCTGTGAAATCGTCTCTCCTCCTATCCCACACGCCCGACAGTATTAAGTTTACTCTACAACATTAGGCCGAGTTTGTCTATGGAGCACATTGAAACACTGGGAGGTTGGGGCGCCCTTGATGACGCATCTAGGATACTAGACATAGTTGTGGCAGATAAAAGACCCAGCACACATCATTAGGCCCTAGGGATAATAGATAAAGTATGGCTTATGTTTTGCAGCCTAGACACCTTATTTTATAGTAATTAATAGGACATATAAGCAACAGCCTAGGCTAGACGGGTGAATATAGGTAAAAGAAGGGCGCTTGTTTCAGTACTAAGGCTATACAGGCATTTATCTTTATTTGTAATTCTAAACAGGGTATACTTATAATAATACCCTCCTATTATGTAGTAATATATTATTTACGTGCTACGTAACATAAAGTCAGGAGCGGGTAGAGCTTTAAAAGCTCACTTGTTCTGGATTATGTCCAAAGTTCCCGTCTCTATCTTCGCCTGCTCCTCTTCCTTGGCCTCTGCGTCCACTCCCGCTTTTGATTCCTGCTGCTGCTTGCATAGTTTAACTTCAACCCATTCCTTGGCCTTGCTGTCCCAGTCCCAGATGTAGTTCTTGCCTGCCGGGCGGTCGGGTACTCGCGTTCGGTCGGTATTGCGCGCGGATTCGCGTGTCATAGTGATGATTGGAGCCATGTCGCTTAAGGGGGGGCTGGTTAAACTTGATTGTGTCTAAAACTAATTAGTTAACACTATTCGGTTATTTTATCTACTAGCTAGCAGAAATATGTATGCGTGCCTCATGAGTGCTTTCAATCGCATGTTACGTTAAGACATTTCCTCTCTCGGTAAGGTGGCTGAAGACAACAGAGAGCGTCTAGATATCCGCCCCTATCGTCTCAAGAGGGCGTCAGCAAACAGGTCTATTTCTAGCATTAACCTGTCTAGACTTGTCTTGTCCGCCGTTCATATACAAGATGTGCGAGTAATGAGTAGCATATCATGTAAAAGGGCACATGACAGTCTGGTGATATATGCTAGTTATGGTTGATGCTATTGCGACGGATTGGAGCACAACATGCGAACGACCTTTGGGCGCCATAACGTCGGCGGCAACCGGTTATAGCAGTCTAGATATATTATAATAGATAACAGTAATGCCAGCTTGGCCAGATATATCGCGATAGGTAACAGCTATACCAGCCCATTGGGGCTCGGCCGGATCGATTGCGATGGGTAGCATTGAACAAAACAATAGCAACAATATCAATCTAATACTAGTCGCGCCGTACAAAGCCAAGAATAAGATTACCAGCCACAAAAAACTAACCGAATGTGTCCTCCTCACAAAGCAAACATTTCCAATCCCTTTACATACCGCTTGATGTAGCGGATAAGGTCTTGCTTGAACACCTCCAACTCTGCATCCTTCATCGACTTCTCCTCAATCAGGTATTTCAAGGAGTAAGCGGACGTGCTCTTCTAGCCCATCAAGAATCTGCTCCCACTTGGAAGTAGCCTGTGATCTTGATGAAATTGCCCCTAAAGTGTCCCTTGGCTGCAGCAAACAGCATTGCCCCAGAAGACTGGTAACCTGTCAGGTGTAAAAGCAGCAAGTGAATTCTCAGCGCTCACGCCGTCAATCTGCTGGTACCTTGCTGTCCAGTCAGCAGCCGTAACTGCATCCTGAAACATTGACTCGAATTCGCAAAGACCCGGGTCAAGTGTCACCTGAGCCTTGAAAACAGAAGCCAGTGAATGCGTGACGCCTTGCTCTTTTCAACCAGCCTCCCCAGTATCTTGGTATGGTATGTTAGGGCCTTCTGCTGTGCTGAGACCTGCCCGGTAGCTGACCTCCAGTATCTCTCCACTTGAGTCAATATGTGGTTCTCCTGACCCCCTGTGAGGGCCGAGATTGAGCCGACCCAGAGAAGCAGAAGCTGTGCGTGTTCGTACTGGTTGACCTGATTCTTCAACATGTGCTTCGTGTATATTTCGCTCTTTCCTGAGAGAATGTTGACCTGGCTGGTGATGCCATTCCAGAATTGAACCCACCTGTCCCTGAGGTTGGTGTGATTAACAGCATTCACAGCTCCATAGCCAGCCCGTTTCTGTTTCTTGGACGTGAGTAGCTTCTCAAATGAATTACTGACAAAGCGGGAAACGGGCGACAGTACCGCCACCTGGCCATAGACCTCAATCTGATATAGCTTCCGGACGTTGAACGACATGTCTTTCACGTGGCCCAGAAAGGCAGAGTTTCTGATCGCCAAGTCGGTTACTGTTGACTGGGGAAGGGTGGTTGAGTTATTTGCTGTATGCGCGGTTGTGATAATGCCCAAAAAGGAAAGAAACCTTTCCAGGTAGCGAAGTTCGGAAGAGCTCTGTGGCAGAGGTAAAGAACCACTCTGTAATGGTTGTAGTAACCTAGAGAAGAAAAAGAAAAGAGAGGAGAACGGTGACGGGGATAACGATCTATTTGTTGAGAAATACGCGTCGTATAATCCGTAGTAGGCCAAAGAGGAACATCAAGCCAGTAAAGCATGGCTTGAGAACAAGAAGTATGCTGCTACTAGTCTGGGGACTGCTTGCTCTGGGAGATTTAATGGTGGGATGGTGTTGGTCTTGCTCTCTCTTCTGATAAAAGCACCCTCCCTGCTTCTTTGCCGCGCGGCAGCGTCTTTCGGCAGGTTTTCTCTCGCCAGGGCAGCAGCCCTATCAAGTTTGTCCGCTTTGAAAGGCATTACTGTACTGTCTGTCCTATGAGGACAGATGGACAAGATAGGCAGTTCAAGGCGATAGAATGGGATAATGATTTGGAAGTCTGGATGAGAGTGCACCGGGGTGATTTATTGTTCGGGGAGGAAAACGGATTCGTTATATGTTCAATATTCATCGACAGCTCAGCTCGGACCCTCGTCCCAAGTGATACTCTTCCTTACGCTTTCCTTCAAACCCGCCTTAGAGTGACTTGTCTGGTCTCCCGTAAGAGTTTTTCCCTTAAGGGGAACAAAAGGTCCTTGGTTGAATTCATGCAGGCAGTAGGCGTCGCCATCCCCAGGATCGACATCAAGAAAATTTTTACACATGGTTAGAAATATCAGAACACACGTTGTGACCGAAAAGACAAGTCAGGGATACCCCCCCTAAACGCTTGTGTCTATCTTTAACATGGGACAGGCAATGGTTTTGCCCTGGCCGACAAGCACCAACGTCAAAATACAAACATGCCCTCCGCCAAACCGCCGGTCAACCGCAAGCTCCAAGCGCGCCAGGTGTACCAATTCTATAACGCGGCGACAGACGAGGGCAAGCAGGTGTTAGAGGAGCGGCTCAAGGCGGCAGATCCCGAGTTCAAGCTCCTCAAGAACCTCGGCTAGGCAGAGCAGACAGGCCCAGACGAGAGCCGCTGGCTCAACAGCTAGGACATCAAGGGGACATTCAAGACGTGGATACCCCACATGTCTACTTGGCGTACCAAATAGGACAAACAGAGTTCTATAACCGTTCCGCCGCGGAAGGAAGCACCGCAAGCTCAGCAAGGACAACACAAGAGTAGGCACCCTCCTGATACTAGTCACAGCAGCGTAGAGAGTCGTCATTCTATAAACCTTGCGGAGCCGCCTCAGCTCAATAATCCCAGGGCTCACAGGCTACGCGCCACAAAGAGCGTCCAAATTATGCCTAGGTCTTGGGGCCCGTCACCCAACGATAATTCTCTCGGTGCCAAGACATCCAGCAAGAGGTAGTACTACTTTTTTAGTAAGAAAAGTAGCACCTCCTACCAGGAGGCCAGCGGAACAGAGCAGCCACTGCAACCTATACACGTCGTAATAGACAATGTAGCAGGAAATAGCACAGAGGGCGGCCACCTAAGTCACACCCCGCCAAAGTAAGGACCAAGGTGTTAAAGTGCGTATATACATCGTACATACCCCCACCAGCCACACACCCTTCACCACTTGCGGGAAAAGAGACAGGAACAACTATCACCACCCCATCTGTTCCTAGTAAATATAACAAAAGCCAACAAACTAGACTAACATGCTATCTATTTAACCAAGTAAACGCACGCAGCAAGTCGTCACAGGCCGCGTGGCTGATGTTGCCGGTCACTCGTTACTGGCTATTTCACGCATTGCCTTGTCCCTTTGTCTACATATCAAGCTAGTTCTGCAGCTCCATCATATTAAGGGCCAATTCGGTAAGGTCCGCTCAGCACGCCGCTGCCCCTGCGTCGCCAATCAATATTTATCATTGCGCATCTTATAGTTCATCAGCTCCGCTGCAAACTTGCTATATAGCTCCTAAAGCTCCTTCTTTGTGTTGTTGCTGCTATTATACCTAGCGTGCAGGGTTCCAGCCTTCATGTTGTTGTTTTTTATATTCTTGTTAGCAAATATATCATCTACGTGCTGTTACTATTACTGTTACTATTACTATTGTTGTTACTACTTCTAAGCAATAAAGAGGTTCCAGGCTTGGTCGACTGACTGCTGCTCATCGTTAGAGTTTACAAGCTCGGCCATCTTTTGTTACTAGTATTACTCGTATAGCGTTTAGGGAATGTTGTGCAGCCGCTGAAGTAGGTCTGGATCTAGCTGACCCTGTCTTGATAGAGAGATTGACAGGAACGAAATGTGCAACTACAGAGGGATCATTGTTAAATAGCATAGTATGGTCGGCCTAGTCGACGCAACGTTAATGTGCGATAGCGGATTCGGCATTGAGGTGACGCTATTCGCGCGAGGCCCGTTATTAAGATGGTTGCACCATTCCAAGTAAAGATGTTGCACATACGGCGGCAATCGGCTTTTGTCCATGTTGTTGACCGTTATCTCCTCAAAGTGTTGCTCCCACCCCTCCCACTTGGTAGTAGGAGACAGGGTTGCAACAGATTGTGACATGATGCTGACGATGACTTCGACGCCGTTTCCTCTGGCCCTCAAGAGTCCAAGGCAAAAGAAAGGACAAAGAAGTAGACTAAGAGCCTAATCGGCAACTTTAATAAACATAGGTCTCCACGACGCCTCGTGACCCCCCAAGAGCGCACAGACTGCATCCGCGCCCTCGTTGCAAGCCTCATGGCTGATTCTAACGACAGCAAGGCTGCCTCTCGCCTCCCAATGTCTGTCGAGGGCCAGCTCGCCCCCCCCCCCCCCCCCCCCCGGCGCCTTGTGAAACTCCATGCCCAGCAACGCAAGCTTTTGACCGAGAGATAAGAAGTCTAATAATTTCAGTACGGCTGGTGGTAGAGGCAGGTGGTGTTGATACCAAGCCATGGCATCGTCACATAATAACAGCTTAGGAGCCCAAGATGCCATGGCTCAGTTCCCAGTAGGACAGACGCATGAGGATAAATGCAGAGCTAGTAAGAATTCCAAAGGATTAGTGCGTCTTGCATCCCCAAGAGATGTTGCTGATGGATTATCCGTTTGATCAGAACCTCGTCCACTAGGCAGGCCTTGCACGTCAAGCCTAAACATGCCCACAGTAGGGCACAGACGTATCTTTCAGTACCTAGGTACTTAGTGTAGTACTCTGTATCCTGCCTTTAGAATTTGTGGTACATTCTGCTCGGACCGGGTAAATGAGGCCGGGTGTCCGATAATCCGACACCGATTGAAAACCCCACAAGGCTCCGCAATGCCGTAAAGGCATCGCGACATGATGATAACAGACCGAGGTGTAACGTAATAAATAATAAAAGAATTTGGCTGCCGCGTCTGCGCGGCATAGGAAGTTTAAGCGGACTAGTACCAATCTTTAATTAGAAGAACCCACCTCCAGGCGAGACAGCATTCCAAACCCCCATACCCACCCAATTCAACTGGAACAAACACACACGGCAGTCTGGCGATGCACTACAAGCTGCAAAGATGGAGAAGCTGTAGCCACTTCGATTCTGTCTCCACCCAGTGCAGAAGTGCATGTTGGTGGTGAAGCGTTGGCGACGGATGGTGAGCGATGACGGCTGTCGTCTACACAATGTCATGGAAAAGGACAGGGGCGCAGGAGAGATGGTGCGGAAACGTTGCATCTAGTATCACAAATGCTCCTCCCCAAGAACATCAAATCGCAGCGTACTGTGTTCTCCATCATGTACTTGGGAATTGTACACTTGAGCAAGCGATGATGGCAAGATGTTAATGCTGCACTACGTCAAATTCTACCAAGGCACCTTTCTCCTCTTGTTCCTAGGCAGGTAAGGCTGGAGTTAAAATAAGAAGGTACTGTAGAGAGGAGGTGATACTACTTTTCCCACCAAAATAGTATCACCACCTCTTGCGCAGTGCACTAACTCATGACACCACTCAGGCCCTTCGACGGTAACGAACTTACCACACCCTGACGCCACGCCGGCAACGAACCCGCCAGTGACGAACGCACTTGTTGCATAGCAGGCGTTCTCAATCCCCCGGTAGTTGGTGAGACTAGTCCCAGTCGCCAAGCTCGTGAACCCTGACGTTCTAGTGGATGCAACATGGCTCAATCAAGCCATTGCAAACCTCGCCGAATGCCAAGACACAGAGACATACATGGTCGACACGAGCGAGCTATTAGCAATAACAACAGTAGCTAGTTACCATGTCAAGCCTAGGCTCGCAGAGGCAACTAGGCAGGCCCAGACGCTCATCTTTCCCCTGCTTGTCAACCAGAACCACCGGGTTCTCGCCATCATGCAACGCAGGGGGCTTCTTATGGGACCGCCTGATCTCTACGACTCTCTGCCTATGGAACCGACTGTAGCCAGAGGCCAAGACGCCCTTCGGGCGTTCTGCCGACACTACATGCCTCAAGGGCTAGACAATGTCGACTACCTGGTAAAATGCAGCACCCCCCTGCAACAGAACGGCATTGACTGCGGCGTTTTTGCCTTTGCATCATGCATCTATGCTCTAGTGGTACAGCCTCTTCCGGTGTTCCTTTCTATTCCCATTTAGCGAAGGGCATTAGCTACTATTGTAGGCGAAGAAGAAGTCGAGTGGCAGTCTTTGGTTCTACAGCTACCCAGAACAGCACTGCCTGCTACTGACATGGAAGTGTTGCTAGCACCATCGTCTGGGAATTCCTTACAAGGGTGTTCTAGTATCCTAGACACTTTTGCGGCGCAATACGCAACGTTAAAGCTTAGTCTAACACAAGGGCTGGACCAGGCCATAAAGTCAACAAGGTCTGTACTTGGCGACGTCGTCGTTACACGTCACATATTCCAGCTACTTGAGACAATCTTAATCCACAAGGCTACCGTGCTCCAGCAGCAGCTATATGAAGTAACGGCAATGGGATCCTCATCTGTGGCGGGGGAGGAGATCGAGCCGCCCCTTCGCGCAGCGCAGAGGCAGATACAGCACAGGTACGAGGGCGTCAACAGGACGAGGGACCGGCTTACAACTATTACACTTCAGCTAAGGGAATTGAACACGACTTTGCGTGAGCAAAAGAAAGCTCTTCTGACAGAGCAAAGAGCTGTCTTGCAGAAGGGTACGGGGGTGTAGGGTTCACGATGATAATAACATTGCTTCCTTGAACAGTATGGGATGAGATGGAGGGTCAAGAAAGATATAATAAACTGCTGTTAGGTCTCGATTACTGGTTGTCAACCGCTTGCATCCCAGATAATTAACGTAGGACGTCTAGTGCTAATCATGACAAGTGTTGGGGACCGACCGCATCCACTCGTTGCGACCCTGGACCGCATACATATCGTCTAATCAGAACGGCCCGGAGCGACCAGCACCTGCGGTGGGATATGTCCTGAAAGGTCCAACGGAACAGGTCGTGGAGCTAGGAGAGGAGCATTGCGATGAAGCTTTCGGTCAGCCCAGCACGACACAACGCGGAGCAAGGGTGCAAGAAATAGACGGTGCAAGTTATTATGTGGCACCGTCCGTTAGGTATTGCAAAGCGCCAGTGACGGATTTAATCTACCCCTCTATGTATGTATATATATCGAGCGAGGATTGGGACGGACCGCTCAGGTCTCATGCCATACCGGGCTCGGGCGAGGGGGTTCAAGCCTCTAGCACACACCGCCGTGACTCAAATGTCACGTCTTCGACGCCCATGATCCACGAACCGGGCAGAGTCATGCTCACTCGCATCATTCGCGCTTAGCAAAAGGGCAGTGTTATCAAGGCTCGAGTAGCGAACCTCAGATCGTATCGTCGACGGGGTTCTCGTCACTGGCCGCAGAGCCTCTGATACAGTGCGGACCCTTGCGGCGTGGCCTGCAACTGACTCAGGGCGAGTGAAATGAGAATAATGCAGAGGTCAACCATTGAGTCATAACTTGATAGCGTAAAAGGACCGAAACGCTGGAACGAGATAAAGTCGGCATCTGTAGCATTGTTGGCAGGGACGACATGCTTGTCTGTACTGGTTATGTATTCTAGGTAGGCATCGCCAAAGGATGCCATGATGATCCAAAACTCGTCTTGGTCGAGGGCTAACATGAGCTTGCGGTTTCGTGGTCCGTGAGTTCTGTAAGAAAAACAACAGTCAGGTCGACCATGGCGTCAAGTCGTTCTCAGGCTGATACGTACGTACACCGGGCTCAAGGAAAGAGACTTGCTATGGGAGACTGAAGGGAACGCACATGCACATACACACACACACACACACACACACACACACACACACACACACGCATACACGCACGCAGGCACGAGACTGGTATGGACGACAAGCAAACGGAGGGGCACACACCTATTCTTTCGGTTTATTTTGGAATTCTCGGCGTACAGGAATGCAGCCATCTCGGCAGACTCTTCCAAGGCGATGCTAACATCGTGGGCAGCACGCCTGCGGTAGGGCTTAAGCTCAAAAAGCATGTAGGGAACCCTGCCTCTTTCCTCGACGTTCCTTATGTAGAAGGCACCGTCGGGACATGCCGTGAAGCCAAATCGACGCCGCATTGGGCCAGACGCCGAGACGCCGGGCGGACCAGGCCCGAAGTTATAGCGGCGTTCCTCGCATGTGATAAGGAGATGGCTGTCCCACAGCATTGAGAGAATGTCGGTGTGGAGGGCGTGGAGGAACGGGGCGAAGAAGCATGCCGTTTGTATTTCGTAGTTCGTACGACTGAGGAGATGAGGAGGCCGCGCTCCAGGCTTGATGTTTCCAGCGGCGCCGGTGGTGCCGGCGGCGGTTGCTTCGTTGGCCCCGGGCGAAGAGGGTGACTTGTATTCAGCCGCCAACGCGGCGAGGCTTCGCGACATTGCGCTGAAGTCGGTGATGGGTTTCCGCCAAGTCGGCAGACTCGTCATTGGCTTGGAGGGGGTATCCAACACGTCACCGGCTTGTGCAGCGTCGTCGTCGTCGTCGTCGAAATAAGAAGACATGTCGGGGACGGGAGCGGCAGAAGAGCATTGGAAGTTGAGGCTAGCCATGCTCGTGAAGTCCAGGCTGTTCCAGAAAAGCACCTTTGGAGTCGCATCACGGTCAGCGGTGGGCTGCAAGCCATCTAGCCTTGGCTTCAGGACACGCCAGAGCGAGAGCACAGGAGAGAAACCGCCGAGGAGTGGATGTAGGTGAAAGTCGCTCGAGCGCGAAGCCGGAGTTGCCGGGCTGGAATCAGGATGCGGCCCCCAGCCGTCGGCAATCTCAGTCAAGAAATGCAACAAGTGGCTTTTGGGTGAGGTGAGGGACCGGCTCAGGATCAGCCGTTTCGCCAAGTCGCGGTTATCAAGAGAGAAGAAGCCTTGCTCTTGGAGCTCCGGCGCTGCAGCTTTGGCGGTCATGGCGTCGGGCCAGAGAGCCCGGAGTGGGAGGAAGAAGTCGTAGGGCATCTTGGAACCCGAGATACCGCTGGCCTTGGGATTGGGCGGCATGTCTGCGAGCGTGCAGTCTGCCCTCCCCGTCGCCGCGACGGCCTGGCGCCACTCGCGGGCATTGCGGGGGAGAGATTTGGACGCCGCCATGTCGGGGGCGGCACGGCCGAGCGAGCGAGCGAGCGAGTGAGGGAGCTAGGAGATGGATGGATTTAGGTTAGGTTAGTTTGGTTTCTGAATGCCGCGGGCGGCAAAAACGCTCGTTCTTTCGCTCGCTCAGAAGACCGCCATTGAACCAGCGACTTAGGTAATCAATCGTCGGGGCCTGACGTCATGTCATCCAGTTGCTATATACAATGTACATAGTACATCGAGTGGCTGCTTGGTTTCTCAGGAGATGTCTGCACAGCCACAGCCACAGCCATAGACAGCTTCAGCCTCAGCGTCAGTCGTCACCCCATCAAAACAAAACAAACAAAGATCAGGTCCATCCTTGCGCTGGCTTGTCCGCCCTTTGCCATCGCCATTCACTACCTGCTCCCACTCAATGGTCAATCGCCGTTATGAGTTCCGACAGCAGTTTCATGGCCGACAGTCACACCCCGAACGCTGCACTTGCTGCTGCCTCATGCTTTCTACAAGCTCTCAAGGACTTGCTCGCTACGCACACAGACGCATTCCCCAACCATGAGCTTGCAGCACGCTTTGCAATCATCCACCAGGACAGCTGCCCAGAACCATCTTCTCCCCCCCAGCAGCGCCTGACACGACCAAGCCAGCAAGCCATAGTCGACATGATTGCTGCATCCCCAGCCCATCCCTCTGAGCGCGACGTCCTCAAGCCTCCACCGTCTGTCAGCCCGTACGCCAACTCTGTCGTCAATCACCAGTACACTTCGATTGAGCGAGCGTTCCAATACGTAGACACACTGAACTGCCTTCTGCGACGGCATCCTGATGCCCCTTTGTACCCAGAGTCTTCTGCCGCCAGAAACACCAAACACCAAAACAAGACAGCCTGCCTCTGCACCCCGCAAACGAATGACCCATGGCAGGACCTGCTCTCCACAGGAGAACAAGCACGCCCCGATGAGTGGAGGACACTGTGGCGTATGGTCAACCTGCTTGAGGCCGGCAACTTCACGAGCGCCATCGTGGCTGACTCATTTAACGCTCCGACAGGGAGCCTACTGCGCAGTGAACTAGCCTGTCTGTTTGCGCTTGTTTGTCGGCAGCTCTCCCGTCTTGATGCGTCTCACTTAGACAAGCCTGACGAATCGGGGGGCATTGATGTGAGTGAACGACTGACGGCGGGTGTCTTGTCGCCCTCAGTGCCGTTTATTACCCCGACAAGCCTGGACGAGTCTTAGCTAACGCTGATGGTTTCTTCCAGGTTGTCATAACGACATTCACGCCCGATACAGTCCGAGTACTCCAAGCCTCCCTGTTCTTAGCCTCGCAGCCGCCGCAAATCCATGTCTACAAGCAGTTAGATAAACCAATGACGAGCGTAACAGGGCCTGAGGTCTCGATAGAATGGCGGGAACTAGTGTCTTGGATGTGCGCCGCACCTGCCGGTGCTACCGCTCCCGAACCTTTCAATGACTCCCTGAGCATATTGAAGCACAGGGAGGAAACAGACACGGCACTAGGGGGCTCGGACTCGTCTCGGTCCACGTCGGCCTCGTCCACACTTTCGCGAGATACCGCAGCTTGATGCGCTTCGGGCTAGGAGCGCGGCACGGCTGGCAAAGATGCGGGCGGGTTGGCGGGGTTGTTGGCGGCAAACCCCTTCCCTTGGCTCGCGGGCTTCGCCCGGGGTGGACAAGGTCCAAGGGGGAGACGACAGGGGGCCGTTCCAGTTCTTGCAGGACAAGGGCGACCTCACCAGGATGGCAGCGTTGGACATGTCGGAACTGCAGGCGTTACGGGCAATCAGCAACGTCACCACAAGGAACATCATGCCCGATCTGAAGGAGGGCTGCGTGTGTGCCCGGGATCAACAGCGTTGGGAAGATGAGAGAAGGTTTTGGCTCGCGGGGTATTGGTGTATGATTACGAAATGACGAAATGATACCATGAAGGATAGATGGATACTATGAGGATGGCATTAAGGGTATTGCTATTTCAAAAGACAGAGGGCAACTAGTCCCCGCGTAAACGCGAAGCCGCTTGCTCCATGGCCTTGAATCCCGCCAACGTCTGGCTTGACTCGTAGCATAGCACCGATCCTATGACGCTGTAGTGCCACAGCTGGTGCGTTGCGTCTCCGAGCTTGGCCTCAATCAACGACAACGGTGTTGACGATGGCGGCGATGACGACGACGATGATAACAACGACTGCAACGCCTTCTCTGGCTCTGCCGATGGCCGTGGTCCAGCTCCGGCACCCGATCCATCCGCATCTCCCCCACAGTCACGGCATGTCTTGGCATGTTGCTGACCATACACAGACGCCTCTTGAGGATGGGGCCATGCTGCTGCGCAGCGGCGAGACTCTCGTCACCCACAACATCAGAGAGCCCGTTCAGGATGCTGCTGAACACTGCCACCCGTTTCCGCACTTGTCGCTGTGCCAGACTTGGCCCGTCCTGCGTCCCTAAGAGTTCTGACATGAGTCGCCGCAGACCTGCCAACATATCGGCCAGCCAGGTCCACAGTGCCCCCAGAGTCCACGACGCATCGCGCTGTTCCCGCATCGCCTCCAGCTCGCTGGTTGGTGCCTCAATCAACTCCCGCCGCAGCCTAGACACGCGCCTAAAGACATATAGGGCGAACCTGACGACCCTTTCTACGTACGCCTTGTCTGCGCTGTCAATGTCTTCGAGTGTCGTCGCAACGCTGTCCTATAATGTTTGCCAGGATGGCCACCCGTCGTCGCCGCCGCCGCCCTGCATGACTTGCATCTCGCCCGAGAAGGCCTCGTGGATGACCGAGTTCGCTACGTCTCCTCGATGGTGGTGGTGATGGTGGCGGTGCACCGTAGGTTGTACGTCAATAGGGATATGAGAGAGGAAGCCTGCGCCCACGTCAATGTCGTAGCCATGTGGGAAGATTCCCCGTACCGTGGGCGTCGGTTCCTTGGTGGGCATGGTGCTTGCGAGGCTGGCGGGACTTGCGGAGCTGGCGGGACTTGCGGAGGGTGACGTTGCTACGCCTTGAACTCCGAACCATCCCACGATGCACATGATTGTAGTCACGGCATACTTTACCGGCCACATCTGCTGCAGCCCATCTAGCCACTAGCCGAGTAGGGCCGCAAACACGCCAAGCAAGACCATGACGGCGACCAAGACCCCGAGGCATACCATAAGCCAGATAACGGCGCGCGACTTGACCACATACAGTACCCCGTCGATAACGCGACGGGATGCTGCAGTGGCAGCAGCGGCGGTGGTGGCGTATGCCGTCCGGTGCGGGGCTTTTGCTTCGGCCGTCGGCTTCTTCTGCCTCGGCGCCTCCTCGCCACTCCTCGAATGCTTCTGCTTTTCTCGCCTCTTGGCACTGGCCTCGCCCTGGCCTCGCCCTTGGCGAGGATCTTCTTGAAGTTGTCGTCATGCATTCTTTTGTCGCTTTCTGTGTGTTTGTGGTAAAGTGAGGTGAGTGTAAGGTAAATAAGGTGAGCATGAAGTGAGTGAAGCGAGTGTGAAGTAAGTATGGGGTAAGCATGAGGTGACGCTTCCATCGCACGGACGGGAAAGTGACACTGTGATACGATGGCTGCGAGCGGGACGGACTGCAATTAAGAGTGTTGTTCATTGATTGACCCGCCAAATACGGATGGAAAAAACGGCCAACTCGGCTACCTAGTCTCTCATACCAGGCAAGTGTGTCATCATCTTGAATGGGATCCCCTCGCGAACAATGCGTTCCCAAGCCAACGAGACGCTCTTTGAATCCTTCTAGACCGCATTGTTGGCTGATTCGTCCGAGACATCTGCCAGATGGGAGGGTCCGTGACTTGTTTGCGTCGAGCTCGGTTCGTGAAGGAGGATGCCAAGGCCCAAGAAATGCCAAGGCTCAAGAGATGGAACGCTGGCGCCTGCCTGGGAGAAAGTCAGCTGCAGAGCAATGACCAGGTTCTCTTGTATCTTACTCTTAGTTATAGGCCATTGATTCTCGTTGTCGGGGTTGTTTTCCTCATCACCATCCGAGTCAAGAACCGAGTTGCCAGAGCCATCATCAGAATCAGACCATCTAATATAGTTCTTGCGGCTCTTGGACGACGATGATGCGCCCTTGCGTTTCCTGCACTTCTCCGAGGAAACGTGGGCAGCTTTGCCATCCACACACTTGTTTGCGAGTTCGTCCCAGTTGTCCCAGTCGCTGTCGGCCTGCTCAAGACATTTGATAGAGTTGGACGGAAGCCCATACCTCGGCCCTGGCGGCAGCCGCTCTTGTTGCTCTGACAGCTGCGACATTCGAACCCAGCCCGTCGGTTGCCACGCAGGGCATCGCGTACCTACAAATATAAGGTTAGAATATAGCCCAGTCTTGCCAGAGTAACTTGGCTAAATGATGGATGGTAGGAATAAAAGAACCTTGACCCGCGACAGCGAACTAGAAGAGGTTAAGAAGCGCCGCGGCTTTGGGCGTTACTAGAAGAAGGAGGTTCGGACCCCACGCTACCAGCAAGATGGAGACGGACCGGGCGGCCAGCAACAGATCAATTAGCCCGGGCCAGTGTGGCGTAGCGTGGCGTGGCGTGGTGTGGAAACAGACCGGGAGGTGGCGGCGATGCTGTGTCTTTATCCTTAACGGCTTTGCCTAACGCCTTTTGAGTTAGCGACGATAGTGATGATGGGTAATGAGCGATTCCAAAGGGAAGTGACGGTACACCTGCTGGCTACCTCCCTTGTTCAGCATCAGGTGTTTCAGCCTGCCCACAACCGGCATCAAGTCAACGCAGTCAAGTACAGTGGGTGCAGTGGGTGTAGTTCAGTACAATTATAGACAGGAAGCACGCACGTCGTCGTTCAAATTCGTGGCGTTGGTTTGATTGCTTCTGTATACGGCCTGCATGTTGGAGGCAACTGGCTGCGCATGGCTTGCTTCATACTGTAGAGGTACAAAACTTGCGAGGGCAACGTTCCTCTTTCATGCATTTGAGCGCAATCTTCTCTTGCGCAGCGTTTCCACGAGTATGACATGACACGAGAAGCACAAACATCGTCGACACATGATAGGGATCTCCTGTAACTCACTAGGTCGTTTTGTGCCTGAGTCTAAAGAGCTTGCTTGGGAAGGTGTGAGAGGGGGGAGGATGTGGCAAAATTTCGCCACAACCCCTCCCCTGTACTTTCCACACATCCTCACTGGTGATGCGCCGCGAGCGCAGCGCCACGCAGTCCAACAAGACTCTTTTTCTACATTGCATCTATAATAACCTTGCAAGTACTAACATCTCTTCACTCACTTCACCGCCACATAATAATTCACTTGTCGCGCACGCTTTACGGTAGACAAGACGAGAGCACTCATAGTCGGGCACTGACTGCAACACAAACCGCAAGGCACACAACAACACACACAAAGACCACGTCCCGTAGAAGCCTGAAATCTGATCAGAGTTGAAAATAAACATGAAACACGCGCCTATAGTATACCATGTTTGAGTAATCGTCGCGCGTTGGACCGCACTTTTCCCTGCTTTTTCTGCACCCTAAGAAATGTCACACCTCACACCTAGCTATCACCTTCCGACCCTCCCTCTTTTGATCCCGACGCCGCCAACTCCTGCTCCACGAGGACGAGCTCGTCTTCCAAGGCCCGCAGGCTATTTGTGCCGAGGAGCCGCCTGTTGTTGTCTCTGGTCATTCGTCCTGTTTCTGCCGTGAGCTCCGACTCGATTGTTCCAATCCTGTTCCGAAGCAGTGATGCCGTATCCTCGTCCTTGACCACCTCACCCAACGCCTTTTGCACGTTTGCAAGCTTCCGTTCGAGTTCCTCTACCGGGTTGGGTCTGGTTTCGGCCATGGCCCAAAGCTGGCGCAAGATCCTTCTGGCGTCGTGCACGGCTGCCCGCGCGGTGGCCTGGCTCGCCTTCAACGATTCATCTACTTCTTTCTGGCATATCTCGATCGAACCAAGAAGCTCCAAAATGCCCTCGCTACACTCCTTGGCTCTGCCGTATTCGAGCTTGGCAAACCCTGACAAAGGCTCCGGCAGGGAAAGATAACTCAGGGCCTTAGGTATCTGGATGACGATATCGGGTTTCGAATTGAACCCCGTCGACTTTTGGTGGGCTGCCCTGATCGTGTCCAGTGCGCTTGACGGCCGGGTTGAGTCTGTTCTTGACGCCAGAAAAGCCGCCAGCAGCCTGCGCCATAAGAGGAAGTCTGTCTCAAGTGGGAGAAGCACCTGGCTGAGGTTGTAAAAAGCGTGGACAGCGACGGCTACCCCACAGTCAGTAGCATTTGTCTGCTGGATGCTTTGTCTCAAGGAGCATCTGAAAGAGGTGTAGAGGGCTGGTGGAATGGGGCCGGACGAACGGAAGCTATCTTTGAGGAGATGTGCAACGCGTGACTGGGCCTCGCTCTGCAATGACCTAATCGCCTGTCCGTTACCGCTGATTGAGTCATACATCTCAATCGTCACATCTGTGTCGTCTAAACTGGCAGTTGCAACTGCCAGGCTCCAATGGTTAGAAGAGTTAAACGGCATGAGTATCTTCACATCCGTTGCCGCCCCCGGCCGGAGCATCTCCTCGAGCTTGAGTGCTGTGCGGCGCTCATGACCGTGTGCCAACTCTTGTGCGGTACACTCAGCGACCAGAGTAGAGTGGGGCAGCAGATCGCTGAGCCCGTGGAGTGTCGCTGACATGACAGAGCCGATGACACAGGAGCCGGAAACCAGGCTGCCGAGAGGGTCCTCGTCATTGGCAAAAGACGTGTTGGGCCGCTTCGATGACGAGGCTACTGGAGAGCCCACGGTACTCTCCTTCCGCTTTCTGCCGATACTCACATGCATCCCTAGAGGTCTGGACTGCTCCATTTCAACGGTGGCCGCCTGGATGAGAGTATAAGAAAAAAGGGGCTCAATACCATAAGAGGCGACATTGTCCTCCGGCACAGTTTGAGCCACCTCGAGAGCCGAGGTATTGTGGACTGTGAAGACGTTAGGAGTAACGAGAGTGCTAGTGGCTGGGAAGCTGGTTGGTGTACAACTACCGGTAGGTTGACCGGTGTCATGTAGGCTGGAAGTGTTGTTAAGGTCTGCAAGCTTGTCGTCGTTATCTAGCTGCAGAGGGTCAAGGCTGTCATCCAAGTCGGAGAAATTGTCGTCTTTCGAGTCAAAGGAAATCTCAGGGGCGAAAGAATCTTTAGGCTTAGATGTCTGGTCAAAGCGTGTTAGTGCGATGGGGGGGTTTGGGCGGACGGAAGAGAGATTATCTGTACCTGTTGTCTCCTTGCTTCTTCGAGCGCTGAGTAGTCAGCTTCACTACTGCCGTCTTGGAAACTTTGTGTGCCCCGGTTCGAATCACCGTCAAGTTCGGTGACCTCTTCAATGATGCTCAGGTTGTGATGATGGCTTAAGTTCAATGATGCGACGCTGTCAACATCGTGACCGGATATATCTGCAGCTAGGAGGTTGGAAGAGTGACAAGGCTCGCCGCTATTTTGCTCAAGGTTATCGGCCACGTTGGCACGAGAGTTCCCAGGTTCGTCGTCGTGATGGACACTGTCAAAAGTGTTGGTAGTCAAAGAAGCGTCGAGTTGACTGTCAAGATGGGAGCCCTGGGCAATGTGGACTAAGGAGTCATTGGCGCCAATCTCGTTGCCCACTGCACTAGAATGGACCTGGGTTGGTTCTGGGGGTTCTTCGAGGCCCGGAGCCTGCTGCTTGGGTTGGGTAGAATCTGAGAAGTAGGTGTTATCAAAACTGATGGGGCAATGTGTGCGGTCCCGAAGGAGGAAGGGCAACAAACCCTTGGCACGGTTGGACTTTGGTTTTGTGCTGGGCTGTCGCTTGCAGGGCGAAGGCAGGTTTGAGCGAAGCTCACCGATCAGTATCACGATGTCGGCGGTGATCAAACCCTCAGCAGTCCTGTTAACACCAGGTTGCGCTTTGCGACTGGTACGGCGGTTGTGCGCTTGACGGCGAAGAGCCTCGTGTACAAAATCCTAATCCTGACACAGCTGGGCCAGGGACTTGAGGGCGTCGAAAAAGCGACGTCCGTGTGTCGTGACGCACAACAAGAAGAGGCCAAGGGAAAGGTCGATGCCCCAAGTATCGCAGGCCTTGCGCAGTTTGGGCAGGCAGCGCTCGTCGGGGTATTCGAGAAAGTCTGGAACGCAGCCGTTGGCGACGTAACTGGCGACTTGAAGAGGAAGCTTGGCGCGTAGATCGAGGGGGTCGACTTGGCTATCGGCGGTAGCTCGCGACTCGATGTCGAAGAAGCGGCGGGCGGTGGAACGATTGATGTTTTGCGCGTTTGCGAAAGCCTCGGAACACGAGCGGATGAAATCATCGATGTCGGCTGACCAACGGTCCATGTTCCGTCAAGGCCGCACAGAAAGAGGACTGTGAAATGTTTGGAAGAAGAACAAGAACCCAGCCAGCCGTATTGCAGAGGAGGGCTTTTGTGGGCTGCAAATTCAACGAGAGTGTTGGGGAGGACAAACAAAAAAGAGCAAGAAATGTACAAGAGGAGCAGACGTGGATATGGTGCGGGTAATAGTGAGTGTGAGCCTTGAATGAAGCATCACCTCGGAAGACGCGTCAGTCGACGATTAATTATGTACACGCGAAAGGAAAGGGGGACAGACAAGTCGTGACATCTTGCTCGTGCTTGATTTGGTGCTTGTCTGCTGGACACACGCGGGGAAAGAGTCAACGAAGGATGCTGCTGCACGGGCAGAAGGAGGTGCAGAATGAAAGCTCTTGCTTGCACTCTAAATTTGGCTGTCGCGGTCCTCTCCAACGCGGCGACAAGCAGAAAAAGGGAGGAGGGAGGGCGGCCGTTGCAGAGGCAGGAACCTACCTACCTGTCTGCTCGGGTAGGAAGGTCTTTTGCACGCTTGCCTGCCTGCCTCTTTCCCACAGAAGGAGGGAGACACACAGAGTCAAGTTAGCAGACTTGCTGGCTGACTCATGTGGGCTGACTTGGCAGCGGCAGAAGGAGGATATGGATGTGTTGATTTCAAGAAGGAACAGACAGGTGGTGACAAAACTCGGTGGTGTTTTCGCCACCACCTCGGCGTCGCTGTTACCTCTTTGGGCATTCATTCAATAGCCCGTTCGGCATTACCTAACTATGGTCTTCTCGCGTCACCAACCAACTGTGTTCAGACCCTCTTCGTCCGTCTCCTGCCACAATCAAGTGAGTTCATCCTCTAACTCCTTTCTTTTCCCTCACGCGAAGCTGAGCTAAGCATACCTTTTAAAGGCTTGCGAGTGGTGATGTATGTATGATGAATACACACTAATGCTAGTGTAGAGGGCGTGTTGCATGGCATTATAAAGAAGAAACAGGGGGTACAACCGAAACCTAAGAATACATATATGGTATATAGAATTATATCCAGCGCTGCCGGAGTGCACGGGGAGGATGTGTCAATGTTTCGCCACAACCTCCCAATCCCCCCTCCCCACCCAACAGAGAAGATGTGGCAATTTTCGGCCCAGCCCACACCACTGCCACCACTGCCACCACTGCCACAGCACCGCGCTAGGAAAAATACCAACACAGGCAGAGGCTGCTGAAGCAAGGGTAGAGGACAGACACGAGACCATCCTGTCCACAGACATGGACTGCGCACTCTTGCCCGGGCGGTTGCCATCTTGCTTGTGGGAGGATGTTTACGCTAGGTTTTGGTTGAGGAATCATTGTAGTAGACGTCTTATTTCTGATGGGAACCACTGCATGTCTCCATGCATCATTAGTGCACATTTAGACGAGAGAGTTTAGGGGGGAGGAAGACGCAACGACGGGAGGACGGTACTTATAAGCCTAGACCAAGACACTTCACCCTCAGGGCCAAGAGAGATGGATAGATTCAGGAATTAAGAGGGGAGGGGGAGGGCTGGTGAGTCGTCTGCGATGAATGGCGACACCGCTAGTGGTGGCGTCATTGGCGAGCGATGTTAAAGCGATGACATGTTTTAGAATGAAGGCGTCAAGGAGCAATGATGGAGGACAATGGCGACAGCGATGGTATTAGGAAGGGAGCCGTGGCAGCGAGCGGTTATGGTGGCTCACTAGAGCCGAGAAAGAGGCGTGGATTGACGGGAAAGGGCATGTTGACGGAGCCTGGAAGGTCAGAAGATGTGTAGGCGCGCCAGAAATGCCAGGCCATCTAGGCGGCCCATCACCGCCTAACGTTTTAGGCGGCTGTGTGCCATGGAGGGACGGCATTGCAAAACCAAAAGCCCAGCTAGAATCACAGATACAAACACACGCCACCGGGGCATCCTGCATCATCTTCACCATGGCGACGGTAACCTGGCGACAATCGGAATGCTCGACGTTAATGGCCATATACCTAATCTGCCCCTTGGAAAATCATGATTCTCCGATAGAAGGCCGAATCTCGGTAATGTATATATATTATCAGCAACCGATACCATGTCATGTTGGACAGCAAACTCCCCCAAGCCCCAAACCCAGCAAACAATAAAATACGGACTACCTCCCCCCATAAAGTCCTTCCAACTCTACTCCATTATTAGAAACCTTGCAATCATCCCGAGTCTTTCGAATGGCTGGCTGTATAGACGCGCCAGCTCATCATCTTGTCGGCGGAGTTCTGTTGTGATCTTGTGAAGCGCTTCCTCTAAACCGGTTGTACAATTGAGCAACATTTCCTGTTGGAAAGGCGTGGGGCTGCACCAAGCCGTCTCTCTTTCTTGGCGCTGTTGCCGCTCCGCACGTCTCTCATTGGTTGTTGCGAGGTAGGCCGCGACATCAATCTGCTTCAGCATGGCGGCTGCCCGCTGGGCGGCGCCGTTTGCCAAGCTTGCAATCACTCATCGGATCGCAGACAGTGTAGTCGAACTGTAGGCATCGAGTCTCGTGAGGTCGGCCTGGATCATGCTCGAAAGCGCTTGTGCCTCGACTGCCACAGTAGTAACGCTGCCCCTGAAACGGGCGTATCGCCCCACTGGTTCCAAAGCCTGCAAGACGGCTGGTGCGGGTGCTTCGACTCGGTCGTCGCTTAGATGTGGCATGCTGTGGTCCCAGTCGGTGACTTTGCCATTGATGACTTGTGCCATCACTCGCCTCTAGAATCGGCAGTCGCAGACGTTTGCAAGCGCAGAATCCAGCCAGTGGTTCTTTATCCACTCTGTTGTTTCCAGAAGGATATTCTGGTCGTTGTCCGTGAATGCGGTGTAGTCATGTCGTTGCCGCTTGGGATCTGGGTCAGCCATCTTACCAATGGGAGATGGAGATGGGGCTCGGCCTTCCGGTTCGACCAGCGAAACGACAACAGTGTCGCTTGGATACTACTGATCGATCGGGGCAGAAGTCCCTGGCTCCTAGGCGCTCGGTTCGTCATCAATATCACTGCTGATGTCGGGTTCAACGTCCTCATCTGGGGAGCTGATGATTTAATTGTCGTCAGGGTTTATTAAAGGCGAGCTAGGGATAGATTGTCGAAACGGAGGAGGGCTGTGGATTAGGGAGTCTTTTCGTTTTTGAACTCGTCAAGGTCACCTTGTTGGAACGCGAGTATCGAAGGGGGGCTGGGATTCCTGGGAAGAGTTCGCTAAGAAACAAGTTTTACTGCTTGTTACCGTTGCACATCCGGTCGGGGGCTTTGCAGGCTCACGAGGAGAGACAGGCCAAGGCTCGGATGGCATCTGCTTGAACCGAATGGCCCACAGCCCTGCGGGAGGGCTGGGTTCCTGACGATAGGGACACACAACCTAACGATGGCAGCCTTCTGTCGACGGCGACGGGAAATGGAAAAAAAAAAAAAAGAAGGAGCGGGCCTGCTGATGTGAGCGTTTACGTGTGTTGGCAATGAGACCGACCATCAAATGACGAGAGAGTTTGTGATGGTGTGGCGGTGCACGGCGGCTGTATTGCTGCAGAAAGATGTTTAGACGATCTGGAATGACGGGGTCTTAGGTACGGAGCTACAAGAGTCAAGTGGCCCGGCCGCATCACGCCTAGAAAAGCTGCCACACCCAAAAGCTGCCACACCCAAAATGCGCCACATCTAGAAAATGTGCCACACTAGAAAAGCTGCCACGCCTACATTACATTGTGGCACATGCAGCAAGATGACTGACTGGCTTTACAGAAGGCAGGAACTGTGAAAAGGAATCATCCTATTGACTCTGAATGACAAGCTTTGCTTGGTCCACATTGCCCAGTGATACGTCGTTGACGGTCGCCTCAATGGAGTCGGGAGATCACCACCGTTTGGTTTGGAAGCGTTGACGCAGTCCATACTTGGCTCCGGGCCTTCTGCCACCTCCCTCCCTGGCCTGTCCAGTGACCCTCGCTCCGCCTTGGCTCATCGCAAAGGTTTATCGAGAGCGACGTCCGGACCGTTCTCGAGGCCATCACCCCCCACCTAAGCGAGGTCGAGAAGCCGTCTGGGCTTTTGGCGGTGGGAAACGTATCTAGGCAGTACGTATCTCTGTTAGTGGAGTGGCGGGGAATAAATCCACGGGCCCCACATCACTCACTACAGGCTCGGCCTGGTACCGTTGTACAATGTACTCTGGATTCGGCCTAGGTCCCTACAGTACTGGGTCATTAATGTTTGAACAGCAATGAGGGTCACATGATGCATTCGTCACATAACCTAGAGCTGAGCAAATCGGTTATTATGATATTTTGGTATAGATTCCTTATAAGTATGGGTCGCACGGAGGAACCGGAGCTGATTGATTGGTCCCGTTATTGCTGTTCAAATATTAATGACCTAGTACTGTATATACTACACGGACCGGCGGGCGGTTTTGGTGGGAACATCAACCAGCGCCATACTCGACAGGACCTCTTTTGCGCCAGAGCTCCTCACCCACGCCAGCTTGAGCTCATCTGGCAGGTCCTCGACTCGGGATGACATGGTCTCCGTACCCGGTTGTCAGCTGGTGGCTTGCTCAGACTTTTCCAAGGTACCTAGTGTGAGGTCTGCTAAAAGGCGGCGGCGCACGCAGTAAGAATCTGGTTGCGCATGCACCTGCTTGCATGCCCAAGTACCTAGGTACCTAGAGCAGGGGCGGGAAAAGCCAGGCAGACAGTCCCGGGCTTCCTTAGTCTTTCGCGTCAATGCCTTCTTTCTTGATCCTAGAAGGATAGAGGGCAAGAGGCATTAAGGTAGCTTTTAGGTAACAGGGAAACCACACCTGCATAGACGCCTGCCCCTCAGGGGCGTAGGGAACATGAAGGTAACGAAATTTCGTTACTTTGATGTTCATCCCACCTTCTGGGTGGAGCCTCTGCAGCACAATCCATTGATTGGTCAGCGCGCTAACGCAAACCTGGTTACCCTATCGGTAAATTTGTCCGAGGCATCCACCACCACGTGGACGACGCCACGAGGCAGCCAGCAAGCCAGAGCCACCAAAAGTCCGAGGCGCAAGGAGCAAGTAAGTAGTAATTAAATGCTGTCGTCAAGATCAATGTCGTCCCTGAATGTAATCTCAATATCGCATATTTCTTCAACAGGCGCACTACCGCCTATCCACGCAGATGGATTCTGCAGCATTACCGCCGCCATTCAGGCCAGCAAGATTCTATCATAATCTTAGTAATCTTAGCCACAACAGCCTTTCTTAGTTGGTCAAAATCACAAGACTCGGCAAATCTCAAGGAAAACATTTGCCCACTCTTGGCAGCCCGGCGACTGGGAGTCAACAACGACAGAGGCATGAAAGACGCGCCACTACCTAGGTGCACACACTGATAGCAATTCCGAAGACTACCAAATCGTCGTGACGACCCATCAGGATGACTCCGTTAGGCAGAATGGCTCTCTTTCCTTTGAGAGGAGGAGGCTTCACTTCCGAGCGACCAATTTCCGGCCGCCTACACCCCAAGTTCGAATAACAAAACATCATTATTGACCCCACCGCTGCCCCGATCGCCAAGTCAATCAAACTCCCCGCTCCTTCGCGCCCCTTCTGCCCCACACGAGCGACGCCGTATTATAGCCGCCTCGTCACCAGTGCCGCTGAACATGGAATGCGCCATCACCAGATAGGCGTGGAAAGTACCTGCGGAAAAAGTGCTGAAATTACATGGTAGCAGCCAAGGAGTCAAAAATGACGTCACTGCACAGGGTAAATGAGTTAAAGTACTCCGAAGGGCCTGAACTGATACTGAATGAATGTAGGTATGTTGGATATATACGCAAGGTACAAAGCACACAACCATTATTCTGCCTAAGTTTCTCGCAAAACTGCCAACAAACAAACAAACAAAACGACCAATTTATCACATTATATCGAGATCGCGAACCGACCAACACACCCTTCCCCTCGCTTTTGTTCGACATTGCTCGATTGACACGAGGTGCTGCCCCGAAGCGCGCCTGGGGTACCTTGGCACCTAGCAACAGAAGCCTCGTTTCACCGAGTATTCCCATCCATTCCACCGATACCCGGCTACGCAAGGTATGCCAATCCACGGCCTGCGCTGAGAGACACTGTCTTCCTTGCCTGGGAAACTAGCTTGCCTTGCAAGTTCTTTTCAAGGGAGCTTCTTAAACAACAAGCATCACACCGCCCCAACCGGCCCGGGCATGTTTATCGCCGCCGCCGCTGCTGGAGCAAAATAAGCACAGCCGACTGACTCTCCAGCGTCACCAGTCTGTCTATCGTGCTAGAACCAGCCATCACCTAAGGGCCGTGAAGACGCAGATCATTTTTAACCACCGCCACCGCCAATGCATACCAACCACGCCTTATCCAAGCACATGACGGCCCACCTCGACCGCCCTACCTAGCGCCGGCTGCGCAACGGGATGGTATCAGCAGGCCCCGAGCGCCCCGGTTACATGACGCGGTGCAGGGATTCTTCTTATTAGTATGGGCTGCCACGCGGGCCAATTGAACCAAACCGTTGGCGGGGGGATAGTTCGACAACATCATGTCGTTCAGGCTCGGCAACTTGGAGAGCGGCATTAATACCACCATCTCGCACGCTGATGGGCTCGCGTTTGGTGCCAAGCTTCTTTCTGTCCGTATACCTATTTGACATCAAAGGATCCGAGACCAGTTACTCTCCATCATGATGATGATGTGGAAGCTCGAGATCTTGGCCAAAGTGTGCGTGCCTCTACGTCTCCGACCTTTGCAACATGGCGGTGTGCTCGATCTGCAAGGCCCCCATGATCCACTGTGAATGCTCGGAGCCCAAGCCGGGCGGATTCGATCATCATCTCCATCATGTATTCGGCCGTGAACAGGCTCGGGTGTGCGGAGTGTCTGGCCTGGTCGGACCATAGCCCAATCGATGCCAGCAGCAATCTGGCGATGCACTGCAAGCTACTTAGCCAAGGTCTATTTCCCAGGTCCGTGGCACGACAAACAAAAACCAGCCAAGCAAAGCGCCCAGAACCACTGGTGCTTTCTTTGTTCAGCGAGGGGGGGGGCCGGAACACGACGAGATGCCACAGCCACCTTCCTTCACTTTTCTCTCCCTTGTTTCCTTCCATCACTGGACGTCGCGTTGCGTCGCGTCGGCTGCCAAAACTTCATCACTCGAGTTTCTTCCACCCCGCGCTCGCTGTCACCAAAACCACAGCTTCTGAGAATCAATCGATCGTCATATGTCGAGCATGAGCGAGCATGCGACACCCATCGAATCAACACCAGCTTCACATGACCCAATAAGGTCGCTGTTGCCGCATGAATTGACGCCGTCGTCACCCCGATCGGCTCCGCCGCCCCAATCGCTGCCCAACTTCAGATTAATCTCGAGGACCTCCCTAACAACTAAAACCTGTCTGTATCGAGCCACGTCCGAACCAACTTCGTGGCAGACACCTAGAAGCCCCGAACTACCACCAGCCTCGTGCGGAAAGACCTTAACGAGGAGGAACTTATTCACCTCTCAGCCGATGTCAATTAGAGGCGGCGAAATGATAACCCTCAACCTTCTAAGGCGCGCCCACAATCGTCTTTGACGACATGTTGGACGCCGTGTCTCAATTGATAGTAATGCCATTGAGATCATCAACCTCGGTAGCTGTGAGTGCCTCATCTGTATCCTCAATCTCAAAGAGACCAAGTTCACCGAGCAATCAGCCGACTACCTATGGCGTGCCTCCGACGGTATCCTCTACGGCACACTGTACGCGAGACGAGCTCTTGAGGCCGCACTGAAATGTTTGAAAGAGGTGGACATCAAAAACGATGTGGAAGACGGCACCGACAGCGGTATCACATACGACGGCGTAGGGTTGAATTCCAAAAGCGCGGTCGAGAACCAAGCAGGCGACAATAGAGACGACGACAACGATGATGGGAACATGGATCCTGACGAAAACGTCAGCCTAGTGGAGCAGCACAGTTCGAACGCTGAGCCTACATTCTTGACGCCCGATATGGCCTTGAAGGGCGCGCCCTTACCACTCTGCCCCGCGATTGAGTTGCTATTGGCCTCTAACAAGGCCAAGCCATCTCCTAACAGTCTTAGTAACAGCTTGCTCTCCAAGTCACATGCCCCTCTTCTTGACGCCGGACCGCGACCCCCTCCGGGCCCTGCGGCCAGCCCTATAGCTCCTTACCCGTTTTTGTTCTTAGCTATGCATAACGCTGGGGGCCAAGGCTAGCAGCCATGCAGTGGTGTTGTTGGGACTCTACGGCGTCAGGCAAACATGGGTGTCTTCTCTGACGAGGTCTTGGACGCTGTGGCCCGTCACTGCAGCCTTATTTATTAACGAAGTGCATTATATGCTATTCCAGGACCCTGAACGCGCAGCTTCCCTAGAGAAGAAGTGTTGTGGCTCCAGAAGCTACAAGAGTCGCGGCAGACGGCGCAGGATCATCTAGACCGGACCCTTATGTCTATCAGAGAGGATCGGAGATGGTTAGAACAGTTAAAAGACTTTTTGTAACTGATGAGATGGCGCTAACATTGGGGAATATGGTGCTTATTCTAATGCTGAGGCCACGGAGCTATTCATTTCTTCTTCACACTAATCATGTCTTCATGTGAACTGAATGTGGCCATGTTGTTATTCCCCTGGAATTACTTGTGTGTTGGGTAGGAGAAAGCATGCATCTCTCCGTCTCCTGAGCGCCAACAGGCTACAGACTCCAGACGCCCCTTTCGCCAACAGCATTTTACTCTTGAGGCCAGAAGTCGTACAGTGAAAGTTTATCAAGGAAATCAACCGTCCCCTATCTTGCCAGTCAATTAATTCCCGCAACAGAACGGACTCTATAGCAGTCACAGGGCACATAAGGTTAACTATATGGGGTAGCAGCTGCGGAAATGGTACATGCGCATCCTAGACAGATTAATATAAGGGTGGCATCTCTAAATAAGCTACTTACGCTTGTATAGGTTTGGTGTCTAGGATCCAATGGCCCTCTGTTTGGTAGGCTTGATGTTAGGTGTCACGAGATAGATAAGCGTTAGTTACTGCCAAAGTCACTAACGGTATCGTTTTATAACGTGAAATTAGGCTATAGACCTCAGAAACCGCATTGCTGTGGGAATAGGCATAGAAATATTTTCCCAATTCTTAAGCACAGGAAATGCCCCTGTCCTTATTGCGGGAGACACAAGACGCATTGCTTCTCCTATGTGGTTTATAGTTTCGGAGAGGACCTAGTTTTACTTCTTGTGGCGTCACTCTTCTAGGGGCAGCAACTAGCTGCATCTAGAGAACAGAACGTGTACCTTTAACGAACTGTAGCTGTCGAGATGGATTAATTGCGCCTTAATGGGGTTACATTACAGGGCTTGTGACTGCAAGAGGGGGCAGTGGTTCTGGCGGCGGCCGTGAAGGAGGATCAATCGGACGCCATGGTCAGAAACATGGGAACAGCGTAAGTTGCTGGCTTCATTTCCCTTGGTTCGAGGAACTACGCGTGAAGAAAGTGTGTGGGTGTACAAATCCGTGATTAGAAGGCTGACGTTGAATTCGCAGGTTGCGGGACGAGTGTGGCAAACATCAGTCAATCATTGGGGTCTGTGTCAATATGTATGGACGCCTTGGAAGCCAGGTTAAACGGAAATACTGCGATACGGCATGTCAAACCCTCCCATGATGATGATGATGATGATGATGATGATGATGATGATGATGATGATGATGGTGGTGGTGGTGGTGATTCTGTGAGGTTTTATCATTGCAGCCATGTTGAATAAGGAACAGGTGGAAGCTCTATGGAAAACTTTAGGAAAAGCCATTCAACTACCTCGAAGGAATGGCTAAGATCCTCATAATACAAACAGAGCCAAGACCACAGAAATTCTCCAATAGATACTACTTAGCTAACAGCCTTATATGCCTGAAGGGCTCTCCTTGGCTGTGGTACAAGGAACCGCTCCAATACGCATGACTCTTTTTCCTTTTCTCACAATTCTAACACTTGGCCAATTCTCCATCATCCAAGAGCAGGCTCGATCGCGACACCTGTCACGCAGCAAAAGCGACATCTCCCCCGACTCTTGATCGTTGCAATGCGTCCCATCATGAAGGACAAGTCCTCGCCGGCCCACTCCCAAGACCGAACCCAACCAAGGTTTCGAGCTTGCCTGCCTCTCAATGTAGCCCTTCATCTTCTATACTTTAACCGTAACATCCCTGTCATTTTCCCCCCCAATTCGTGTTAAATATTTAGAGGAACAATATCACCAAAAGGACGCCTCACAGTACGAGTTAATATATAAGTGTTGGGGTTCACTAAAATGGCTTCCAGACTAGACAAATCTATAGAAATATAAACATGCTATAAGATGTGCTTATAACATTTACTGTGTAGTATCATGTCGTGGTTTATACTGCACTAGGAGGGTGTGGTTGGGGCCTAATCGCAGGCGCTGCGGCGACCTCGAGCTGGGCCAGCGTCAAACTGGGGGACTCGACTTCTGGAGTCGAGAGTCTGGAACATGAAGGCTCAAGGATCAAGGAGGGAAGAATTGCCCGAAGGGTTTCTTCGCCGCAATGCTCGTCGAGGCCCCGAGCCAGATTGGTTCTCGCCTCAGTGCAATACATACCGACGACCTGTGCAATACATACATACACATAGTGCAGGCCTTCCCAGCCGCAGCAATGGAACCTGGGAGGTATCATGTGATTTATTTGCAGGCAAGTCTGTGCTTGACGGTGGCCGTCTCCAAGTAATACTGCACCGTCCGTCATGACAACACTGCGCTCTTCCCTCCCCGAACCTCTCCAGCGCATCACCACCCACCCGACCTCGGACAACAGGAAGCCAGTGCCGAGGACGAGGAGGAACACGCGCCCAAAGATATCAAGTCTGCCATGCCTGCCAGAGGCCTTGCATGCAAGTGGGTCAGGCGAAATAAGCCGAAATACAGGGTGGCAGGGGAAAGTTAATACCCCCTATGATGTTACCCCCAATGGCTGACATCATAATAGAGGGGGAATATTCACCAACAGAGAAGTTCTGTAGCAAGAGGGTTGGACGTTACTTACCTGGCAGGGGTAATTTACGATGTACTTCGGCCTGGTACCATAGTACTTGTCCCTCGGCTTGTAGTCTATCCGCACCCGGACCCACCTCCGGGCTCCCGACAACCCCTGCTTAGCGTCCCCACCACGAAGCAATACGGCCGCATACAAACAAACGCTTCACGGCAAACATTGTAGACTACCTGCCTAGTTTAGTACCCCTGCCGCAGTTGCCAATCTTCTCCCCTAATTTTATTATTGGGGACAGATAAGGGAGGGAGGAGATGATGGCGGGAACAAGCACTGGAATCTGTGCTGCTGAAAAATTGCCTTCCCCTTCGTAACGGGTCCTAACAGCAGAGCTCATCAGGTGCCAGCCACGATATAACTAGCACAAACGGCTCTTTACAAAGGGTTACCCCTTTTATCTCGTTACTTTCTTTCTTTTCCTCTCTTACATTTTAAACATCGTCTTGCGCGTACACGTCGATCCGTCCGTCCTTTTCCACCCATTACCCAGCTATCAACAGTTACATCAGCCGACCTAAAGTCTCATCGCTGTGGCTGGGTTGCGCAAAAAGGACCGCCACTAAGCGAGCCTGGTCCACAAAAGAGTAACTAACCGTCTTACACTACTGTTTCCGCTCCACTTCCATGAGGGTGGAACCCCGCTAACCCCCTGGCTAGGTATTAATAGCATGGAAAAATGCCGTCGTCCCTTCCAAGCGTCAACTGACGTCGCAGAGTTCACCTCATCGAAGCCATAATAAATCACAAGGTTGATCCCAGTGACCCCGCCCGGTTAATCATGTGCTGTCAATGGCGTCAAGGCGGCTCGACCTGGGAAGAGGAAGAATCTCTCCAGCTCGACGAGCCCGATATATGGCGCACATACGTTTCAACGCATAATACCAAGGAGGTTCTCGAGGACAGGCAGGACTTCTGGTACATTCTTGACGTCCGGTCGCATTCGATAAGGGCTGGCGAGGTTCTCATGCGTGTACGCTGGGTTGGGTCTATGAAGGAGCCATTTGAGACAGAATCCTATGTGCGAGCTAACCGACCGGCTGCTCTGGTCAAGTATTGGAAGGATTTGGGAGGCAGGGAGGCAGCGTTGTAAACGTCGTTCGCATCGAGTTCGTCGCTAGTGGCGCATCATATGGGCAATGGTGAAGCAGCCCTCGACGGATAAGCCACCTAGATCAATCAAATCCATCCCGTCAATGAATTGTACCAAGCAAGGCCTATGCGACCACCCACATTTCGGCAATCACACCCCAATCGCTTCTAATCAATCCTGACTGAAGAGGAGAATTATGGACATCTTCAAGAGCTCCCAGGACAGTATAATGCTTGAGTACACGCACAGCACCGCGTACGCCGCCGTCAAGGCCGTCGCCAAGATGCAGACGGACGTTTGTAGGGCTGGAATAGAAGGACACAGCCTAAAAGTCGGACCTTGTCGTCTGCAACGCCAACAGCGCGCTCTATATAACAATAATGTGCATGGCGTTTCTGGTCTTTAATTAATTGGCGCTGTTATAGGGAAACAGCTCTTGTCCAGGCCAGATTCTCGTCCCGGAACGGTACTCCTAGTGATACTATCTCGGTCGTTTATATGTCCTAGATCCACAATATTTGTCCTTGACGAGGAGTAAGTGCATGCTAATAAGACAGACGTCTGAAATCTGGCGCAGGTGCAGAACCAGAGGGGCTCCAGCCCTCTATAACGGGTACGGCTTTGTCGAGGTCAGCTAAGCTTGCAGATACGCAGACTAAGCGTCTGGTTTGATTCCAACTAGGGTGTTGTCAAAGGGCGAAGGGGCTGTAGGTTATATGTTGCACGTCGTATGTTGCAAGGATAAATTATAGTCCCACGAGGCGGTCACTCGGTTTCATAACCTTCATCTCATGATTCGTCCGTCAGACTGCTTTGCGGACTCCTCAGAGCCTCTTCCCAACAGAGACATCACCTGCTCTAACCCTTAGACCTAACCCATAGGAAGCTTCCTGCCTCCACCCTGCCAATCGCCAATGACCAAGGCTAGGCCATGCCATCAACAACGCACTGCTGTCTCAGGAATACCTCATGAAGAGAGAGCATATCGTTCTATCTCCTTTTCACAGGCCGGAGGTAGGAGCACGTTCATAACCGAATCCTCTCAGCCGAGACTGAAAAGCTTTCTTGTTTCTACGATCTCCCGGCAGAAACACGACAGGTCTTGAAGTCGGTAGCGGAAACGATTTAGGGAGATGATGGTGTTGCGGAGCGGTAGCTGACAACAGCGTGAAAGGTCTCGCACAGGTGTAAGTGCACTATCCAAGTAAACCATTCTAGTAGTAGGGGCTAACTAAGAGGTTAGTTAGACTAGCACTTATTGACCGCAAAGAGGACGACATGTCGGAATTAGGCGGCGTGGCTCTCACTCCATCATTGCTACGGGGTCAGGGACAAGGCGCAGTGTCAGTGTGTGTTGGCGCTAGGCAGTGGCAGTCGTCGCTTGGTCGGTTTCGTTGTCAACATCACATAGGGTATCAAGGTCTAATGGAGAAGATAGAGAGTGGGGCGTGGCGGTCGAGGACGAAGACTAAAGGGTTTTACGTTAACTCTAGGTATGATGGGGGCCATAGAGACGAGGCGGTGACAGGTCTTTGTGAAGTCTTGAGAGTTTGGGGTCGGACGGGTCTCGGAGGCTGGAGCGGGTGCATCGAATATTATCTTGTCTCAAGTGGTACAACTTGGAGTTTGTAGTTGCGGATTTCTCGTAGGCTAGATGGGAATATTTGTTTCCGTCTCGAGTCGATACTGACCTGGAGGAGCAATGGCTAAACTGATCCGACGACGATGATTACTAGAGAGAGAGGTAGGGTGTGGGGGGCCTTTACAGTTTGAATGGTCGGATGCCGAGTTCTCCATGATGCTGCTGTTTTCTGTGTAACAAAGACGGCAAGTTTGTCGCTGTGGCTTACAGCGGGAAGCAAGTGTAGATAGGCAAGAGAAGACCAAAGACAGACAATACTGAGCTAGGAAACAAGAGCGGGTGTTATTGTTGTTGTTGTTGTTAGCTAATTAAAAGCGGTAGAAAGCCAGGATTAACGATGCCGAGTACACAACCAAGCGGCCCTTTTAGCGTCCTCCTCGTCCAGGCCCTCCGACTGCACATGTCCAACGAAGCTGATGCGTCGTCCCTCGTCGCCCAGGCCAAGGCCGCGTAGGATCCTGCTGCTACTTATGCTGCTGCCGCGGCGGGAGTTGGGACCTGAGGTCTTGAATGAAGGTCTAATTAGACATAATGGAACCAAGTTAGGATATATGATACACAACGAGCGGAAACTATCATTTAACGTAGGCTAGGGCTGGGGCTTATGATCCTACTCTTGGTGGCCTTGATGATGTCTTTGGTGGTGGACTTGGGTGCGTCGGCACCAGAGCAGCGGCGATTGTGCATGGCGGACTGAATGGCGGCTGGAACCTTGCCACTAGACCAGAGAATTTGGCGCTCCGGGTCGCGTTGACAAGCCTGGCGATGGTCTTGGCTGAAGCCGTCTTTAGGAAGATGGACCTGCCCGGGCCGAGGAACATGCCCGCCTGGTTCTCAAAACCAAGGGCTACAGCTGGGAAACGTCGCGCTCAGTGTTGCGCGGCAGGGTAATGGTGAGTTTAAGGGTCTGGGGGGAGAGCTCCGCGGCCAGTCAAGCGTGGGCATCGGGTCATCGTTGTCGTTGTCATTGGAGGGGGCGATCTCAGCGGAGCTTACCACCAGTGGTGTAGCGTGAGGAAGATGGGGGCATCTTTTTGATGCGGGCGGAACCGCCCAAAGCAAGTTGATAGTTAAGAAACTGAAGGTGCACCAAAGTGGTGGCAGCGGCGGCGGCGGCGTGGACCTTTAGGTAGTCCAGGCCTGAGGATATTCTTGATAATCGCTGCAGATACTGGTCTTTCAGTACGTCGACTGCGCGGAATGAGGCTTATGTGAAGCAGGACGGTTGGAAGGCGTCGGTCGCATGTAGGTAGCTTACAACATGTAGGCGCTTGCTTGTGTGAAGTCTTATCGATCCGACTGACTGTCTTGACGACGGACAAAGGTGAGGTGGTGCTTATGTGCAGATGCAACATTTCAGGTACGCGCCTATGTACGGGATATTGGACACGGCGACCCTTGTCTGTCTTTGGATGTGCGTTCGATCGATGAAAAGATGAGGCGATGAAAATCAGGAATTGGCCCAGGAGATGGCGGAAGAAGTGTGGAGGAGCAACATCGGGCATGGTCGAAACTAGCCGCTAAGCACCCACTCACTCCTCCACACACCGCGAGTGACGCGTCTGAATTGCCAGAATCAATTGAAACTCATGCGCACAGCAATCCGCGGGCGGATTTTCTCCTCCGGGCGCTCCGATGTGGGCTGCAGTAAGAGATGCGTCTCTTTTCACTCGCCAATAACCATGCAACCAGTCGGCCTGCCTCGTCCGGATATACTGAATCTACTATGCATGTCAAGACAAGGGCTTGCTTACTGCTTGCATAATCCGCCATTACGGAGAGGTGGCTTGCATCCTGCCTTTTGCTGCGACCTGGGCCGCCTAGGGCTGGAAAAGCAGGACCACATGGATGAACGAACGGCGTCTGAAGTATCATGAGGAGTACGGTTGTATAGAGGCTGCAGCAAGTGCGGGCGACAGCAGCGAGGCGGCGGCAAGATGGCGAGGACGGGATCGTTGAGCAGAGCGGCAAGGTTGGTCGTGTGGGAGGGAGAGGCTTCGATCCGCGGCTGCCATGGCACGTGGGAGAATACCGTGAAGTGGACCATTGGCGCCATCGAGGTACGTATCTGTCAAGTTCCAACGTCCCACGTGGGCCGAAGCATCGCCCAGAAGACTGGGAGCCCCGCCAACACGGCAACGGTCACGCCTCAAGTCAAAAGTCCAGCCAGCTTGACGCCCTCGTAAACGTTTATTTTCCCCCTTTTGGCCTGAAGCTGCTGGCCGTAGGAAGTAAATTCACGACGATACATAACATTGGCCTCTGCATTCAAACCACAGATTGCGACTGGTGCTCAACGTCCCCATTATCCGCGACCGCCTTTATTTGCCTTCCGCACTCTCACACCAGCTCAATCGATACGTGTTCCCTCACAGCTATTCGACAAGCAAATCCTGCGACGGATACTTTGTCTCAGTGTCGCCTTCGCAGCGACCGATAATTGTGTTTGGTTAAACCCAGGTTCTGCTTAGACGCCTGCTAATACTGACTGACGTAATAGTCCTCGCTTAGCCTGTGATCTGTGCACACTTTTGGTGGTTTTAGTGGGTTGTGACGGGTATGATAGATGAAAGTAGAGAAGGGGGGGGGGAATGAGAGGAATGCCGAACTGCTTTTCTTCCCCTTAAGCCATGAATCTTTTTGAGAATAGGGGCTATTCATTAAGACAGCGGCATAACACCAGGGCAACCAAGCAAACAAGCAAACACCCAAAATGGAAGCCCACGATAAGGTATACAGCATGCACCAATAGCACCTAGTCAAACAAGCCAACCGTCGGCCTAGCAAGACAACGTATGCCATGCACGGCCAGGGGTTGCCAAATAAGACGGACCCACACAAACAAGTTTGCTGGCTTGGTTGCGGCCGGGTGTGAAGGGGAGCTACGGAGTATTTACTTTTTACGGTAGCCAAGGCCTGTTCATGTGTCCCGTTGCTGGCTGGAATGGAGGCGCATCGAGGTTTCTCCGAGATTCGTGTGCTAGACAGAAAGTGGTGCTGCGCGGCAGATGTGTCAAAGCCGCAAAAGTGGTGGCACCCATACTCCCTGCTTTGGAGGGACGACTTTGATTCCTCCGACATAAACACCGGCCATGTGTACCTAGATCGCCCCGAGCAAGGATCACCCCAGCCACCCCGGTCACGTCAGTGACCGCTCACTGCTACCTTGATTAGCGCACGATTCCCAGGCGACCCCTACACGTTAACCGCCCCTGTCACAAGAGAACCACCGCGGCAATCGAAGGCGATGAGATAGGCCGTCCAGGTACAGTACCGAGTTAGAGGTTTGACAGCACCAGAGTCACTCATGAATCAGCAGCTCCTACTTTTGCATCGTACATTTATAATTGTCCTATCGGCTTGTCTCGATGCCATGAGGTTGAAATTAGTAGGGATATCCCTGTAGGGGCGGCCAGACTTTTTACCTGGTACTGAAGATGGACGCCTTTGGCACCTGTTAACCTGGCTGCATGCAGCCCCACCATTCCCGCTGTAAAGGCACCACCACCGCCCTTTAGTATGATACCCCGCTTTTACGAATTGTCCTGTAGCACTTTGCAACAGGCTTTCGCTTCAAAGCAGTATATGCAGTGTACCCATTACAAGACATTTTCCTCTCGTAACAGCACTCACACACAGTGGCCATGTGCGACCAGACTAACGTAACCAACTGTTTATTACGTGTCTAACCACAGCACCTGCTGTCGCGACCCCCGGAACTCCATCTATAATCACTCAAATCGCCCCAGTGATTAATCCACCCGTACTAGGAAAGCGAGACATGTTGGGTCAGGTAATAATGCATACTACAAGCCTCGGTCAGTTGAGGAAAAAAAAGGAAGAGGATTACAAATAACTATGCTTGTGACATGACACGTCTACCTACCTACAATACCTGGTCAAAAGTCTGGGCCCGCCAAGAAGACAACCCACAGTCGCAACCAACCCATTGGCTTATCATAACGCTGGAAGGTAGATATTGGTTTTCGCAGGCACAGACTTTCGACCAGGCATTGTACCTGGGTAGGTGGTAATTGCATTGGGTGCCTACCATTGCACGACGGCAATTGTGTGTTCACTTTGGTGCCTCATCACCATGGATGGGCCTCCCAAGCCCAACGGCCCGTCGCCCAGCAGTTTGCCCGAGCCAGCGCGCCTCGACCCACACCCGAACTCAGAAAAAGAAAGGCATTGCCAACGAAAATTGGCCACACCGCCAACCTCTGGGGCATTCCCTAAAGACGAGGAAGAGGAGGACAAGGAAGAAGATGCTTGGATTGCGCCAACAAAGCCAACAAAGCCAACAAGTAGTGAGTGCATCGACTCCTGACGACGTGAGTTGACAAACAGACCCCTCTGCCCTTAGGAACGTCAAGTCAGGCTGCTAACGCGTTTGTCGCCGGGTTCTCCACGCACTCGGACGTAACCGGAAGCCCATCTATGCATTCATTGCATCTCGACACTTCCTGGTCACAGTAGCCCGGCCGGACCCGGCCGGAATCATGGCGGTGGTCTGGCGATGGGTGGATGCATCGTAGGCTGGCAGCCGTGTTGTCGGGGGCGTCAACTCGATTGTGCAACCGGGCAAAGGCGTCGACGGGCCTTGACGAGGGTAGGGTAGCTGCTCTGGCGCAAATGTCTTGTATCAATGGCCGTCTTTATCACGAACACTGTCTTCGATTCGTCATAAGATTCCATGTTGCGCAAAACGGTAAACCATCTTTTGTAGCCGTCCAGGTCTTGAATAAGAATCTTGCCAGGCCTTCTACCTCTGCAAATCTCAAGGCGCGGTTGTCCGACATGTACACAAGCAAAAGGTTTTGTCTGTCGACCGACGGAGGCCAGGAAGCCGAGGTGCATGATGAGGCTTGAGGCTGCGTTCTTGACGACCCTGGAGACGTTGGCAGTATCACAGGCCGCGCCGGGGAAGGGTGGCAGCAGGTCAGGGATTTTCTTTTGGGTCACTAGAGAGGGAGTGTTTACGTCACTGGTTCCAGGAACAGAGACTGCGACGAGCGCCCAAAGGAATGCTAGGTTCGTCGCGTTGAATAGCACGGCGTTTCGACCATCATCAAAGTCAGCCCCTTTGTTTCTAGTGGCACGCAGAGGAACGGTGTGAAGCCGTGTTCAAAGTCAAGGCCAATAATAGGCTGCGTCGCTGGCGAGGCTGCATACAGTATGAGAGCCAGGCTACAGCTGGAGCCCGGATTAGCGAGCGAGTTTAGGTTTAGCACCTTACATGCGGCGACTTTAACAGGAAAGGGGGAATTGGAGGGTAAGGCAGAGAATGGAGCTAGTCGTCAGGCTATGTAGGGCCAAGACTACTCTAAATGGGAGGGGCATCTAGTTCCAAACTAACCCACCTTTGACTCCATTGTGAACGTTATTTCACTCCTTCGCCTTTACACAAGTATACACATGCGTCTGTCCCAACTGCGCAATACCCAAAGACAATAAATATGCAGACCTAGGCGGAGGCTGACCTTTCTGTCCAGTGGGTTCAGGGCGTTGGCCTTGTGGCGGGTGGGCGCTGGGTGTACATGTGATAATGGTGGGCTGGTGTTGAGCCTCTGCGTATATGCTTACGTGACCCGTAGAAATAACCTTGGTCTTTGTTCCATTTATTGCATACCTTCTCCTATGTCACTATCATCGCCTGACGTGGTCAAAATGTCTTCTGGGGATAAACAAAAGAAAATAAAAAGGCGGGTAGTGTAGAGAGCGTAAAAGCCGGGCTCTAGCAGGGCCATGGCCCTGGTGTCGTGTAGCGAGGACAGGAGACTTGTATGGAGGAGTCGGAGAGGCGGAACGGTCATGTGGAGTGCCAGGGGACGAGCTGTATTGGAAAAGACCAGACGATGATGAATAGGATTGTGGTGCTGGGATGAAAACACAACTCGATGGAGCGGAAATGATGTGACCTGAGTGATGGGCGTCGTAATGATCATGGTGATGGCGGTCGCCGTGGTCGTGGATGCGAAAGTCGATGATGGCCACGGCTTCCAAAGGGCTATTAACGTCTTGCTCAATGAATGGGAACGGGGACGCGCCTGTGGAGCTGCTGCTGCTGCTAAGTGGTAAGTAAGACGAGGTGGGCCGTAGGTAGAAGCGTGGGCATTGGCGAGAAACCCGAGTTAGCCCAGATAATGAGCAAGGTTGGAGAATGAATGTTGGCATAATTCCTACCTTTCTCACGCGTGGTCCAGCCCCTCGTCAAACACTGGCGGTCCAGTTGGCAGTTGGCCCTATCGCGTGGCAGTGTCAATCGCGCGAAAAGCGCGTCTGTCGGCGTGAAAAGGACACAGGATTGGAGTGTGAGGTCTCGGCTCATTCGGTCGGTCGGGGGGGAAGACGTTGTGGGTGTCTTTCGCGTCCATCTGCTGGGGTAATGGGATGTTGGCGGCGCGAAAATGGAGTGATAGGTATTGCTTCCTGACGGTTGTCGAGCTCGGATGTGTTTGTCCTCGGATTCTTCCACCATGAAATCGGTCGAGGGGGCGGCGTTGACGTCGGCTTCATCTGTTCATTGGTCGTGTCAGCAGCAAGCAACTGACATGAGCAGAAGGAGAAGGACAACTTGTGCATCAAGTTGATTTGTTAGCTACCCCGGCGATGCCATCAGGGTTGCACTTTGTCGTTCTCATTTGGTAGCTTGTCTGTCTGTGTCATGTGCTGCTGTGTCATGTCTCTCGCCTGGCCTGACATGAGGCATTAGCAGTAATAGGGAGGGCAATGATTAATTGATTGATTGATTGATTGAGTCGAGAAGAGAGGGGGATGATGGGCGGCCCCCTGCCGTGGCGGGGTAGCTACCTAAATGTACCTGCCTTGGTGGGGTAGCTGCCCCGACCAGCTAGGTACCTAACCTAGGTAGGTACCCAGGTAGGTAGGTAGGTACCTGCATGCAGATGGTCGGCATTGGCGTCGATCAGTGGACCAGTGGCATTACCTAGGCACCTAGGCACCGGCCTAGGTAGCGACAACCTCCGCCCGGGTCAGGGACTGTGACGTCAGAAGCCAATTGTTGTCCTGCCTGCCTACCTTACCTATACGTCGGTCGTTTCCTTGGGCTCCTCACAATGAAATGCCTTTCAGACCCCGAGGGAGATAGATGTCCGATAAGGAAACAAACAATCTGCTAACTTTACCCGCTCAACTCTTTGCAGCCCAAACGGCCCCTCTATCGCGACTCGCCGCTGACGACCTCACCAGACATGCGTGCTTCCTGCAGCGGGGCAAGTTATCCAAGCACGGCACCCAGCCGCTGCCACCACCACCCCCGTTGCCGTCGCCGTCGTCAGTCCCCTGTTCCTCAAATTCGATCACCCCCTCCGCAAACGATTCGAGGCGCCGCTGAAGCTGCGCGACTTCGTTAGAGAAGTTGGACGTAAGGGTTTAGAGATGATGCACAGGGGCCGTGTAGTTTACGTCAACAGCGACTAGATGGATGTCTTATCTGGCAGGCGTTTAAGGCTTGTGTCGTGGCGGAAATCCATGACCGATGTCTGTTATAGGTACCCATGATCTATTATTAACTACTTACGAAGCAGCAGCTATGGCTCTCGCACTATGTGTGTAACTTTACAAGCTCATAAAGGGACCAAGGTATCGATAGTATGCTTCAGTCATTCCTCCGCGACTGGTTCATAGTCTTCGTCTACCTCGTCATCGGCATAATCTTCCATGGGGGCTTTGTCATCGTCTGTATCGTTCCGATAGTTTCGCGCCGCTGTGGGCCTGGCCGGTCTTGATGCCCGCCGGGTACGCTCCCAGGTTAGCGTTTCCAGCCGGTGCATCCTTGTCGTCGACCGGACTTGGTTCCAGTAGGCTGCTTGGATAACTGCCGGGACTTTACAGCGAGGCTCCCAGGTTGTGCTTGGACTTCCTAGCCACTCGACTTTGTACTCCTCGTCGTCATTCTGCTAGTTTGTTGCTGGGAGCAGATGTCGCTGTACCCCGTTGACGATCCAAAGAGTGCGGTTGTGCATGTATTGTTCCCTCCCTCCAACAGCTGTCTAATAACTGTAAAAAGCATTGGGGGCGTCTTTTTGCATGAGGTGCTCTAGCTCCTAAGTTGTTGAGCCGTCCTGCCAGTAGATCTGCACCTGGAATACCTCGCTTCCTTGTTCTGCAGAGGCAGCTTCATCACGGCGATGTGAGATGATGGAACGAAACTCTTAGAAGGCGTGCAAGGCTCGGTGCTGCTGAGCGTCCGCCATGTTTGCTGCAGCTGCAGCTGCCTTTGGTGTTTGACCCGATGAGCTCGGTATGTAGGTCGTTTCGTAGATGGCCAAGGGTCGGATAGATGGCTGGCTCTCGGCGGTGGCCTTCGCTTTGCGCGGGACAGTCTGTCTAGGTAGACGACAGTATTGAGCGAGATGCCGAGGTGATGAATGAAAGCAAACGAAACAAGAGACTGACGTAACGCAACGGGCGAGGGGAGGGAGGGTGCCTCAGAAGGCGGGCCGCCTGCCCGCGCATGCATGCAATTATTACAGCCGGACTCCTCCATGGTACCTGATCCTAGCGGTTATGTTATGTTGCCAATGTAGGTAGGTAGGCAGGTACTGCCCTGCAGACAGATGCTTGGCGTCCTCACCGTCGTAATGGTGTTGTTTGTGTCTGCTTGGAAGGAGGGGTTGGATTGGGCAGTTCATCTGCGAGTAGGCGGATGACTAACCATTCGAGAGGTTCGCAACGTTAGAAGAGGACGGATAGAATAAGTTACCAGCATGAGCTAGAACAAACCGCAGTAAAGATGATGTTGCATTTGTTTCTTGCCACGGGGAGTCAATTAGTCGAGGCTAATCAGAGACCCTTCGTGCCGAGGGTACAACAGAAGGTGTCGCAAGACTTCAGTACAGGGACATCCGTCCGGGTGGGATAGAAAGGCAGGAGCTCAATTCGATTAGTAATGATCCGGCAGCAACAGCTATGTTGTGTTGATTGGATTCGTAGGGTGCCTACCTACCTAATTAGTCGTGTTGATTGGGAGGTGATGTGAATTGGGAGGTGATGTGAATTGGGAGGTGATGTGAATTGGGAGGTGATGTGAATTGGGAGGTGATGTGAATTGGGAGGTGATGTGAATTGGGAGGTGATGTGAATTGGGAGGTGATGTGAATTGGGAGGTGATGTGAATTGGGAGCTGATGTGAATTGGGAGGTGATGTGAATTGGGAGGTGATGTGAATTGGGAGGTGATGTGAATTGGGAGGTGATGTGAATTGGGAGGTGGTGTTAATTCCCTGTGAAGCTCCGCCAGGTTCAAGAAGCGGGCAGTGATGTGCCCCTAACTATTGACAAACGCACACGGCACGCTGCACATCAAGTCGGAAGTCTGGTTGCCGCTCTGTGCCAGCTCCAGTTCGACACGTCCCTATGTCCCTACTGTCCAACCCGATGCGTCACCGTCTCAACCTGGCCAAGGTGGTGCCGCAGAGCTACCTCCATCATCTGGTGTCACAGTTCGACGACTCTCAACACAGTGCTATTGACATTGACAGAACAAATAAGTACAAGAGCAAGGGCAAGGGGAGGGGGGCGACCCCTTGTATGACGCCGTAACCATCTAGCCACACAAGCAAAAGATCCCAAGGTAAAAAAAGTAAAACAAGAAAAACAGTGACCAGTATTGCAAGCCTGACGGCCCCGATAGCATCTTGCCTGCCATGTCAGCAGCACATGGTCACTTGGCTAGAGTGCAACTTCTGCTACTTACTGTCCTTGCTGATGAAGTGGACTTGCTGCAGGCCGCCAACGATGACCATTATGATCGGTATGGTCATGGTTAGAACACTTCCGAACAGGTGCAGCAGGTTCTGTCTACTATCGATGCACGAAGGGCTCGCTTGGAGTTGACGCTTAACGGTACCGAAGCCCTTGTACGGACTCTTGAGGACATGGCTGGCAACCGAACCAATACGTACGTCGGCGGAGGAGTTGACTCCCACTCTTTCTGGGTTTCTGTCTGGCACCGGGCGGGCGTCGTGCACCAGGAGGCATCTAGCTTGCCTACGCAATCCATCTCCTTGTTAACCGTCAACACTGCCAGCCTACGGAATAGCGGCGGCGGCATTGCACGGTCTACGTGGTAGCACAGCAATACCGTGTCTGTTTCTCCTGGTAACTTGCTGGATCTGGGGCCATGCCGGCCTTCCTCCGCTACAGCCCCAGGCCGTCGCCATCTCCACAGCCGTCATAAACCTCAATCTCGGACTACAGCAAGTTTGCAAACAGCAGTGGGCTCACGCTTAATCCATGAGGGCCTTACGAGCAGACACTAAGAGGGCGCAGCTGGCTGCTGTTTTTGCTGAGCTGGACCAGTCGTCCTGCTGGCCCTGGTGGGAGGGCCCCCCGTCGCCACCGCTGTCGGAAGAGCTCAACGGTGCATTAACTCTGTGCGAATGGACTTGACGGTTTGCCTGCACCCGCAATCGTCTCCCTGCTAAGCTGGAGGCCAGGGTGCGGGACAAAGTCTGGACGTACGTTTCCTTGAGGAATACAGGTCGTATCTCATTATCCTGTGATGCCCATCTACTCTAATTACCATTCGTAAGGCCCTCTCACTCCTGATCGCAACCGTCTGACTCTCCGTGCGAAAGGGCTAACCAACCAAGTGTACTCTCCCACTAGTCATTCGTGGATACTGAGTGATGACTGTACAAATTATCGGCGAGGTGGAAGAGGCTCCTCTGACGCCTGTTGCAGCGCCCGAAGGGCGTCACGCAAGTTCTTTACCGCCTCACGCACCCGTGGTCGCTTGGCTCTGCCTGCCTCCAACGCTCGGTCGGCAACACGTTTCCTCCGTACCAACAGGGCCATGTCCTTGTCGATCTGTTGCTGCGATCCGATAGCCTCTGCATTTGCCTTGGAGATAGAGCACCACTCATCTTCCTCGTCAATGCATCCCTCGGTCTGCTCCTCAATGGCCTGCAGCCGGGCTAGCGTCTGGATCCGCAGCTAGGCCATGCAGTCCTCTGATTCTCTCTTGTCCCTGCTTGCTTCAGTGGCGTATATACGGTCCTCCTCAAGCTATGCGCGTATTCTGTCAAAGTTGCCGACCTGCTGCACTTCGTCAAGAACCTGTTGCACTTCTGTGTCTTCCTTTGCCTCTTTTCTCGGGCTTGCAGAGCTCCTCTCGGCATCCGACCCCGTGTCAGTACCAGGCCGTAGCGTCTCTTCACCCATGCCTGAGAAAAATCCGCTGTCTTGGAAAGCGTCGTCGTCGTCGTCTGAAGCGTGGGAAGCGATCTCGCGGTCGCGGAAGCGGTTCGTGCGGGAGCAAGAAAACTCCTGAGGCGTGTGGCATTCCTCTTCGTCGTTAGAAACAGAGTCTGTTCGTCCAACTTGGTGTTGATCGATATCTGACGTAATGTCAGTGGTTGGTTGGCCAGTCGTGAATGGCCTGAATCGATGGTCTCTTTGCTCCCGCAGGTCATCTCGGACAGGCGTGCGGTCGTGGTCCGGAGAGCCCCTGTTGATGGTGTCGACGGCTTTTCGATTAACCTTGGGCTGCGCTTGACCTTGCGTCGCGGCGGCGGCAGAGGATGAGGAGGCTTTGTTGATAATCTCCTTTCCCCGTGACTTGGTTAATGTGACAGGAGCTGGATTGACTGCGAGCTGTTATGTTAGCATGAGGATCAGGAGCTTCAAGTTTTGGCGGGTGGCAAAAGGGGATCGGAGAGATAGGTGAAACTCACCAGCCTTCTTTGCAATCGTGAACTCGCGCGGGCGAAAGAGTTGGCGGAGATAATTCGGGCTAGTTCCCCGGACGCGCAGGAGCCGGGAGAAGAGGGCAAGGGCGTCGATATTATGGGGGAGGTTAAGCCAGCATGTGCGAGAGGCAACAGTGGCGTGGCCAAAGAAGAGATAGAGGTCCCAGTGGGAGTCAAGGCCGAGGTGTGTGGCGGCCTTGATACGGTAGGCGGTTTCGTTCCGTTTGTTGGCGACCTTTGTGTCCCAATGGTGACTGAAGACAGCCTGCAGAATCCCACGCAACTGATCCTGAGCGATCCGACCGCGCAGCCACGAGGGAAAAGGCAGGACGTCAAGGCGGACGGCAGCGTCAAGTTGGTCGATCTTGTCAGCGTAAGCTTCGACAAGGCCATTCCAAGCCTCGAGGACTCGTTGGCGTGAATCCGCAGCAACGGTGATGAGCTTGTCGGCCGCGTCGTTCAGCCGGGCGTTGTTGGTGTTGGCAGTGTTGACAGCGGCGGGGGGGGGGTTCCGAAGGATGTGGAGCGGCAGCAGAGTGGGATAAAGATGAACTGATTGACGAAGGCAGCCCGGGCGCCATGGGCGAGACAAATGCGACCAGACGATGTGGTGAATTGGCGAAATACAGGTATAACTGAGACACGGTGGGTGGGCGGGTAGGCATTAATTGATTGTACTATCTCTCTAGAAAGTGTCGGTCGGGGACGTATCGGAATAGGTACCTTTCACAGTGCACTGCAAACGCCGTCAGGATGCATACAAATTGCAATAGGGTTATTTGTTAAAGCGGCATGTTCGCCCCAGGTGGTGCAGTCACTTGCCGAAATTCTAAGTCCACCCCGCATTTCACTGCGCCCCCCGGTCTCACGCACTGCCGCTAATCCCCACGCCGTACCGATCTAACAGAACTAACATGTAAATCATCAAAGAGCGGTCGGTGTTGGCCAGCTGCCACGGTGCCTGCCACTCTCCACGCTTGGTTGACGTTTTTTTCTCGCAATTTCCCACGTCAGTCACAGATGAAATTGGCACTCGGGCAGCCTGGGGGGGGGGGGGGGGGGGTAGGAAGCTGTTCGGATACTTGAGGATTACATGCAAGTCATGGTCGTCAAAGTGCAGGCGCGGCGGCGTCTTCTTTTTACCTGCTCAGGATGGCCTCGTCTTCTATTATCCGATTCTGCGCCGGGGGAAAGGACTCTATAGAGCTAAAAGCATCTCTTTTCGCATGTTCATGACAAGACGTGTCGTCAAGATACCCCGCGACGCCCAAAAGGCAACAGAGTGATCGAGAACTGAGGTGATGAATCTAGTTAGCTGCCCATCTCCTCCCTCAGAACAGAACCTCTTGTCGCGCAGCATCCGGGGAAATATTGACAAAAGCAGGACGTATGGCGACGCAGGATGTGGTATGGAAAGAGGGGTCTTGGGTCAATTGAAAAGGATGATGATGGTGATGTTGGTCCATGAGGTGCGGTGTGGGACCACACTCCGCCGCTCTCACACATATGATGTACACGATCGGACTGACGGCTCGGGCCGAACAGAACAGAGCGAACGAAACACGTGGTTGTGGATCCTCCTGCCCTTGCATTTCGACACGTGGGGGCACCTACCTACCGTACCTACCTACGTAAGTACCTACCTAGGCTTATTCCTTGTACCTATGTATTGAGGTACCTACCTTCCTCGTCTGATGGGGCCTACCTACCTACCTATCCACAATGCCCGGTGAAAAGTCTGGGCCCACTAAAGACGATGCTTACACTCTAGCATTGTGATAAGCCAATAGGTTGCTACCTACCTTTACATAACTCTCCACATTCATGCCCTCCTCTCGTCCTCTCGTTCTCCTGGCCGGAACAAGGCCATTTCTTTCTTAATACTATACTAAACATGAACCCTGGCTTTCCAGATCCTATTTGCCGCCGTCCTCAATCCCTTATCCGGTCGGTCTCCAAATTGTCATTCCAGCACAAGCTCGTCTACAACCGTCCCGTAGCCGCTCCATATTATGTGACTACATGCACACTTCGCCATTTCCTACCCAACGACACAGTCAAAAGAATTGCTTTATGCATTTGATCCAGGAACCTTCCCTGTGGCCAAGCTGAGGAACGAACAACCGCCGGCATCACCCTTGTTGACGTCAGAGCTGCCGGAGCAATTCTCCCACCCAACATGGAGCTAGGTCTAAACGCCAGACCTGGACATAATTAGAGATACATCCAATTTAAGAAGATATATCTCGTCTCCGATCTCTCTTATTCAGGTAGTGAAATTTCACCTGGCGATAGCCACATAAGTAGTTAGGTTTGTCTTGTTTTGGGAAGGACACGGAGTATCTTGATAGCAGAACCGGCATGATTCAGAGGTGCATAACAGGGCAACCACGTCGATGTGATGCTCTCATCGCTTCCGAGTCACCTCGGCATGACCCTGTCGATTTTTCCGGCCGGCCGGCCTGCAAGGCGGCTTTCTAATCTTGCAGCCCCCCCGCGGCGAGTCTGCGCCACCAAAGCACGCATCCATCCTACTGGCGCCCGCGATGGAGGTAAAACTTAACCGTCGACAGTTTGGCTTAGGAGATAGGTGCTGCGTCTTTGGCTTTTTCATGCCTGCAGCTAGGGATCTCATGATGCACGTAATTAGTTTGAAGCTTGTCCAAATGTGCGCTTCCTCTTCCTCACACCCCCATCCGAGCGAGTGACTTTTGTAAGTCCAGAGCCAAGTACCTACCCGGGGGTATTAGTCAGGAGCTCTGGGCTAAATCCCCCCAACGAGGTGATCGAATCGACAAATGGCCTGTGCACACAAATACCTACGCGTTTCGCGACGCGATGCAATCATTCCGCCAAAGTAAGGAAGAACAAACAGGCAAGACGTCATGATGACGGGACTGGGGTACCGTACCAGCTCAAAAGTCTGGCCACACCTGTAAGGATATCCCCACTAGATTGTCGTTGCAGCATCAAGACAAGCCAATAAGGTAATCAATCCTACCTGTTCTGTGTTGCAATCTAGGTACTTGTTTCCTGCCTGCCCTGCGGGTCGGGCCGTGCCGCTGTCATCGAGTTTTTCAATCCTGCACGTCAGTCATCCATTCCCCCCCCCCCCCCCCCCCCCCCCCCCCCACTTGCAACAACAACAGCAACACAAAAGTCTCCTTGGTCGAGGAAACCTGATTGCCAACCAACACGAAAACAGAGCATGCGACATGGCGAAAAAAACCCTCCAAAATTCCGACTTGGAATTGATTGCTAAAGCACGACGATGAGTCGTCTCTCATGTCTCCCAGCCGAGATACTGTGCGGCGTAGCCGATGCCCTCACTATCCCTGACGGCCTAACCCACCTTGACCTACGGAGCTTGGCCCAGCTGACCTTGGTCTCGCACATGTGGCACAGCATCGCGAACCCCCTTCCCTACATACATGCCATCCTCTGGGATTAGTACATGCTCTGCTAGGGCAGAGCATAGATGTTGGTTCCTACTACGCCTGTTTAAATAATTTTGTTGCTAACGCCGCCTGGCGCTTCTTTGACACTAGTCATGAGCATGAGCATAAGCATCGCCGACTACCACCGGCTTTTTAGACCCCTAATGCTAAAGTAAGTAATTATTAACACTATCTAACCTTGCTTATATAATTCTAACAATAGCAGGCAACTGCCTAACAACTATGTAAGTGTGCTTATGACTGCTGCGCTATTAGGTGACCTTGCCCTTCTATTGCGCCTTGCCAGCTACATTCTACGCGCTCTTGAACCCCTAGACACCGCCCAAGGCATGACTTGCTGGCTCCTTAGTCACCAAGTATCAGTTAATACTAACGCTCTGCTAGATTGCCTCTGCCTATCGCCTTATATAGACGCTATCTATAAGACAGGCACATAGTCCAGATGTAGTATTAAGCTAATACTACTATATTTATCCCTTGTATATAGTAACAAGTTAACTATAAAACTCCTAATTTACAAGGAGGCTCTATAGGATTAGCTGCACAGTAGCTACAAGGGTCTTACTATACTATATATAATAGCTATAGGTTATAGAACAGAAATAATATAGACTATTAACTAGTGTTATAGTTTATAGAGGGACACAGTTTCATGTAACAGACCAGTACTAAACTAGCTAGACAATCTTAGATATTAGAGTCTTTACCACGCCTATCTCTCCACAGGGCCCAAGGAGGAGGAGGGGGGTAAAAGCTAAGCTGTGCAGCTGGTTTCTGGGCTCATCAGACTGGGGGAGCTGGTTCATATAACAGACGGAAGTTGAATATCATAGCGAGTGTAGAAAGAGAGGAAAAGGATTAAAGAGAGCCCAAAAGCATCACTGGACAGTTGACAACAAGGCGGATGTTGGGTGGGCGCAGCGGATCAAAGACTGGGGGGCCACGGAAAAGTTCTGGTGCCTGAGCTGATGGTATTTGCAACAGATTGCATGGAATGGAGACTTGCAGACGCATTGGCTACGGTGTATGAGGAGGCTTTTTAGGTGTGATGGCTTTTGTCACCGGCAAAAGGGAGGGAGGACGGACAGGACGGACAGGACGGACATGGTGAAGAGGTGTTTACGGGCGGGCTCCACTCTTGAGCGTCTGCCTGAGACGGAAGTGGAGCGAGCACTCTGATAGGTAGGTACGAAGTACGTTCCCGAGTACCTACTTACCTACCTAGGTAGATGGGCGATCGGGGCAACAGTCCAACTGGAGTGTGTGTGTGTGTGTGTAGCAGTGCGGCTACGGGACAGAAAGGAAAGGGCTGCTGTTGGCCATGCTGCAGGAACGAACATTGAAGATAGAGTCAGGTGCACAAGGCACTGGAAGCAAGGTTCTTGGCAGAGATAAATGTATGTGTCTATAGTGCCCACAATTCCTACCTAGGTAAGTAGCTATCTAAGCAAGAGAAGACAGACAGATAGGGCAGACGGAAGGACACAATCCGAAGAGGTGTTTGACGTTTTCTGGCGCGGCCAAGTAACTCGTTTCCTCCAAAGATATCACCAAGTGGGGGGGAGGGGAGGGAGGGTGTGCCTAACCTGTTTGGCGTGAAGGGGCATACACATATTGAAAATGCGATTAATGGTAGGTGTGTGCAAATGGATGTGAAAGGAGAGCAGAGGCTTCGTTTTTGCCTGCCTATAGCTAGACTACCTAGGTAGGTAGGTAGGCACCAACCACTGAGTCAGTTCTTTTCCCTTCAGCAGCCAGCCATTGTCAGTCACCCTTGCGTCCCGGTCTTGATTTGTGTCGCTTTTTTTGTTTTTCGAGCCTTCCAATGTCGAGTTTAGTCTTGTCTGTTGTTAAAAGTCTCTGTCTGATCACCTGACGTCGCCTCGCCTCGCCTCGCCTCACTTCACCGAGGCCGTCGCTGTTAGCGCCGCCAAGATCCTCGAGGCCGAGCTTGAAGCCGCCGATGCCGAAGCTGCCAGGCTCCAGCGCCTGCGCGCCCAAGCTGCCGAGGAATGGAACTGGGCCGAGATGGAGCTCCTGGACCTCGAGGAGGACGACATCCAGCGCATGCTGGCCTTGTACGAGGCCTGGGTGGAGGAGGCCGAGGAAGAAGCCGAGATCCTACGGCTTGTTGAGCATGTCGAGGAGCAGCTGTGTCAGCAGCAAGAGGAGGGGCCCGACGAAGAAGAAGACGAGACACAAGGAGGCCGCCGCTTCAACGGGGCTTTCATTACCTTTGATGACTACCAGGACGACGACGACCGCTTCTTTGGCGACAACGGCAGCGCCCCGACGACCACGAGCCTGCGTCGCCGCCGCCTACACCACCACAAACACCAACAATCTCCCGTCCTCAGTGCCGTCACTACCTCCCTCACTGACATGGCTCTTGAGGACGGCGAACGTCAACTCTCGTCCAGTCTCCAAAGGATCCTCCACGTCTACAAGACCGATTTTGTCTCCCTCCGCCCAACCACCCACCTACCGGGAAACATGCTTTTCTCATCCTCGATAGACGGGTACCAGCAATTCTTAACGCATCGCCGACAGAACGACTCCGTCATCTATCCATCTTTTGGTGCTATGGCCAACAAGATTTCCGGACAGGTTCGTGCATATGCCCCGCGCTGAGCCGTTCGTCCGTTAAGCTTGACAAACTCACCCAAGTCCTAAACGTAGCCGCGAAATAATAACGATTCCTGTCAGTGATACACCTGTCATCGAGATCTTGAAACAAGGAGAGGCAAAAAAAGGGAGGCGGTAATTTATCACAATGAAACAGATACAAAGAAAGAACCAGGGCAGACGCTGCGATCGTATAGTGTCAAAGACTCAACAGTCGTGATGCTCAGGGGCCAATCGTGACGATTATTCCAATCCATCTTGCCCTATTCCTAGGTTCTTGCTGGGCAATAGGCTCGCTGGATATCCTGTTGGTTCCCGACATAAACAGTCAATGGCAGGAAAGGAGAGCTTCGACGGCGACCTCGAGGTCTGTAGTCTATTTGAGCTTAGTGAAAGCCCTAGTCGCCTTTGGATGGCGCGTTCGTGGAGAATGATGAAGAAGGATGTGAGTGGAGGTGATGAGAAAAGTGAACAAGTTGGACTTGCGCCTCCGCCCTGTTATCGGATAAGAAGGGAAAAGAACATCGGCGCCATCTGCAGCATCAATCGAGACACATGGCTTTTTATCAGACTGAAATGCATTTACTAGGCACAACGTTGAGATGTCTTGAGCATCAGGCATCGCCTCGGTTGCCAGCGAATGCAGACGGTACCCCCCATCCATCACCCAGACAGCCCTTCTGTCCATCATCTGTCACGTTCTTCATACCCACCAAAGAGACACGAACCCAGCAGCTCCATCGCCCCACAGAGCCAGTCAAGTAATGGGACACCTGTTATGGATGCCTCACTCTCGATTATGTCCATGCCCTCCTCGACAGATATTGCCGCGTACAATGACGGTGGTAGCTCCGTGCCATCAGCAGAGCTTCTTCTGCTAGAAGCATCGTCAGGTTCAGACGCGTTATTGCGGCGTTGAAAGATTAGAGAGGGCTGGTGCTGGCGCAGGCGGGCCTGGTACACGTTCGGGAGCTCCACCTCGTCTTCCTGTGAACGGGATAATAACGTCGCTGTAATAGTTGGGTCGAAGTGAATGTCATCGATTGCGGTAAGCTGCTAGTCTGACGCTAAACCGAGGTTTTGATCTGTTGGCGAATGTCAGTAATGGCGAGTGAGAAATGGCCAAGAATGCGCAGCTGCTACTCACTTTCCATCAACACCAGCTCGATTGAAGCCTGCGGGCACTGCCGGCGCTGGCTTGACATGCGTCCATGATGCCGTTCGAGGAATGGGGAACGGTAGTGTGCGAACATTGATTGTCCTTGGCGCAACGTGCTAGGTGGAAGTTGCTAGCAAAGTGTGAGTATTTGCCGAGTTCTGATGCTGACAGCAGTGACGGAATTACGAGCGAGGGCTTTGGCGTGGAAGCGTAGAAGATTGTTTGACGTAAATCTTGCGTAAAAACCGCATCTTAGTTCTCCCTTCCGCACGAGGAAGGAATCACGCGCTGCTCAGCTCTATCTAAGGAAGGTACCCCCATTCACCACAACACACAAAGCAGTACATCATCAATCCTTCGACACCAACGCCATCCCGACTTTCGCATCAATGTGAAAACACCCACAAGGCCTTTCTTCGGCTCGTTTCGTCGTCGAATACCTGGGGCACACCTAGGTTCTGACGGCCGGACGGCCGCCTTCATCTCAGTGCGGTGTCATAGTGGCGTGGCCAGCGATTCATCTCCGAATGCCAGCTAAGCAATTCGGCTAAGCTCAACTCATCCAGCCTACGTTCAGACACCACCTATTTATTGCCTACTCTAACACCTGGCAAGTTGTACCAGCCACTCAACCCGTAGCTAGCTACGTTGCTCTGGACCTGGGATTGCTGCTTCTCTGCATGCTAAGTTCACACCGTTACTTGAACCCTTCTAATATTCCAATCGCGTCACCAACGCGTTCCCAGTCTGTTACTAATACCGTATGTTACCGTTCTCTAGTCTGCGAAGCCCGAGGCTATTTCCATGTAGCCACAACAAAGGTTATTCAATCGTTTAGCGTCAACTTCTCCCCGGACGGCATGCGCCAGCTACCTTCCAGACAGCGCACACCTCCCACTAGTACGATATAGTCATTATCCGCGACTTCCGCGGCGTGAAGGTCACCCTTCAAGTCGACAGCCGAGACGCCACTGGGTATGATGACCCGGATAGTGTTGAAGACGACCCCAACCGAGAAAACGCCTGTTGGCGAACATCCACTTACGTCGAATCCAAGGACGACACCTTCTTCCGCCTCCGCTATCAGGTCGAAAACAGCCATCGCTGGGAGGGCCCCAACATAGAGCTCTTAACCCCCGAAGCAGACGCTAGTATCGCTAGTAGTGGTAGCAAATGGTGGCGGCGGCGGTGGTGGTACCGAAGGTGCATCTTTGGTCAAGAGATAATGTGATTGAGTCGGCGTTCGGCAACGCGTTTACTCGACCGGGCATTGGGACTATTAACAGCATTGGCTAAGGAGACAAGCCTTAGCCATGACGGCAGGCTGAAAATAAGGCAAAGGGGATCAGAGACGAGGCAGTACATAGCATGGATAGGATAAAGGTTGTGCTGTATGATGAGGCTAGCTGAACGGCACCGTGACGAGTACCCTGCCCTACACAACGAAGATTGCTTCTGTGGTGTGATAGGTCTGTTCCAAGCGAGTGTGTTCCTAAGGTTTGTATGAAGTACAAGCCTGCTTGCACATCATTATACCCAGGTGGTTCTGTCTGTCTTTCACTCTATGAACAACCTCTAAAGAGGTTGTTCTCTAAAGAGGAAAAGAACAGGCTTGCTATTGGGCCCTTTCCTCTCCAATAAGGCTGCCCCATTACCTCTCCTGAACATTCAGCTTCCATAATGGTAGCACCTTGCCAAAACAAGCCGCTCATCCTGCCAAACTCAACGTCTCTTGTTAAAACTATGTTAAGGTCTTAGCTTAACGCCCTCTTTGTCTTGACCTAATCCTTAAATACCTGCCTACCTGTAGATTATAAGAGCTTTCTAACCCCACACTTCAGAGGGAAGCCGGATAAGTGCTGCGATAGCTTATATTTTCTCGATCCTGAGGAGGAACCACCGACACTCTGAAGGCTACCAAAGCAAGCTTCAACGCGTCAGGACTCACACTTCCCCTCAGCAGGACTCTAGAAGAGACGTGAACTACACTAGTCATTGCAGTGCTTGCTATTAATAATGTAAGTTATTGAAAAACAGCCTCGTAGTGCTCTTTGGGCACAGTAAGCCCTGCAGCTTATTGTTTTCTTTACGCACTTTGACCTTTGAAGAGGAAAAAGCCAGACTTGTCGACTCGCCGTGTGTCCTGACCCTCCCTTTCATACCACCTACCTCACTCATCACTCATCACTCATCGCTTATCACGTGGCTGCCGGTCCTGCCTTCAAGCACTTGCCTCAACTGAATCTTCTCTCTCTTATTCACTCATTCACTCCAAAGTTCACTCACTTCACTTCCAAATCGCGTCATCCCACCAGCCATCAATTACCAACGTCACTGGCCTTCAGCCCCTGGCCGAGGTGAGTGACCACTCGCACATGGTCGGATCAAGCACACATCCGACATCTCTCGTCTACCTTGCACGGACACGATTCCTCGGGCCAGTTCCTAGCTTTCAGGAAGGTCCTTCCTTCCTCCTCCTATCGCCACTTGCGATGCGTTCATTCTCTTTGTGTCTTGTTCACTCAAGCCCATCAGGCCCTAAGCGGCAGTAACAGCAGACAGCGGGTACGACGACGAGACCGTGTACCCTGTCCACAAGATCCTTCAGCACAGGCTTCGCTCACATGACAGGACTGTTGAGCTTTTGGTACAGTGGGGAAATGAGTGGGTTGACGACGAGCCGACGTGGGAGCTGCAAGATCTGCGGATTACGTGCCGCTAAAGGGTCTCTCAGTTCTGGATTTGCAAAGGCAGAAACTACCGCAACTCGATCCTAGGCCTAGACCCCGTTGAAGGGCCATTCGCAATTACCAACATCCTGGATGAGAGGGGTGAGCGCAAAAAGTCCAAAAGAAGCAGCCAGAAGACCAGCCATCTCATCGTGTTCTTGGGCTATAACAAGCGAGAGTGGCACCCAGCTAGCTGTGTTCCTGACCAAGGGATACAGGATTGGGAGAAGGTCAAGGTGGGTGAGGATGACAAAGAGGACAAAGAGATCTGAATTCCTGTGTGGTCAGAAAGACAAACGAGGTCCCATGAGGTTCTCGGCAACGCAACAGTACTCGGGTTTGATGATGGGAATAGCTGAACTAAGACAAGCAGTGGTCAACGACACCATTGCTCGGCCCAAAGGTGCCTCACTCAAGAAAACGATTCACTGCGTGCAGTTCCAAGGCGCTGTGATCCCGCGCAATAGTTGTCGTCTCTCGACCAGTTCTACTGCCAAGTACCCTGATTGGTTCCCTGCCCTTCGAAGCGTGCCTCACTACCAGTCTATCATCTTGATAGACAAAGGACTGATGCAAGGAACTTGCCACTTTGTAAAGTAAGTACTTGCCTAGGTGTCCAAAGCCCTCGACACTCACCTGCATTAGCTCACATCCAACCGTGGGCCGGCTCGACCGTCGAGCCACAGCACCCAAGACCTGCCGCCGCCATGGCAGGCATGTGGCAGCCCGACTTAGGCATCGAGTTTGGTGGTCATGCATCCTTACAACAACACCTTGATTCCCCATCAAATTACAACAATCATCCCTACGATCACTATACGCGACCCAACCCTAAGGTTGTCCCTAACCAAAACATGTCTAGCAAGTTGACAATGGAGGGGTTTCTCCAGAACGGCTAGCCAGCACGCCAAAAGTAAGCTACTTAAGCACCCTGTTCGTTTACATCCACAGACAAACGGTGAGGAACCTGCCTGACTAACGCGACTTTACTTTATCCCTAGCCCAAGGCAAAGGCTACACTGGCTGCCGTCGCGTCAGATTCCTCCCTCCCGACTACGCGCACCGCGAACCACGTCTCCGTTTGTTTATTCGACCTTGCAACGTCACCGCCTTGACTACTTAGCCACGTCCCCCCCCCCAATCCATTTACTCGAGCGGCATGTCTGTCACACACACTGCTGTGTCGTGTCCTTTACATCTTGCCACAGCATGCGCTATTGAGCGGCAACCATCTTGAGACTGCGCCACCATGTATACGACCAACGACGCCAAAGTGAGAGAAAAAAGTTCCCCCGTCTAAGATTGATCTGCACTTGGAACTGAGGGTAAACACTGACTGACTGACTGACCATTCGTTTGCAGTACGTCTGCCGCTCGACCATCTCCCATCTTCAAATTCCCGGCGCCCACATCGCCTTTTCTGCCGGCTGTAATCGTCGCATGTGGCAACACATCGTCCGCAACCGTCTTGACCTGACAACTGCTCCGTGGCGAAAGTGGCGCAGCGTGGCCTGTGAGATGCATCTTGTCAGGGAAGATGGCTCCAGCTGGAGCGCGACGTGGAATCGCGTTGTCCTCCGCAGGGTCTAGGAGGCCGTCGTTCGCCGCACTGACGACGCCGTCGGTCGCGGGCTTGTTTTGTGAATTCCACGGCCGCCGCGTTTGGGAGGACTGGGCTGCCGGCTTTCTGTCCCCCGAGTGGGACGGCGATTGCTTTGACGAGCTGTACGCCCGCAAGCTGCTAGCCAGGATCCTCTAAGAGCCGACAAGCCCAAGACCGCCGTAGAGACCAGCAAAGCGAAGACAAGATCGCCGCCCTGACGCACCAAATCGTCCATCTCGGACACATGCACGCTGTCCCGCCCTGTAACCCAGAGGGGGGCCCGCGAACACACGCCAAAACCCCCGATTCCGATGACAACAATGAGGTTACGGTTACACGTAAAGTTACCCGCGGCACGCCGCGACAGCAGGCCGTCTGCTTCGACTGAGACGACCCTATTGTTCATCCTGGGCCCGATCAAGATCTGGGGCCTGATGATTCGTTGACGATTAGGGAGCATGTCAGGCTCGTCAACATGCTGCATGCCGCCTCCTCGCCGCCGCCGCCGCGGCGCCCATCTACTCCAATTTCATCTGCTCCAAGTTCATCTCGGCGAGGCCCTAACTTGCTGGCATCCAAGAGTGTCGCCAAACTCGATACTCTGTACCGCCAAGGTAGAGAGCGACTCTCTTACGTTTCATGATGCGCTTGTCCATCTGCGCTTCGACCCTGTCGACAGGGTCGGCGATGAAGCCTACAGGGCCAGGATACAAGAGGCACGTGAGAAGCTCATTGAGGTGATGTTGTGTGTCGAGGACATGATGGACCGTCGTCTCCGGCAAGGCGGCGCAGCTCAAGGCCCTTATACGGCGTATCCCGCTTCCAGCCTGAGGTGGAGGCACTTATTGGGCATGTCGAAGGCATCGCCCGTGTTGGAGGCGAGTTTGGCCGCCTTGCGGGCACGGTATGCTTGACGCCTCGTGCATTTAACTGTTATGGTAGCTTAGTCTTGGTTATTGTGCTTTCGAAGCAGGACGGGCATGGAAAGAGGGAGCGTGATTGACGAGTTTCTTATGCCGGGCCGTGGTGGATGGATGCCACGCGATTTAGATGAGCTGCCTGATGCGTCTGTCCCTGATGATCCTCCTTGCTCTGCCTGGGCAGTACTTCAGTTTCCTCTAATCTGCCGTGATAATGTTGACAACATGGTTTAAAGACGCGCAGAAACATATTACTTACTTACTTACTTATACACTTATCAACCTACATACACTCGGCTTAGAGGCACACCCACTAAAATCTTTAACTTAATAGATACTGTGGCGGGTGTAATAGAACACTGAGTGCAGACTTTTGAGTTCTACCTGGTGCACTAGTTTGCTGGGAATCGCGAGGGATTGCCCGTGTTGCCTTGGCTGTATTGCTGCTGAGTTAGTGGCCCTTGGCGCATCCCAGAATTGACAACTACTACTATTACCACCACTGCTATCGCTGTGCCCTGGCTTGTAAGTAAAATATGACGCTTCCTGTTGAGAGCCTAAGCTTCTGTGTGCACTTATTAAAAGCAATGGATTAGTGGATGATGTTACGTCTGGGCATTTTTTGTGGATATGGAATAGCCCCTCTTTAATCCACCTGTGCTGTTTATTGCTGCTTTCCGCCAACAGCCTCGTCGATGTATCACACAATACAGCACAATTAATGCTTCCTTGAGTGCCTCCGCTCCAAAGTTTAAGATCTGTGAGAGAGGGCAGTAGTATGACGCCAGGCAAGGGTGTTGCAGCCTACCTACGATGCACTGGCAGGAAGGGAAGTCGCATGATGCGACGGGCTGGCTGAGGAGGGCGCTGCCTACCTGGGTACCTAGGGCCTTGGATAGTCTCCCCATCATCTATCCATCTTGACCTCCCGTCCCTACCGATGGACCGTGATCCCCTCGGCCAATTCCCTAACCACCTCCGCTTCCCGCTTCAATCGCCGTCCTTTGACAACGCTCCTCGTCCGTTAGAAACTGGGTGGCGGACCCCCGCCCTGCATCCCATCGACGACAACGAGTTCAGCCTATGGACCTATCTATCTACCTATGCTACGTGGCCAAGCGCTACGTGGACATTGGCTGGCATGCGTCGTGTATGCTGAGGCTGGCCAGGAATTGGTTCTTGCACCCCGCCACCGCGAAAAAACCGCAGCTCATTCATCCTTTTAAAAACAACATCGTTCCTCGGCCAAGAAGATTCTGCCGAAGCAGACCAGGGCCAATATATCAAGCAAGGGAATCACCCAAGCTGGAAGCACTTATGACACCGACTCTTTTGACAATTCGGTTCCGCCCGTTCCGCCATCTGTGAGCCCGATAAAGAGGAAGATTGCTTTGACTTTTTGAGCAAGCGGGAAAATCAAATTGTGGACATTCAGTCCAAGAATATCGACTATTAATGCCCACCCACATTTGCCGGCAGAGACTACATCACACACGTACAATTCACCCTCGGTTCACGCGACATATGCCAGAGGGGACGAGATTCAACATCAACTGAATTCCGAAAAGCACACGATTTATCCTTCATTTCGCACTGTGTTGCTGTCACGGCAGATGAGGGGCATACATAGGAAGATTGTTGACACCAATTTGAATAAATATCAACTCATATACAACAACTTCAATACTACCGAAAATATATAGAAATACACATTGTCCCCGACACCGCTGAATCCCGGATGTTTCCAAGAGCAGTCCTATCTACCGGCACATCCCAAGCCCACCGGCCGCCCACGTTGACCAGACGCGGACGGTGATCGATGTTCAGGAAAGGTGGCGGCAGAGCAGGTTGCTCCTCCTTGAAGGGGGATCTCTCTTTTACAGACACATTGTCATCTCATCCATCACACCGTTGGTCAGACGGATATAAAGAATGACGTAGACATGTGCGCAGTAGAAGAGTGAGTCTCCGGCGAGGTACCCGACTGGTGGTCAACCACCCTGCACCCATCCGCTCGTGTCCCCTCCCGCGGTAAAGAACACCTTGAGCAGCAATGCGCCGCTCAGGGGTCCAGAGCGGAGACGATGGATCGCGACAAGTGAGGGCGACATCCTCCATTTACCCAGTAAAGAACACCCTTGGCAGCATTGTGTGCCTAGGGGTCCAGGACAGAAAGCGATGGAAGGGGGATGATGGTTGGCTTGTTTGAGGAGGCGAGAATCGCGCTCGAGAGGTGGTTGCAAGAGGTGATTGTTTGTTTGTTTGATGAGATGCGGCTTGCGCTGGGCTGTCGCCTCGGATACAGCACACTCCCCGACTTTGTGTTCTCGCGGACCGATGGCGGCTGCGCAGGTAGAGAGGGCGTCCCCAATCATCCTGCAACGTACCAACAGTCCGTCCAACGAGTGGGGAGTGCGGGAGTGTGACGAGGAGCAGCATTGAGAGAGAGAGAGGGAGTATGTGTGTGTGTGTGTGTTGAGCCAGAGGTTTGCTTGTTGATTTGATTCCCAAGGTGGCATTTGGTATGTGGTTTGGTTTGATGGGAGAAAATGAACTGACATGCATCAATGTTTCGATCTCTCTCTGCCATCTCCATCTCTTCTCCTAGACGAGGGAGGCTGGTGGCCTATATGACATGAACGATGTACTGTAGGTAGGAATGTCTTCGGGACACCGCCAGTCTAGAAGATACGCTGGGTGAGGTTGTCTTGAAGTGAAGATCTGTGCGCGAGCGGTTCATGCAGGACGGGAAAGATGTAGAGCTAGGTTCTCGTCCTCCTGGCCGATGCCAGCTACAGGTCGGGGGAGGGGGCGTTTATGCCGTTTCCTGCCGCCCTGTGTCCAGCCCTTGACAACTTACAATGATGTGGCATTCTGTATAGCGTAAACACTGACATGGGGGGAGACAAGATGGTGGATATAGGCTGCAGCATGCCTATTGTCCCCTCCTATTAAGCCATCATGGTTGGTGTTTCTTGTCCTAGATTGAATGGATCCTCCCACTTAGTACTTGTCATCACCTTTTGGCTGTCGATGACGGCGGTCGCTGTTGACGAGTACAGAGAGGCGGAAGAGATGCTGGCGGATCTTGGGTCACGTCGCTGGACATTTGCACCACAGTCTCTTGCCGTACCTGGTCTTAGCCCTCTTTGCAAGGAACCGGACCGTGGCGTCGACAAGGTCTTCGAAGTGTCCTGCTTGGAGGTGGCGGTGGGGGCGTCGGCGCGCAGCTGCTCACGGAACAGCTTATCAAGCCTCTCGAGGAGGCTGGCGGCAGTCGCTTACGTGGTTGGGCAGACGGGCGTCCCCGGGCGCGAAAGGAAGTACGCGATGATGGGATCCTATGGCATCTCGGACCTTATGCGCGACGGCGTTGGCGGCGGTGATAGGGCCGTAGCGGGAGGTGGAGGGGGAGGGGAGGGGGGAGGGGAGGGAGGGGTGGGTGCAAACCTGGTCCTTCCTCTCAAAGATTGCTCTTATCATGACGCCTTGGTTGCCTTTGGTCTGGTTCTATAGGTCGTTGAGAGGCATGCCTGGGCGATGCGTCTGCTAAAGATTGGTCGTCTGAAGTATGGCTTTGACTGGGCCAAGGGCTGGGGGCGAGCTGGTGGGGGCTAAGTTGTACGGGTCCTTTCATGACTGGGACAACACCTACGGCCGTTTGCTCAACACGATGCTTAAGAGTAGCGGTTCGATGAAGGGTGGCGCGGGAGACGGTGGCGTCTGCCCAGGAAGCGAAGTTATTATCCGTTGAGAACTAGTAGAAGTTGTAGTCGTTGGTCATGTCCTAAGAGTGTACTTTAGTCTCTATCAAACCATTAGAGAAACATCAAGAATCGGCGATCTGCAAAATAGACAAGGAAAAAGAAAGAGAATATCGGTAGTGGTTAGTATACTTACGTTTCTGCCCTTCTCGGAAGGGAGTTTCTTAGAGACACGACCCTGGGGCTTTTGGCGTGATTCGTCGGCATCCTGAATAAAGAGATAGAAAGAGAGCAATGCTGACGAACAGATGACGACGGATTGCTGGAACGGGACAGAACGAACAAACATATAGACGAACAGAGGGATAGAAGGAGTGGTTGAAGACTGACAGCCCAAGGACCAAAGGAAAAAAGGAAAAAGAGCAAAAAAAGAAGAGAGAAAATGATCTTGCAGCCCTGAAGAGGAAGGATACCCTTCTTCCTCGTCTTATTCCTGCCTCAGGTGGACCAAACCGTTTGGTTTGTTGCGTGGTATATGAGTGAATAAGTTGGTGAGTGAGAGAATGAAAGTGAGAGAGACCGGCAGAGGCATGGTTTCTGACGTTACCTGACCGAGTATAGTATAGCATGACAATCCATGCCGGATTCCTTGCCGTGTCATGTCAACTCAAGGCATGCAACTGCACGGCCGTTCTCCCAGAATCTTGCTTGTCACATGAATTACCGTGCTGATTTCTAATGTCCCTCTTGCCCATGTCTACGACCATGGAGGACTGGTGGCTCCTCCAAGACTCGTCACCCAAGGTTGTATTGTAGCTGACGAGAGATAAGATGGCATGACGTCAATATTGAGGGCTAGGGGAAAGAGCTGGTAGGAAATGGCAACTACTGACTTTGGCTTGGTCTATACTCTCAGAGGGAACGGACCATAACCAAGGAAGCAGCCGCCATATCGAACCTTCTTTCTTGCCCAAGATAAGTAGAGTGGTTCGAGGTAAATCGACCTCAGGTATGGCAGGTGGATTGTAGAACAACTGCCTAACATGAGTGATGAGCAGTGCTGGCGGCAGAGGAAACAATAATTCAAGGTCTGATTACTTGTAAAAGGCCAAGAGGCCAGTTGCATATATCATGGACGACTGCAACGCAATACGGATATTGATACCATCGACTAACTCCCAGCACACACAAACACAAACACATCCGATGTCTTCCCACGTTACCGTCACGGATTCCTCCCCTATTGAGGGAGCACTTGAAGCCGGAGCTGCCACCGCCACAGCCGTAGCCCCAGTCCCAATGAACTTGGAGAAACTCCGACGACATATACGCAGCACAATGGCCAGAGATATGACGCAGTACATCCGGAGCAGGCTGTCTTCTTCGTACGTCGCGGTCATGTCCTTCTGCTTGCTGCCCATACGCCTCTCTAAATGTCGACTGTACAAGCAGGTCCGACTATCAGATCATGCTGTCCGCGGCCATGGCCAACAGAATCCGCCGGAGACTCAAGGAGACGGTGCCGAACGACAGGGAGGAGAGAGAAAAGAAGCGGCGAGCTGAGAACAAGCAGCGTCGCCAAGACTTGATTGATGCGCTGGCCTGCTATTGCAAGCAATGACGGAACAGAACAATGGCACGACGACGGAGCTGGTGCAACAGGAAAGCAAAGGAGTGGGGGGGGGAAGAAGCAAAGATTAAGTGCGTAGTAGAATACGGCAGCACCAAGTGCGTACCGTCCGTTGGCGTCATGGTACGTGACTCACCGCCCGGCGGAAATGTCTACGTCCCCCCCTACTCACTTGCTTTACCAACTCACTCCATCACTAAAGAACCATCTGGCCCCATCGCGATGGGTAACAGTGATGCCAGCCTGGACACCCTTACAAAGCAAATTAGACGCCGCCAAAGAGGCAGCAGTAGCACCAACTGCAACATGCACTCCAGCAACCTCAGTCCTCCTTGAAGAACTCCTATTAACGGCGGCCGAGAGTCCCACGCAAAAGTTGATAGCAAGAACGGCAAAGGCCACGACGACCACGCGAGGGATAACGACTAGATCGGCCAGATCGGGCGCGACTGCGAGCAAGACTGGACAACTGACGCCAAAGGAAAACGCTGCACTTGCAGCGTACATCATCAATGTTGCCCTCAAGTCGCTGACAGAAGCGTCAAAGCCTGCCCTTGCTGCACAACCCACAGCCCAAAGCACCCTGTCAAAGAGAAAACTCAGACAATGACCTGCAGAAACCCCCTAGCAAGCGGGCCCTGGAACAATCGCATTTGACGACCGCCAACGACCTTTACGCCAAGGTAAGCCCGCTCCAACAGGCAATGCCATGTGCCACCTGCTCATCCGATATCTTAGGAGTTCCACCGGCTCTCAGGCAGTACACACCTACTGTAGGTGCCTTATGCACATATATCTTCGCTTATCTCTCGACCTTACCGCGGATGGCGAACGCGATAGTTCTCCGTCCCAGACTTCATCACCTGCCATTCCTTCCTCTAACACCATGAAACTAGCCTCAAGAACGTCCAACCTTTTATGACGCTCAGTTAAGTCAATCAGTCTCTTCTCTTGCGACTAAAAACACACGGCTCCCTCCCTTTCTACGTCGACTTCACGCCTGATGAGAGATGGAGACGTTGGGAACAAGGATCCAGTAATCTATTGCAAAACCCAAACCTTCTCGCCATCATACCGCCAGAGCTTGATCCACCAGGAGTCTTGGCACAGCGAGATCAGGTGGCAGTGAGCGATGTGCTGTACGAGTTGGTTGACAAGCAAGAAGCCAAACGAGCTTCCTGAGCAGGGGTACCTATTGAGAACACAAGGACGGAATGGCCACGGTACGTCGAAAGGACTACAATACGGATGGGTGTATCATAATGACACAGGTGGTTGCATAATGGGATGCAGATGCCTAATGCTATTCAACATTCAGCACTTCCTCACAACAAGAGAAGGTTGCTACTAAGTGTTGAATATAAGCGTCATCTGTTTAAATCGACTAGGATGCTAATTCTGCCCGATAAAGAGCCAATAAGGCAAATAATCAGGCTGCCGCCTTCCTAGTGACGTCTCATTCGCATCCAGCCTCTAGGGCATTTGATGAACAAGCACTTGGGCCAGAATCTATAGGTGTCCGCCAGCTGCGTCAACGTTGAGGCCCACTACCTTAAGAACAAAGTGCACCCCGGCCTCTTTAATATTACCTTCATCGAGACCATATGGACGGACAGGCCCACAGGAGCGAAATCTGTGTGGTGTTGTATATGAAGCCATCCAGTCCGGCGGTATCTCTCTTGATGCCATCTCAGGCAGCTAGACCGGCTCATTCGCCGCCAAATCTACCGCCGACTGGCAGGAGATGCCCGTGAAGGAGCCCTTGTCCAAGAACACGTTGGCCGCTACTAGCGTAGACCCAGGCATCCATAGCAACTGCATCAGCAACGTCTTTAATCTCAATGGACCCAATGTCGTGTGCAACACAGCGTGCTTGTCATCCAATATTTCAGCTCAATAAGCGCTACAGGAAGAGGTGGCGGTTTCTAGCCATCTTCTTCTTTATCCCCCTGCTCCTTGCCTTCGGGGAATGAATGCCCCAGGGGTTGGCGGCGCGGCCGACCTTTTGGCGCAATCCAGTCATCTTCTTCCTCGTCTTTCACCTCCTTGTCTTCGCAGAATGCTCCAGGGGTTGGCGGCACGGCTGAATTTTCCATTAGTAATGCTTTCCTAAGTTCTTTTAGGGGGTTAAGGCGCGCTTGCCTTAGCAAGTTGCTGCGCGACTGGTAAGCTTGGGAGACATTGACGATCGTGGCGAATAAGATGAACCTATAATTTCCGTGCTGCAAGTATGCATGGCTTCATATATTGGCTCATGATAGCGATGGGGTCGATGCAGATCTGCCGTGAGAAGGGTTGGGTAAGCAAGGTGGTTGATTTGCTGCGTTGAGCTGGGGTGAGGCTGGGTGTAAAGGTGAAGAAGGCTGTCATGGGGATGGGGATGAGAAAAGACGAGTGAGAGGACAGGAAAGACAGACGACATGTCATTCCTTCAATAATCCAGTTTCTTGACTGGGAGACACACGCGGCCAATCCCTCCTGATTTCCCATGTCCTCGGACGGATTAATTCCCTGGGCTTGTGTTGCGCTGGCTATGCTTGTGAACCAATCAAGAAGGAGGAGGTGGAGGACTGCCGTGGAAAAATCTCCGGCAGTTCCCCACAAATGATCTAAGCAAGTGGGGACCAAGGTACGTATACAAAGTTGTACGGTCCACCGCCACAGCCACCGCCACTACTTATCTTGGGATGGAAGCAAAAGCTGATCATGGAAAGTACTCAGTCAAAGTACCTGCCTGCCCCTCGCCTCCATCCCATCAACCAACATCTCACACTCAACGTTTGCCTTCAGACTCTCTGATTTTCACGGCTACAGTCCTTCTGAACTTCATTTACTTCTACATCAATCGTTCTTGACAATCGTCCCTACATAACCGCCAGTTGTTCCCCAGGCAAAGATGTCTGCCCTTGTCAACATCTAAACCACAGGAAGCCTGCTACGGCCTCATCAACGCCCACGCACGTCGACAAGAACAGAGAGCTACATTTGAGAGAAGAGCCGAGTGTACGCCAGCACGGCTAGCCAACAATCCAAAGGTGGGCCGATTGTTCAACAACACCTCAAGCCAAAACTTCGAGAACCCGACTGACACTTTTTTCATCACCTCTAGCCAATAGCCAAAGATACACGGACTGGCTGCTGTAGCTGACTGCGACGACACTCACCCTCCCAGGAATCCTAACTTCCAGAAGACGCTGTCCGAGACCACTGGCGTGTGTAAGTCGACCCTCACCTTCCGCGTTGCGCAACCTACCTGTGACATCGGCCTGAGCAACAATACCCAGCGGATGGTTAATGACCTGCGCGAGGAGTCACCCAGAGAGTCAAAGTGGAGTGACGCGGGGAAGATATAACGAGGAAGTCAACGGGGGCAGGATTGCTGTCACAGCACACAGCAGAGAATATAAGATCAGGGGTAGAAGACGCTAAGGTCTATAAATGCAACCATGTGAAAAGAGATGCCCTGTTTATGTGTGTGTATTGCGAGAAATAAGTGTATCCCAAGTGATATCAGACAACTCAGGGTTGGCAATAAGTGCGAGTTAGAAATGAAGCTATGGTGACAATGAGAATCGTATTTTCAGACCATTGTTTCATAGCTATTGCACTCACAACAACACATGGAAGAAAAAAGATCCCCCAACCCCTGTAGTTGACTTGTGATTAACCCCGTGATATTTTAATGCCTTTAAGATCTCGCAACTCACCAGGTTCACAACTATTAACCCTAGCGTAGCTCACAGACATTCCAGTAGCCAATCCGACCAGAAAAGGAAGCAGTTACTTCTCACTTTTCCATGTCTAGCGTGTCACTACCTTACTATTTCTTTTCTTTTTCTTTGCGTTATTATAGTCATCTTACTTTACGCATGACGAAGTTCTTACCTAATCAGTCACTTACTAGTAGCAGGGTTTTTGCATCCGGATTTGATATAGTGTTTTACTCGTCTACTGTATACCCATCTTCTATTAGAACGAAGGGAAATCCCACAGCCTTTTAGAAACTTTATTAGAGGATTGGTCATGGTTTCAACTTACACTGCTTGTGCTACTTGTAAAAATGCAAGCTTACTTGTGTTGCAGAGTTAAACTATCTGTTGCTCTAGTATAGTCCTTATATCTTGTCTACATACTGATCCAGACTCGCCAGTAGATGGCTCTTCAGGAAGTGGAGTGTGTTTGATGCGCCCACATCTGTATTCACAATGATTAGCTAGCTGGTGTAGGTGATGGCTTATAATCGCAAGAGGGAATTCCCGCCGCAATGCCACTATCAGCTAAATCAAAAGTCTACAATAAGACTATTGACGTTGCGGTTGGAAGGCAAGGCGGGCTGATGTGTTGGCTGGTTGAAACTCTCTTGTCGCCAAGTTACCCTTTTGGCGTGGGATATCTATCTTAGAAATGTTACTAATATTATTCTAGCGGCAATTCTAGATGTAATCCAGCGGCCCATATACTGTTTTCCATCTAATGACATTTCGCTGCCGTGGGCCCGAGCGTATTCCAACTGGCTCACTTTGACAACTACCCTACCTACTACAAATAGTAACTTTAAAGCACAGGAGCACAAGATTGTCTGTCCTTAAAAAAGATGTATATTTCTTCGCAAGGAAGGGATAGAAATACAACATACTGCTTACCTGACAGCTCATGTTCGCCAGTTACCTCCCCATCACAACGTCACTAGAAAATGGAAACCGTCTGGAGCATCATCAATCCATTGAGGCCGATCGCCATTGCACGCGTGTGGCAATGCTAGCCTGAATTTTGCTCTAACCAATACGCGCAACACCTCTCTAATACCTACTCGTTTCTGTGTCAACTGCCCAGGTCCAGCTGGAATTTATTGCATCCCTATTAGCTTTTAACAGCGAGACCACCTTTATCTTAACACTGTGGCGAAGCAATTCGTCTTCAAATCTTAGCTGGCCTTGACTGCACAAGACCATAGACGAAGCCATCATCTCTGAACCCTTCCCTCATTGGCATCCTACGCGTGTCTATCCTCTCTCTTGATAAGTACACCTCTTAATTCTTAGTAGCCCCCCCTAAAGACACCCTTACGCACTTAACGACAGGGGATAAAAACAGCAATAGGAGATAATAATGTTCCTGCTATAGCTCTAGCCATTAGCCCTATTATATAAGACTTTACTATATAGTAAATTCTAAAGGCTAGAGATAGCTACTTAAGTTGCCTTATTATCTCCTTATTATTACCTATTTACCTCTTTACTTGACTACCTCCTGTTTATTAACTATGTCTTTAATCTTGTCTACTAAAATACCCTTATAGTAACTAATAATAACTGCCTATTATTACTAATATATAAACATATGTCTCTAAGAACTAGCACTACTGTTGTTAGGCAATATAAAGGTGTAATCCCTCTTGCCCCTTTAATAGTATATATATTATCTAACTTACTACCTGTAAAGTAACGGATCCTATAGACATTATACACAGAGATATAATTAGATATTAGCGTTTCTATTACTAGTGT